GAATGCTTTCAAAATCCATATAAATTACAAAAGGATGTTCAAGTTTTTTACAATAATTTTCAAATTTAACAGTTTCACCAGGAAATGGCAAAATTGGTCGACAAGGTTCAAGAGATTTACAAATTATTAAATGTTCACTTAAATCTTTGTTTTTGTAAAAATGTGTTAAACATCTTCTACAAATGAATTTCTTATGTCTGTTACTTTTTGTTAATTGAGTAGAAACAAATTTACTTAAATCTGTTATCAAAACATAATGTGAATTATTATCATTTTTTATATACAATAGATCAATATCTAATCTCGCATTGTAATTTTCAGATATTTGTAATGGAACAATCTTTTTATCTTCATCAAATCTGTATACATTAATTGACATGGATGGATAATTATATTTAGAATCAAATGATCTTTTTTCAAATAATTTTATATCTTTTAAACTCATTGGATAATCAAATTCTTTAAAAATTTCATCATTCAAGTAATTTTTATATTGTTTTACTCTATGTGGATGATCAAACTTTTTATCTTCATATTTATCAATAGCACATCTAATTGCATAAATAAAACAATATTCATCTTTATTTTTGAAATTTATACAACACTTTTTATTTTTTATTTCAATTGGTAATTCAACATATGAACCACCATTTAATGAATTATGTTTACTTAGTTTTAAATTTAAATCTAAACATCTTTTTAATGACCAACCAGATCCTTTTGATGGTTGATTTAAATTTTCTCTTAATATTAATTTTTTAAATTGATCATCAATAAATTCATCAGTGTTTAATATATCTGAACTTCTTAAAGGATAATACATTTGGGTTTTTTGACTATCACCATTTACTAATTGTCTTTCATATTCACAAGATAATGATAACTGACCTCTTTTATTTTTAAATTCTTGTTTTTCAATCAATTTTTTAATTTCATTTCTTTGTGATTCTAAATATTCAGATATATCTAAATCATCATTTGAATTTGTTAAATAATACTCTTGAAAATAACCTTTTAATGATGACACTTCCTGAATATTTATTACATTTTCCTTTGGAATTGGTTTATTTTTTAAATGATCAGTTAATAATCCAATCAATTCTTTTCTAGTTTTATCTTTTATTTTAATACCATTTTTAATTGATAGATTCTGAATAAATTGTAATGATCTATATTTTAGATTATTAGGATTTTGTTTGATATTATTTAATCTTTTAATTAGTTCATCTCTATTTAAATTGTCAACATTTCTAACAGATAATTTGTTAGCAATTTCTTTTAATTTTTCACTGTTAAATAGTGAATAATTTGTTGGATCATATGACTTCTTTAATTCTTTTAATTGATCTAAATTTTCGTTTTGATAATCAACTATTTTATTTTGTTTACACCAAAGTTTTAAGTTATTAACTTCAGTTTCATATTTAGTTTTATTTTCAAAATGTTTCTTTGAATTATAATGTCTATTATAATTTTTAGATAATATATTCTTATTACAATAAGGGCATAATATATTTTTATTTGTACGCTCCATTTATTAGAAGAAAAATGTGCACGATTTATTAAGAATAATTTTATTTGAAAAAATTATTGTTGTAAAATATAAATATTAAGATAAATATTTATGTGTTAATTTAAAAATTATAAAGTATTTTAAATCAAACTTAAACTTTTTTAAAACCAGTAATTTTTTTAAATAATACTTTCAAAAATTAATATTATTTTTATGAATTTTCTAATTTATTTATGTTTTTATTATGAATTTTAGTTTGTAAATGTTTTTGAAGATAACTAAGCCATTTTAAATCTCTACCACATTCACAATGGGTTGTGACTCTCATCATTTTTCTAACACATTCAATACAAATTGCAAATTTTTTATCTTTACTATAATAATGTTTATGAAAATTTTCCATATCTTTTGTTTCCTTACAATTCAAACATACTTTTTCACTTTTTTCTTCTACTATAATATTATCATATAACTTTTTTCTATAAATTAAATCACATTCTTTACAATATGAAAGTAATCCATCTTTATATTTTTTATTTTTATAAAAATTATTAATATTTTTTAATTGTTTACACTTTGAACATTCCTTCTCCATTTATATAGTATAAAATTTTACAAATTAGTTTTCTTCAATTCATAATCATAAAAACTACCAAGTATATCTTCATCATTCAAGTCTTTAATACTATATGTAACAGGATTTGTATTATTAATTCTGGAAACAACAAATATTTCTCTTGACCAATTGTTTTTATATTTATTTGAAAAAGTTGATTTTTTGTTTCCTATTCTAACTCTATCATTTATTTTAAATTTAGATTTTGTAATTATTTTTGGTGGGATATATTTAAAAACTGTATTTAATAAATCATTTTCATTTTCTTTATTTACCTCAATTGGTTTCATTTTAATTGTTGAATGATATGAATTATTATATTCTTTAACTATTTCTTTAAGAATATCAATCCATCTAAAATTTTTATTAATTTCAAATAAAACTTTCATTTTTTCATTTTGAGTCCTATTATATCTTTCAATAATACTTGATTTTTCTTCATTTTCTGTATGATACATTTTAATATTATATTTCTTTAAAATTCCATTAAATTCTTTATTTACAAATTCTAATCCTTTGTCTGTATGTAATAAGTTTGGTGGTTTATGGCCAATTTTTATTGAATCTTTAATTATTTGTTCAAATGCTATAGATACATGTTTTCCATCTTTTTTCTTCAATGGTTTTGACCAAACATATTTAGAAAATGTATCAATAACATTCAACATGTATTTATAACCATCATTTTCTTTTTCATAATTTTTCATAATGATTAAATCAGCTGCCCATAAATCATCAATACCTAATGTAACTATTTTTCTTTTTCGAAATTTTTTTCTTATTAGAGCATGAATTTCTTTAGCTTCAATTATTTGATCTTTTTTATTTAATTCCTTTTTTATTATTGGTTTAATTTCCTTTTTAATTATTTTACTTTTATTTGTTTTACAAATTGAACATTTAGTAGCAATTCTAAACAAACCATTCTTCATTTCAACAATTTCTGGATTAATATTTTTAGTTTTCTTCTTAAATTTATGACACTGAATAAGTTCTTCCATTTAGATATAAACATTTTATATATAAATGGATATATGTTATAAATGTCGTAATTTTAATAACTTTACAATTACTAAAAATTATATAGGATGTAATATATGTAAAAAAATTATTTTTGAAAAAAAGATTAATAAACGAAAAAATAAAAACAAACATCTTATAAATATTTTAAGAGAATTTAATCATTTTCAACCATATCGCACACAACAATTAATCAATGAAATCTATACGTTATGTATTTTAGACAATAGTTTTGAAATAACACCTAAAAATATAAAATTATTCTTAAAACAAAGAAATTATACAAACTGGATATTTTACTATCAATTCTTAAACAAAATATTCAATATTGATTTTGAATTAAATTTTGAAGATAAAAGAAATATTACAGTAATTTTTAATGCATATTTCAGTTTTACAAAAAGAAATATATCATTTAAAAAACTATTACCAATGATTTTTAAACTTTTAGAATTAAATTTTTATATAAAACCAGAATTTGATAATATTTTTTTAAAATTCTTAAAACATCTATCAACTTTAAATGATCCATGCATAATATATCAACATAATGGTTTTTCTGATAACATAAGTGATACATCAGATATTATTAAAAAAATATAATTTTAAATATCACACAACAGTTCTAACAAACTGTTGTGTGATATTTAAAATTCTTTTCATATATTTCAATTATTAACTGTTTAAAATTTTTATAATTATTTTTTGTAATAAATGGATCTATTAGAAGAGATTAATAATATTGGAGAATGTAAATTCAAAGAATATAAACCAATAAAAAGTTTAGAATTGAATACAAAATATAAAATAGAAAAATTTGAAAAAGTTAAAGATAAATATGGACCAACAGTTATTGTTGAATTAGAAAAATGTAAAGTTCATTTGCCTCATAGATTTATTAATATATTTGATGAAAAAACAATTAAAGAATTAAATAAAAAAGATTTAAACTTAATTATTACTGAAATTAAAACATTCAAAGATAAAGAAACTGTTTTAGTTAAATTTGTATAAAAATTAAATTTTAAAATTTTACTTGTTTTTAAAAACATTTTGTTTTGTAGTCAATTTTATGTAAAATATAGACATATTCATGAAAATTTCATCAAAATTGTATACTTTTTCTAGAAAAATATGAAAATGTTAGAAATTGACCTAAAAGGGTAAAAAATATAGCATATTGTATAAAAAAATAGGAAAATTCATTTAATTTTTGAGTGGCTCCTTTTTTGGCCCAGAAGTGACATGAATATATCTACTTATATATATATATATATGAACAGGGAGGTTGATAAAGTGTGTTTATTGACCAAATATTAATAGCTTAGCGTAAAATAAATACATTTGTCAAGTTTGATTAAAATATATCCATAAACAAGCAAACTACAAAATTTTACAATATTCTCTATAAGAATAACATGAAAATTTTAAATTTACAATTTTTTTTCTCCGTAACCGTTCAACTGTACAAAAAACACTTTGATATGATAAATTATTTGTTTTTAAAACAGTCTAGAGTGTTTTTCTTCTAAATTCTCGGCCTTACGGTGAGAGCCGCGTTCAGTTGGTATAATATATACTATGTACAGCACCAAACGTTTCGCCCGTGAGGCATCCTCAGTGGCATACCTGTGATTATTATGAGTCTCAGCTATGACTAGACACGGCTCACACCGGAAGACTGTGAATTGTGATGACTCCGGCCGCTCAAGCCTACGAATGAAACCTAAAACCTCTTACCTCCCAACCTCTCTAAAACCTCTTACACACCTGGGCCCAGGCCCATTTTTTACTAAAGCGGCTATGACGAGTTCAAAGTTACCTGGAGCATTTAGTAGAATGATAACTTACCACCTCATCAAGCTCCAATCCAAAGTCAAAACATAAATTTTGAAATTCTTCATCACCTACAAAAAAAAAAAAAAAAGAAATAGGTATAAATTTAAACTATAAATAACTGGTATAGGTGGAGTGGAATAAACCGAGCACTTATTTGCGGCTGCTAGCAAGTGGTTTAATCAAAACAAGTAAGACTAAGGATCCTGTTCAGAAAAAAATTACTATTCTCTATATATTAAACAAAAACACTTTAATATACTCCTTTCACTCATCTTATCACTGCAATTTCTTTACAAATTTGATGGTTGCCCCTGGGTTGGAAGAATCAAGAGATCAAATGATCACTCAAAAGAGGTATGGCAGTGGAAGCTTGGTGTTAAATAAAAATAGAGTGGGAACTGTAGATTAAAAATTATTCCCAGAGATCCTAAGAGGTCTATAGGTACTGGCTGACTTCATCCAAAATTGTATGGCAACCTTACAACTACCGGTACGATGATTTTAATATTACACTACTAACACCAAAATAATATTTTATAAACAAAGTTAAATCTTTTGTAGGCTAGCGTAATTTTCAACCTGTCAAACCTTTTTGGTGTATTTGTCAAACCTAATATTGTTGTAATGTGATTACTATAAACTGAGAGGATGAATGAAACCAAATATTGGTATAATATGGATATCTATTATGCCAAAAGAAAAACACAGTTTTAGCAATACACAATTGTTTTGGTATTACTGATGAATTGATCTTAAATCTGTCACTTAAACTGAACTGCAGATTATTTAATGAGTCAATCTCAGCAAACAGTCAGTAAGCGTGGTCGTGCGACTAACAATAGGACTGGGTGCTGGCAATGTAATGTTATTAATTAAATTGAGACTACTCAGGGCTGCAAATGCTGTTGTATAATACAACCCCCGTTCTAAGGACGGGATCATGTAGTCAGTTGAAACCTTCTTATAATCAGAACAGCAGTTGGTTTGCATGTTTAGTGTGCATTTTTCCAGATATGCAGGCAAAACTCTGTGTACAGCAATGTTTCAGGGTCTGTTTCCCGGTTAACAAAACTTAAGTACAATTTGACACACACACAAACAGAATCTCCGGTTAGAGACCTGAATGATGCCTAGAAATTTAATTTAAAATCTGTTATTTAAGGTACAATGTTTTTAATTTCACTTGGTTTTGGATTTTCTTACTAAACAACCTTACTTTGTAAATCAATTCAGTTACAGCGACAAATTAAATTATTTTCTGCGTTATTTTAAAAGGCGATAGCAGTGCTTTAAACATCAACCACAATTTGAAAAAGGTTTTATTATACTAATTACAACAGCTATAAAATTGAATCTGAATCTTATGAATACCGTACTTAAATCATTAGAGCTACAAAAAGATGATGTCTCTTATTGTTAACAAGTTTTGGTTCCTAATACATAATTGTTTGGTACCTAGTTACAAATTTTACCACGAGCAGTGGAACATAAATCGTCCCATATAATCCTGCATGAGCCACTAGTTAAATAGTAAAACTTACACTAAGAAAACAACTAAACTAGGCTACTTACAATTTTGTCCATACATTCACAGCACAATATTACACTTAGGGTAAATCGGGCAGACCTCTACTATCGCAAAAATTTGGAAAATTCAAATTCGCAGCGATACGGTACGCAGTGAAATTTTTAAATAGCGGCTTGCGCTAGCTGGAATAAAAGTTGGTGATTGAATTTCTTTTTGATCTTTGACAGTGATACAGGTGCTTTTATATCCCTTCAGGATATAAGCTCATTGACAAAATCAAAATTTGAACCAGCTAGCACCACAACTATTAATTAATTTTACACACGAGCAAAAGCAAACCCACAATTCGACTGTAACATATACAGATAGAATGAGAACGGGTCCTGGCTACTTGCTTCCACTTTGACTTTGCCGGCAAATCACAAGACCTAGGAATTCTGCCCCATGATTGGACGACAGCGATCAGCTGACAAATGGTTTGGCTTGGGGATTTAAACTTAAGATTGGAATTAGATCAAATTCAGCACAATGCTTTTCCGGTCATGGCCCCGAAGCTGTACAATAAGCTCCCTGACAAGGCTCCAAACGTCTTGAAGGCAATAGGATTACTTTCAAGTCTTTTAGCCTTTGGAGAGAAAAACCTTGGGTACAGTTTTTTAAGTGGGCTACGCTAATATTCATTGAAACTATCGATTCGATTAGTAAACCTTCAAGCGATTTTTTCACCATCAGCAAGTTTAGTTGGTTAGATTAGGTTATGATACCCTAGTTTAATTTTCATAACAGATATATTTTAAAATATCGATTATTAATCAATATTTTCAATTCGATAGTTTCAATCAATATTATCGTAGCCCAGTTAAGAAACTGTACCCAAAACCTTAACTTACTACAAGTCGAGCGAGTTATTCAAGGATGATTTCTTTCGGTGGCTTCATACTCCATGTCCATGCCATTTGTGGGACACTCTTGGAATTGTTTGTCCATAATCTAGTTACTGTAAATATGTATATACATTTTTTCATGCAGCTTATCCAGTATAACCTGGTCTCAAGCAAAGAAGGAGGCAACCAGGTAGACAAAATTTATAAATCTGGCAAACTGATTGGTGTATAAAAACAATAGGCTACAGGAATACTTACTATATTTTTTCCCAAGCGTTTTGAAGAGTAAATCTCTATTAACTGCAATGGTAGGCATGAGTATGAAAATATCAAACTATTAAAATAGAAAACTCGTAATAATTAGCTTATAGACTAGGTATACCAGACCTACACTTACAAACAAGTTTGAAGTTTGAGGTTAGTTTGTTTTTACAATGCAATGCAACACTACTACTGTGCAGACGACAGCTGTGTTGGAACGATAGCAGATTGCATCATATCCATCATAGACTAACAAAAATGTAAGTTGTCTAAGTATACATTGAGATCATTGATTATGGGTACAAACATATTTCTTCAGAATCCTAAATATAGTTATTGGGAACACCTGCATGGCCACCTTTAACTACAGGCCGCGGCCTTGTACAATTATTGGCAACGTTGCAAATGGTGTTGTCTAGCACCAGCAGGCCGTGGCCTAGAGTTAAAGGGGTCGTGATTCGGCCCGACCACCTCCGGGGCACGGACCATTTTTCTACCACACAGCGCGCTATACAGTAGAGTATTATACATCTGAATTACCTCCTCTTCATCGATGACCAGCCTAGGCTGGATAGATAGCGTCAAATAAAAAATAAAAACTAATTTAGATATATCTGTATATACATTTAAAACTGTGTGGTGGCGGTGGACAGTTAGTTCATCGCGCCAGCATACTTGATGAACTCCGTAGTTGAGTAGAAAGGGTTCTCAAATAAAAATTGTTTAATTTTATTTGTGAACACTTTTGTGTCAAGTTCTGTTATTTTACCAGGCAGAGCATTGTTTATCCTGACAGCTATGGCAGGGAAACTGTCTCTCGTCATAGTTAGTCTATAGCGATCTGTATTTAATTTATGGGCACTTCGGACATTATGGTCGTGCATGTCACCCCTTGTTTCATGAGAGTTCAACTTTCCTTTGACGTGCAGAAGGCAATCGATGTTCAACACTCAACTATTTCCAAAATATGGCCCCAGCTTAGCTTTACGTGGAGGGGGTTTCAAGATCGTTACAGGAACGCACTAACATGTTTTTTCCAAAGTGCCAAAATTAAACAATTTTTTGAGAAACAGTTTTTTTCACCAGAATATTTTCAATGTCAGTTTAAATTTGTTTATTTTTGGTCTGGAACTGTAGTTCCAAAGCGTCTTAACAAATCCTAGCTCTGATCCTCCAGTCTTATAGAATATGAAAGAATGGACTCAGCCACCCTGGGTTGAATATGATGGCAAATAAGATAAATAAATAAGAATTTTGTACTATTAAATAAATTACCGTAATGTAAATTGTGAAAAGACACTTTAAGAAGTGATTAGTATAAAATATTTGCTGATTTTTGTTTCTAAATGACCTTCTGTTTAAATGAAACGAATGATTATGTTTATTGTCGTTAATAGGCCTTCTACCACGGGCACCTTTTTTTGGGTGGCCGTGCCTACAATCTGTGACATTATAATAATCCGATCGCGCTCATATTTACACAGAATACAGTACAAAATTAGCTTAACCCATGTGATTTTTTTAACCCGGCTAAACCGGGTTGGTCCCAGGGATATGCTAATTATAGGATTATGTTTTGTCGCCCGTTGTATCAGATCAACACGCCCTCAACTCATAGTCTTTGTAATAAATAATCATTTGGTCAATTACAATAATTATCGTATCCTACCATAAAATATCGTATATATGGTAGACCTGACTGAAGCGAGCAGCTGATGCCATTCCCACAATGCAACATTCTCTTCATATAAGCTATGCCCCAAAATCAGGATTATAAGGTATGACTCAAAATCAGGATTATAAGCTATAGAACAGAATCGGAATTATAAGCTGCGCCACTATTTGACCATTATAAGTTGTGAAACTGAAAATGTGTCATACCTTATAACGTTTTAGAGAAATTGTGGCATAGCTTATAATTTTTCGTGAAAGTGTGGCATAGCTTATAACTGATTATAAGCTATGCCACATTTTCAACATTATAAGCTATGGAACAAATTCACGATTATAAGCTATGACACCCCACGCTGTGGCCTACTACAAAGTTCATGACAATCGTCAAAAGAAAAACAAAACAATCAAGATGGCTCTGCCAACTAGAATAACATGTCAAGCAAACATAACCTCAAAAATATCCTTTACACTACTATATAAACAAAAACTAACCTCAACCTCAAGCGCCTCAAGTAACAGAAACAGATAACTTACCATTCTCATGTAATCTTAGTTTTATTCCAGTCTTGTTGTCGCCTTTTATAAAATATATTTATTGATTGGATGTTAATCGAGCCCTAATCTAGTAACCGTAAGTTTTTGTGAATCTGATTATAGGCTAGTTCAAGGTATATTCATTTTAAAGTTCATTGGATTTTATATAGATAAGTAAACTGATGTAGTTTGCTTGTTTATGAACATATTTTGATCAAATTTGGATTTTCATTTGTTACTTACTAAACTATTAACATTTTACAAAGAAAATAATAAACCACTTTAACCCTTCCTGTTGCAGAAAACCTAAGCAGCCTCCTAAGTAGGCCTATTCGTTAAGCTAATTCTATTTAAATGGGTAATAAATGTGATATTTTTAAGGAGACATTTAAGTGTGAAACCAATCAGGCAAATGGAAATTCGCTTAGTCTGCAGGTTTGCTGCAGCGGGGGTATTTTGAAAACTGGGATAGGCCTAGTTCATGCTGTCTTAAGCGCATCAGGCTAGCAGGTGTTTCTTAAATATGGTACAGTTATTAATAATGTTTGTAAGAGGATCTAGCCTACAATGATGTCTATGGTGGCTTTTATTAAAGAGCAGCAAGGCACAAAATACATCCTGGTTATTTGAGCTTTTGAACCCTCACACGTATCTTTTGGACTCATATTTTTCCAATGACAGGCTACAGACGGTTGAAATATCCAGGAGTGAGGCAATTGGGTTAGTCTGCAAAACATGTGGATTAGTCATACCCTCATCAGCTTTTTCATAAAAAAAAATATTGAAGTCATCAGGGAAACCTGCAGTTATCATCGTCCTAGGAGTTCTGCGGCTAAGCTATTTACAACGTCCCATCTCGCCTTAAATGTAACTTATTGGATGCCTCTTATATTTCCAAAGCGTCATTTTTTTTCTTTTAGTATGAAGAACATATGGTAGATACAGTTTCTTAGTTTAAATTTACAAAGTATAAAGTCTTTCCTTCTGCTGAGGAACAGTGGACGTATTAAAGTCTGTTAGTCAGTGCGATTAGGAGGGTGGTTTTTTCCTAACATAAGGAGGAATATGTAGAGATATGAATGTAAAGTTTACCTTGTAAGATATAACACTACCATGTGCTTTCCCGGTGGTATAATTTGCCCCCCCCCCTCAATTTTATTGATCAATTGCTGCCACTGGGGATATTTTGTCTGTTCCTGACTGTTCTAAGATTTGTCGGTTTTAAGATTTATTATTTCAACAATAGGGTTTGGCCTTCATTACTCTGAGTGGGAGTGTTTGATCAAATCTTTCCATAAATATGTCAATCAAATATTAACAGCTCCCTCAAGATCAGAATTAGCATCAGCATTTTGAACGACAAAACAATGTATGCAGTAATTTACTTCATAATAGAGGCATTTTGTTATCGGTGGTAATTTTCAGAAACATAGCCTACATTGTAGGCTATACTAAGCAGCCTTATTTGAGTGGCAGTTTATTAGTACCACTTCTGCACTAAAGGCTAGTTAGCCAAAAATGAGTTACCTAATGTTCAATTTCTGTTTCCAGTCCCTGTAGTTGATGTTTGTTGGCCTAGCTAAGGAGTCGAGGAACGCTTGCTCACATTTTATCTGGTAGTGAAGCGACAGCTTGTAGTTGCAGAGTAGACTAGAGAATAGTTTCTCTTCTCTGGATTTGGTTGCATGATGGTTAAATACATATTACAGTTAGCTTTTTTCATAGATGTTCCCGAATCCAACAACCGATCAGGTCATCGGATTTGATGAAGATGTCGAAGAGGAAACAGGACCTAAAAAGGCTTCTACAAAAAAAATGGGTGGATTTTATCGACTTAATCTACATCCATCTGTTCTAAAAGGTGTTCTAAAGCGAGGATACAAAACACCTACGCCAATTCAAAGAAAGGTAGGTAACAGATTAAAGGCATCTGGGAATGTTCTCCACTACTAATTAACACAAAGCCTAAAGACTAAAATAAGGTGCTGCAGGCAAAAAAAATAATTTTTGAACTAGGTCTCTTAAAGTTATTTAAACATGTTTTAATTATACTCCCTTAGTACCATACGTAGTAACATGTAGGATTAAACTCCATTTACTTTGAAATGCTTAACAGACAAATTGTTGATTATAACTTTTCAAAACAGAAACAACATGAAATTGGTTTAAAAAATTCATAATAACCCTCCTGTAGCCTACAAAATGGTATTTAAAAAAACAGCCTTTTGAAAGATTAATCATGGGACATAATTTATCGATTGGCTGTGCTGCTATTTTACAAAAGCTTCAAATGTCTGTAAAAGTCTTTACTAAAGCTAACACTGATAAAAGTTGGATGAACTGGAAACAAATTCAACCAATGTTTGCTTTTTAGTAGAGGAATAAGAGTAAGATGAACTATCGCAAAAAGGAAGAGCACCATCATGTCAGAGTAGTGTGAAAACATTTATGGCAGCAAAGTGAACAAAGAAGTCACTACAGTTTTTTATCAGTTGAAATTGCTTCCCTCTAGCAATTTAATACCGTCAACCAGCAAATTAATTCAATAAAACTATGACTTTCAGACAATTCCACTCATCATGGAAGGTAGGGATGTGGTGGCTATGGCTCGAACTGGCAGCGGAAAGACAGCAAGTTTTCTGATTCCGCTCTTTGAGAGAATTTTGGCCAAACCCAGTAAACATTCTATCAAAGCACTTATTTTATCTCCAACAAGAGAACTCGCATTACAGGTAGGCCTACACAATTTTGAATCAAATTTTAACTATTTAGTTCATTTAGCGTATTTGACAAATGGAAAAAGCCACTTTATAAATTTCCTATTTACTGAAAATTTTACAGACAAAGATATGTTTCAAAATCGTAACAAAAAGCAATATTACAAATCTCACATTGTCCCACCTTTGACCCTTCCTTCACTCTAATGCCACAATGCAGTAAATTTCATACAAAATCGGAATTAAAAGCTTTGATGGTCACTATCTACAAACTAGGTCTTTTGAGTACAGCTCAGAAACTTATTTGTAAGTGGTGACATTTTGACCTTATTGCAGACAACCATTTCAGCAGATCACTGGAATAGGTGCTACTACTGTATGACTACTACTTAATAGGTGCTACTGTATGACTACTACTTAATAGGTGCTACTGTATGACTATTACATAGTAGGTGGTACGACTGAGTATCGACTGTAGACTCCTGTTCCAGTGAACCGCTCTGAAGGTGGCTGTCTGCAACAAGGCGAAAATGTCGGCACCTAGTAACACCTGTCACTGATCAAATACAGATTGAAACACATATTGTTACAATCCTTGAAACTAAATAATTTACTATCAATATAGGGTACAAAACATTACGATAATGATCTAATGATATTGGAAAATTTTCATAATAGTATAAGGGTTTTGCAGCAGCCATAAGAAAAAAAAAATCATAAATTATTGATGTTATAGTAGCATCTAAGATGTTCAGGAATAAAAGAATCAGTGATGGCTTTATAATTTTATCTCGCAAGATGCAAAATAAAAGTCAAAACTTAAACCATCTAACTGTTTTCCATTCGTACCACTGACACACGCAAAATTGTATATTTAAAAATCTTAATAAAACCTACACAACAATAGTTCCTGTTTGTAAATATCTAATCCCAGTTTTCCATGATTGCAGACAATGAAGTTTGTCAAAGATCTGGGAAGGTTTTGTGGAGTGAAAGCCGCTGCAGTGTTGGGTGGAGACTCTATGGACTGTCAGTTCTCAGTGGTACACAGCAAGCCGGACGTGGTCGTAGCCACTCCCGGTCGCTTCCTCCACCTCTGCGTCGAGATGGACCTGAAGCTTACGGAAGTGGAGTACGTTGTGTTTGACGAGGCAGATAGGCTCTTCGAGATGGGCTTTGGAGAACAGCTCAAGGAGATTATACACCGCCTCCCTGAGAGTCGGCAGACTCTACTGTTCTCAGCCACACTCCCCAAAGTACTCGTAGAGTTTGCTCGAGCTGGTTTGACCGATCCGGTTTTGTTGAGGTATGCACACAAAATGATCTTATCCAAGTGTTAGTTAATCAATTTTGTGATGTGTTTTAAAGTCTAAGGCAATTTTGTTTGGAAGATTTTCTAACAGTCAGTTATATCTTATGTTCCAGGTTGTGCAACATTTGTCAATGTCAAAAAATATTTTGTGTTTGCAATACAAAATTTGCCCAACAAACAACATATGAAACAAGTAAAATTGAACTCAACTTAAAAAAGGTGTATTACCAGGAAATAACTGAAATTATCATTAATTACATTAAAATTGTTATTACGAAATTAAAGTTAAGTTCTTGAAATATTTACAATTGTGCATCAATATTCATTTTTATAATGAGATTATGTCGTTCTTGAAAATCTAGGAACATCTTTGTTCAAGCTGTACTTGTAATATATAATAGGGATTTTTCAACAAAAGACATGCACTGGCTAGTGATAACCTCTTATACAGTTGGAGGTCAAATCTGTTACTTACTATACCCCATTTGTCCGCTGTTGTGACAGTTGTTAAAACTTGTTTTTTAAGCACATAAAAAAATGGATGACGCAAAGCAGTTATTGATTTGCTAATAATAGAGCCTAGACCTTGCAAATGTTTTTCATATCATAAGTCCTATAATGATCGATTATTAAAAAGAACTATGAATTTATTTTCTCATTTAACCCAGAAAGAGTTTAGTTTTTACTTATTCAGAATGATTTCCACTCATGTTCGCACTGTAAGATCTAGAATTATAACAATTATTAATTTTACAGATTGGATGTAGAAAGTAAACTACCCGAGACGTTGGCGTTGTCGTTTGTGTCGTGTCGGTCAGATGAGAAGCCTGCGGCTTTACTCACTCTACTTGACCATGTGATCGCACCAGATAGCCAAGTGGCAATCTTTGTCGCTACAAAGCATCATGTTGAATATATACATATGGTTGGTGTTTTATTTTGATACTATTAACTAGCTCTAAATAAGTGATCAAAGGCAAAAATTAGTTTTTTCTAGATTTTGGTTAAGGCTGGATCTTTTTCCATGTAGGCTTTGTTCAAAGCTTATGTCATACAACCATTTGTCTAACAATAAGACAGAAATATGTTAAATATAAATCTTTCATCAATGGAAATATGTAAAATAAAATCCTCCAAAAATTCCAGTGGCACTAGTGGGCACTGTCTTTCCCCTCTGGGCACCCCTGCCTTTTAATACAGTATATTATAAACATTAATATTAGTGATGGAGGATTCTAAATCCTATTACAATTTCAAAAACAACACAATTATAGAATTTACTGAGAAAAGAGAATCAATTCACATTAATATTTATGAGCATCACAATCAACTACAGGAGAATTTAATGCCTTGTCCAATCCCTACAATCACAACATCCCTTTCTTGCAACTGTCATAAAATTGCAAGATTTCTGTCCCAAAATAATCATGAATAACAAATATAAACCATTTTTGAATATTTGCGATTTTTCACAATTCTATTCATGTTCATTTACACTTACTGCCTTGAAACATACACACAAGTTGAGGTAACGTGGGAAATCCATCTCAGATCAAGCCGATCAAATATCAAATATAAATCTTAAGATTTGTAAGACATCTCCCTAATTCATTTTAAATTAAAACAGTAATAATTATATATGATTGTAGCTTTAAAATATTTTGAATCCCCCTTTCAAACACTAATACTAACTAACTTAATGTTTTGGTCAGCTGCTGGACCAGGCTGGGGTGCCTAACACGTTTGTCTACTCAGACCTGGACCCGTCGGCTCGTAAGATCAACACAGCCAAGTTCCAGACAGGCAAGGTGAAGGCACTCATAGTCACCGATGTCGCGGCTCGAGGTCTCGATATTCCCTCTCTGGACGCCGTCATCAACTACAACTTTCCAGCCAAGGCCAAGCTGTTTGTCCACAGAGTTGGTTAGTTGTTTTGATTTAGTTGGTCTCACCTTAAAATTTGAAGGTTTGATTACAATTAATAACTCAATAATCCTTTATTCAACCAAAGTATCAAAAACAGATTTGCATTGGTCATGTCAAACAAAATACATCTTTACGTCTAAAAATTGAAATCAAACAATTGTTCTTAAATCAAACAAGATTAATGAATCACAAGCCTCCTCAAACTTAACTAAACCCATCATCGACACATTCACGGAAACTGTAGCAACTCTTGGCCAGGAGTAAAATCAATTCTGAACTCTGATGCCACTTAGCATTGGACCAGATTAGCTGTGTCATAGTTATAGACAAGCCTTTCAAGGTGGAAGTTGGATAGTAACAAGACCAGAGTTTGGACCATCACCTTACCAAAAACTGTAAAAATGCTAATTACGTAGACACAAGTAAACACGTAAACACAAGTAATGATGACATACTGAAACAAATTTTAGGTTTCAATCAGCATGGGAAGACTCTTTATTAAAAGGGAAAAATCTAGATATCTTTTTATCAAAGCTAATTTTTAGTCTTTACTGTAGCCTACAGTAATTTTATCGATCAGATAAAATCTTTGGCTCATAAATTAATTTTCAAAGTTGAGGTGTGCTGTAATTTCGGACTTCCCTGCAGAAGGGAAGAGTTTGATCCCCGTCATCATATCCAACAAGATTTGAGGGTTTAGGTCCGCATTCTTTTTAAGCCTCTGTGATTCTAATGTACAAAATGACACAGGCGTATAGAAACTAAATATTATATTTATATTTCAAATATCCAATGTTTTAGGAGCCAGTTACTCGCAGCAATGGCAGGACACTATGATCTAATTTTAACTCACTATTGCTACTAGCTCAGAATTATTGGCGTGTTTGTAACCTAGAGGTTAGCATCTCAGACTTGATTGTGAGATTGACAGATTCAATCCCTTGCATAAACTAAATTAATTCTTTGAACATACAGGCAGGTGTGCCAGAGCTGGTAGAGCAGGGACTGCTCACTCTCTAGTGGCCGGGGATGAGCTATGCTACTTGTTGGACCTGTGTCTGTTCCTGGGCCGCAGCCTCAGTTGTGTAGGGTCTGATGACTCGGCTGCTGCGCCTGACGCCCTCGGACGCATCCCTCAACACCTGCTGGACGAGCAACTCAGCAAGATCATACTGTGGCACGACAACAACTCTGCTCTGGTCAGTACATCTATTATATGTTGTTTATGCTTACTTGCTTGGTAAAAAATATGTATTGTTGTGTAAATTATGTAAGAAGGATTGGCTATAAGTAACTTATGGGTCTGCGGTGCACAGAAAAAGTAGCTATGATACGGCTCTGACCTAATCGGTTCGGTACAGCATTTTCCCAGTTATTGTGCTATTTGGAACATAGAATAAAGTAAGGCTACGAGTTGTGTTAAGTTATCAAGTAAAATTGTTCCTTCTCAAATAAACATGTTCTGTTCCTAAAAATACCCAACCTAATTTTACAACCACTTTATGATGACTGACTTATCTTAGTAGGTAATAAAATAGGTAAAGCAATTATCCTCACTGTTTATCTTTCTTGACACGATCATGTTAGGAGTTAACGGTTTTGATAATGTGTTGATTTGTTTTGTGTTAATAATTGTTGATAGAAAACCATGAATGTAGGATAGGCTTACTAATTTATCCATCTTTAAAGTAATGTCAATGTATCAAAATTAAAAATAATGGCTTAGAATAGGATCCTGAAAAGAAAACTGCAAAAAATACTGATTACAGTGTACCGATGTAATGTAACGTACAGAACCCTATTACCTTAAACATTCTGTACCCCAGACCCCTTATAAAGTAACCGAGATTTATATGGGGAGAATGAACACAGAACGGAACAGCGGATAATTGACAGAGTATTATAGCATCTAAACTGCACTCACCGGTATTCATTCCAAGACTGAGATCGTCTCCTTTCTTCCGTTGGTCTCTCCTTTGACCTCTTTGACCTCTATTTAAATCGTAACGTCTTGTTGTGGCTTTTGGTTTAACAATCACTAGGCCTACCGTATATACTATATTATTAATGAAATAAAACTTTTACTTCTTGACACATAAAATAATATGAACACTTCTTTTACTTTATAACATTCCCTCCCAACTTAAATAACAAACTAAAATAAAAAATCTTCCTGGGAGGGTATCAAATCTTCAAATTATAAATCTAGTTTTTTTGGCTCTCGCCGCTCTCTTTGCGAACGACGGACCGGTAAAACTTTTGGACTATTCGGTAGGCCTAACTCCTGAGTCTTGATGGGTGAACTTTGAGGTGTTTCTTGTGTTACCACTGGAGTGGTGTCCTTGATGGGAGAATTATTCTTACTTCTTCTTAACTCCTCTTAAGGGGTACTGATCAATTTTTCTGGGGTGTTTCTCAGTGTCGCTTTTTCATACTCATTAGCAGGTAAGACAACAATATCCTCTTCTGAGTTACAGTAATTTGCCCGCAGGTGATCCGCATGGACAAACCTACTACGACCTTCCGTTTTTACCAGATAAGTCACATTACTGATAATTTTGGTCACTACTCCAGGTAGCCAGTTTAGTTCTTCTTGCCGTACACTTTTAACAAACACCTTTTGGCCTACTTGAAATGATCTCTCAGATCCTCTATGTTTATTGGCAGCAGTTTCAATCTTCACTTGTTTCGCCTCACAATCCGTTGCCAAGTGTGGCTTCAAAAGACTAAGCCGAGTTCTGGGCTTGAAATTAAAGATAAGTTCTGCTGGAGTCAACCCAGTTGCCGTATGAGGGGTATTGCGGTAAGCAAATAGGAAGCTATCAATACGATGTTGCAAAGTGCGCTTTGATTGTTGATTTTCGTCCTGTAGCAACTGTCTCAAAAATGCACCTTTAGTAGTTTGCACTGCCCTCTCCGCCAAACCATTTGATGCAGGGTGGTATGGGGGTGTGACTACATGTAGGATCCCATTACTTTTAAGAAAATCATTAAATTCCCTGGAAGTAAGCTGTGGACCTCCATCGCTTACCAAGGTGCTAGGTAAGCCTAGCGTGGCAAAACATGATCGAAGTTTTTCAATGGTTTTAGCTGAAGTCGTGGTCTGCATATGAAAAACTTCTAACCATTTTGAGTAGCTGTCTACTACTATAAGAAACTCTTGTCCTTTGAATGAGGCGAAGTCTATATGAATACGTTGCCAACAATGCTTAGGCCACGCCCAATGCTGTAAAGGGACTAGTGGAGTTGTGTTACGGGTAGATTGACAGATCTTACATTCCTTGACAGTTTCTTCTATGTTTTGGTCTAACTTGGGCCACCAAACATAACTACGAGCTAAGCTCTTCATTCTAGATTCCCCAGGATGTTCCTGATGTAGCAAGTTCAAGATTTCTTTGCGGAATGGACTTGGAATAATTACTCTCCTCCCCCACAAAACACAATTCCGTTCAACTGAAATTTCTGCCCTTCTAAGGAAATAGGGTCTAAGTGTATCATCCATATGACTAGGCCAACCATGAAGTGCAAAATCAAGGATTTTTGACAAAATTGGGTCATTAACTGTAGCTAGGCTAATCTCTTTATGAGTTACAGGCAACTCATCATCACTTGAAAAGAACGCTACGCAGTGTTCAGGGCCAGGCTTAACATGTTCACATGGAAGTCGACTAAGTGCATCGGCATGACACATGTCCGAACCTTTGCGATAAGTTAGGTCGTAACTATAAGCTGACAAAATCAGCGCCCATCGCTGTACTCTAGCAGCTGCCAAAGTTGGAATACATTTGTTAGGTCCTAATAAAAATGTCAATGGACGATGATCAGTTGCTAACAGAAAGTGTTTGCCATATAAGAATGTGTGGAATTTTTTTACCACGAAGACTAAAGCCAACGCTTCTTTTTCAATTTGGGAATACTTGACTTCATGTACCGTTAAAGTTCTCGATGTGAATGCAACAGGGCGCTCTGATCCATCGGCCAATCGATGAGACAACAATCCACCAATTCCATAGGGGCTAGCATCTGCTGTAACTATGATTTCAAGATCGGGGTTGAAGGGCATCAACACTCGATTAGTAAGTAACATTTCCTTACTTTGTACAAACGAATTTTCACATAGGTTGGTCCAGTCCCACTTTACATCTTTGTTCAGTAGATTGTACAAAGGGTGAAGCAGAGTTGAGAGGTTAGGTAAAAATCTGCCATAATAATTGATTAGGCCTAAATACGAGCGCAGCTGTGTCAAATTGGTCGGTCGAGGCGCCTTTTTGATAGCCTCGGTCAGTTCATCACTAGGTTCTATTTTGTCTGGGCTCAACTTGTGGCCTAGGAAAGTTATGCTTTCTGTAAAAAACTCACTTTTTTTAGCATTGATCCTCACTCCATACTGCTGAAATCTAGACAACACTGCCTCTACACACTTGTATAAACCACTATACGTTTGACCAATCAACAAAATGTCATCTAAATAACAGTACACATTTTTAAGACCATGCAAAATTTTATCCATGACGGACTGAAAAATCGCACCTGCGCTTGTGATACCGAACGGCAGTTTCCGGTAGCGAAAAAGTCCCCTTGTAGTGTTGATAGTTAACAGTTCCTGTGCTGTTTCATTTACACATAGTTGGTTGTACGCTGCTGTCAAGTCTATTTTACAAAACATTTTAGCTCCAGATATATTAGAAAAAATCTCTTCCGGCAAGGGTAGCGGATAATGGTCAGTTCTCAGACAAGGATTGATTGTTGTTTTGAAATCCCCACATACTCGAACTGTACTGTCACTCTTAGGTACTATTACTATGGGAGATGCCCAATTTGTTTTAGTCACAGGGTATATAACTTCATTTTCAACTAGCCTATCTAGTTCTTTATCGAGTTTTTCTTTAAGAGCAAATGGTACATTGCGTGCCTTGCAAAAGATAGGTTGAGAATTTTCCTTAAGAGTTAAGTCAACTTTAATGTCTTTAACTGTCCCAATACCAGCTTGAAAAACATCGGCAAACTTAGTCTTCAAGTCCTTAAGTCCTATTGTAGTAATTGGAAAGTTCCTACCTTCAATTCCGTTGACTGAACATACTTCTTGATTTTCCCGGCTCTGAGCAATCTTTTCCCAGTCGAGCCTGATTTTCTCTAACCAATTCCGTCCCATCAGTATGGGTTGCGTACTAGATCCTTTTATAACTACCATCGGCAGTGAATGGCTTCTCCCCTCCGTTGTGACATCAGCCTGAAACTCACCCAAAACATCAATCTTTTGCCCAGTATAAGTCTTAAGACTGACCTGGCTCTTCCTCAGTTCTGGTAGGTTATCCTGAAAATTATTAACATATGCATTTTCCGGCATCACGGACACTACAGCACCTGTATCTATCGTCATACGTACAGATTTACCATTTATGCACATCTCAACTTCATAACTGTTCGATATAGGCCTAGATCTATCACTGTCAGAATAGGCTATGGTAAACAGCTCCAAATCTTCCGAAGATTCATGCACTTCATCTTGGTTATTCATTTGACTACCATCATGGTCGCAATAATTCACTTTACCCTTAGAATTGTGTTTGTGCTGAGTTTTACGACACACCTTTGCTAAATGACCCTTTACCCCACAACTATTGCAGGTATACTCCTTATACGGACAAGGTTTTTCATCATGGTTCATTCCACAACGGTAACAACCACTAGGTCTTGACCATTGAGAGGCCCTATAACTAGACCTAACCCCACTACTGCTAGGCCTAGGTTTAGAATTCTTAACATAATTAATGCCTGAAAAACTCTCAGGATGTAGCGCTCTCACATTACTACAAGCATTTTCTAGTACTAAAGCTAGACTCAAAGCCTTATCAAAGGTGAGAGAATCCCCCTCGGCCAACAAGCGACTTTGAATGTCACTGGACCTCAATCCACAAAGAAACCTATCTCTCAAGGCTGAGTTTAAGAACTCGCCATAATCACAGGAGGAGGCTAGCTTTTTAAGTTGAATTGCAAATTCATTTACATTTTCCCCCTCCTTCTGCACCCTCTTATTAAAAACGAACCTCTCATAGGCTGTATTCTTCTTAGGTAGAAAGTACTCAGACAAAGCCTTTACAATTTCATTATAAGTTTTCTCACTAGGTTTGGAAGGTAAAAGCAAATTTTTCAGTGTTGCATACAACTCAGGACCCATGAGAGAGATAAATAGGGATACTTTAGCCTCATCCTTAACTTCATTGACTTTGAAAAAATGCCCTAGCCTTTCAACGTAATTCTCAAAAGTTTCCACTTCTTTATTAAATTCTTGGATTTTACCAATTATTTGCTTCGACATTTTCGATAATATTCCCCAAAATTGCAGTTCAGAATAGCTATTATGCTAAAACTTACAATTTTCGAAGTTGTGCGACAACGTGGTGTTGCATACTTTCCTGTCGTAGCCAAGGCCTACTCAGGTTAACTCTCAGTTTAACCCTAAACTTCCAGATATTTCCAAAAATATCTTCCAAAATATAAAGTTCTTGGTTTAATTAAATCAATTCCTTGAATTTCCGAGCTGAAAACCCTAAAAACTTCGCTAAACGCACAAATTTCAACAAAACTTTTCAAGTCTGTACAAAACACTTTGGCCTCGTCGCCATTAAAGTAACCGAGATTTATATGGGGAGAATGAACACAGAACGGAACAGCGGATAATTGACAGAGTATTATAGCATCTAAACTGCACTCACCGGTATTCATTCCAAGACTGAGATCGTCTCCTTTCTTCCGTTGGTCTCTCCTTTGACCTCTTTGACCTCTATTTAAATCGTAACGTCTTGTTGTGGCTTTTGGTTTAACAATCACTAGGCCTACCGTATATACTATATTATTAATGAAATAAAACTTTTACTTCTTGACACATAAAATAATATGAACACTTCTTTTACTTTATAACACCTTATTCCATCAGTATACAACACAAACTGATGCAGTAAAAAGTGTACACACATTGTCAATATTGACAACAACTTCCTGACCACCATTGTACCTAAATACACTCTTCCCAACTCAAACTTGGTTAAAAAATACTGTCAGTGAAAGTTAAATATTTTCCCATTCACGTAAGCCTATGATATGTCCAGGCAGGACAGAGGCGTGTGAGTGAGAACGCATACAAGCAGTACCTGCGGTCGAGGCCAGGCGCTTCAGTAGACAGTGTGAGAAGAGTCAAGGAGTTACCTACAGCGACCCTCGGGGCTCATCCCGCGTTTGTCTCCATCTCTAAACCTCTACTGGACCGAGCCTCCATGCTTGTACAGATGAAGAATTATAAACCGCAAGGGGTAAGTGATTTTAGGTATTAATAGTGTCAAATGTCAAACTGAAGGCACTTGTGTTGTAAACATTCTTCGTATAAATGTGAGAGTTCAACGGTGTCCAAGTGTTTTATGTCCAAAGCTAAAAACAAAATGCAATGATTGTCAATGTTAGTGAAGTGAAATATTACTTAAACCTCATGGAACAATTAATTGAAACACAGGAGATTATTTTTTAAAATGTCAGGCCAAAAGTCCAATATTAAAATGGTTATAATATTACCTGTTTCCGTCTGTGATCCTATATTTGTTGTATAGAGCAACCGGTTTCAAGGTTATAACCTCATATTCAGGCTCTTGTTGTCACTCTTGCTAGATCGTTGAGTTTTACAAACACACAAAAGCACTAACATTTAAATAAATAAACACAAGACATTTACAGACGAAGACGATTAACATAAATTCGGGAACTAGTTCCACACACGACGCGGCACGGACAAATGTTTTGTCATAGATCTTAGTAGGGGATTTTGCAGAATCAGACACATATTAACCTACTTGTAGAGATTGTTGTAAATTGTGCTTCAGACTTTTTGCCTGAGATGTAAGACTTATGAAACTAGGTGGCCAATATTTGACGAGTTGTGACTCTAGGTAATGTGCTCTGTGATGTTCACACTCCACTTGGAATATAATCTCTGGCAAATTTGACTTGCACTTTATAACCATTGTCACAGCCATTTCATTAGACCGAATAAAAAACAGAAACCCCCGTCTTATTTTCAATAATTTTCTAATTCCAAACATATACATAGTTCATACATTCTTTAGGCATTTCCCTACAAAGGGAATATTGTGACTAAGATGCATTTTATAACTAGTTATGTTATACCACACAATAAACATTTTAATTAATGGAATGTTCATTTATTGTACTGTAATTATTTATTTATGTTTACAGACAGTTTTTGAATTTGGCCAAAGCTCTCATGTGCAGTCCTACAATGTGATGAAAACAAAACGTACCAAGGACAGTGAGAAAATATACAGGTTCAAACAGAAGTTGAAGCAGGACAATGTAATGTGTGAAGGTAACTATCTCAGACTACAGCAGAATAGAATATTGTGTTAGTTGTACTGAAAATGCAGACCGAGTAAGTTGATGATTTAAAAATTAGTTTCAGTGCTTCTAATATTACAGTATTCTATAATGTAATGAGTGTACGTACACTTGTTATGTGCAAAAGCCAAACCTTGAATTTTGAATCCACCTTAATGTCAAAATACTCCCGCCACAGCAAACCTGTCGACTAAGCGAATTTTCATTTGTCTGAATTGGTTTTCAATTAAATCTATTAACTTAACATTGGGTTTAACAAGTACCTAGGTTTGATGCTACAAGGAAACTAATAAAGTTTATTTTTCAGTAAAATATTAATAGCTTAATATAAAATAAATAAATTTGCCAAGTTTGATAACAAATATCCATAAACAAGCAAACTACAACATTTTACAATATTCTCCTTAAGAATAACATGGGAATTGTAAATTTACAATTTTTTGAATTTTCTATGTTACTAATAACCGTACAAAAACACTTTGATATACTACGTAAATTATTTGTTTTTTTAAGTTCTTTTAAAAGGTCTGGAGAAAAAGATAAATTTTGTGTTTTAATGGTAAAAAATGAAAAAAAACCCATTTTTACTCACATAAAACCCCCTGTTAAACTCTGTTACCATGGTCCGATCATGCTGGATCGCGAATTCATTCAAGTTTATCCTGTCTTACACCTACAAACCAAATTTTATCAAAATCGGACAAAAATTACTTAAGATATCGTCTTCAAAGACATATATACAAATTTGAACGAATAGTGTTTTTGGCCTCTGGGGACATCAAAATGAAAAAGTAAATCGGTCCCGGGCCTAGGTATTACCATGAGACCTACGGTAATAGCTACTTACCTTTAGGGAAATTTGCTAAAAAGATGCAAATTTCAGATTCCATGGGCTGGACTTGAGAAGTGAATCGAAAATCACATATTTAGTTACACTCACAGCCAATATGCCATCACAACCTGTATGTTTGTTCAAGGCAGTCAAAGAAACGGGAGCTGAAATAAGATGTACAAGTCACAACAATTTCGAGATTTTTAGAATACAATTTTTACAATATTATCACGATTGCGGGAAATGGTAACGTGGCTGGATCATTGATGTCGCAATCGTGGGTGATAATCATAATGTTGCTGCTATTCTAGCAGGAACAGATTTGATAAATAAATGATAAGTCGTAAAGTTGTTTCAAAATTAGATCAAGTTTACTTAAATTAGAAATTCCAGATTTTAAACTCAAATCTCAAGGAATTGGATTTGAGATTTGAAATCCCTGGATTAGACCGTACCTCTAATACAACATTAAATATTAATCAATAAAGGCAAAATCTCAATATTATTTCATTTAAGGCGAAGAGAAGAAGTTGGAGTTGGAGTCCAGCAGTGTGGCAGACATCAGCCGCACATTCAGTAGAGTGATCCTGCCAGCCAAGCGTAGAGAGGCCCGAGCCTTGTCAGGGGGAGGCAAGAGGGTGAAAGTGGGGGGAGTGGACACCGAGAACTTTATCCCTTACAAACCTGCTGACTCTCACAGTGAACAAGGGTCAGTTACAGAAATTATCGTTAAAAAATAAATTAACAATAACAGTTTACATTCTCCATTCATACTTGGCTTAAAATACCTACTTTGTATGGTCGCCATTTCATTGAAAAGTATAGAAGTAAAGTCTTTCGAGCAGCCAGTCTGTAAGTTTTATTTTTGAAAGTGAATGAATTATTCTGCTGTTGTCCAATGCCAACCACCTGATTGCCCGCTTTTGTTGGATGAGAATGTGCTCTAGGTTGAATGCAGTGGACCCGCCCCCCCCCCCCCCCCACAGACCTCTATGCTATATCTCAGGTGAGATTCAAAAAGACCTAAATAGACTACCTTCGCTGCATCTGTTCCTGTTATTTGTTTTATCCTTCTGCTTGGAAATCTTCAGCTGAGCTGGAAAACTCCTTGAGAGAGTGATTTTTTTATTATGTCTGTCAGAGGGCCTACCAGTTCTTCTTTGCAGAGTTTCGCAAATTTTGCTATTTCATCAGTGCCTGTTGAGGTTTTTCATGGAAGGAATCGTGAAAGGAGGGATACACTGAGGGATACCTGAGAAAGGAAGGATACACAACTAACTCACCTGAATAAAGAAGTCCCAGGAGGTCAATAGAACACATACAAAGTACATATTAAACTGATAAAGGGACTTCTTCAGAGGTCTAGAATGTATGACAGGCTTGCCAAAACTTAACTTGTATACACTAAAAATTATAAACTGTATGTACACGATTGATTTTTCTGGAATTGAATATATATATAGAATAATTGAGTACATACAGTTTATAATTTTTAGTGTATACGAGTTAAGTGTTGGCAAGCCTGTCAGACATTTAAAACAGTGTTAGAACTGTAACTGCCATTCTACCTTCTAAGCCTCTGAAAGGGGCGAAATATCAGTTTAATGTGTACTTTTTATGTGTTCTATTGCCTGGGACTACTTTATTCAGGTGAGTTAGTTGTGTATCCTTACTTTCTCCTCAATAATTATTCCACAGCCAAGTTGCTTTTTCCCCTTTTAAAAAAACTAACATTTATGAGTCATATGAACTCAGACAATGAGTAATATACTATAAAATGGTATTACTCATTTTATAGCAAGTGATATTAACTATGAAAACTGCATCAACACGTTGTGAATGCTTTAGACCGATAAAGCTTATTTGACAATTAGATTGTTCTTTAATTTGATCCTTTTTTGCCAGATTGGCAGTAGAGAACTTCCAACAGACAGCTGATAGAGCCATGTTGGACCTGACTGGAGACACAGACAGAGCTCTGCGGCAGGGAGGCCAGCGTGCCAAGATGGTGTGGGACAAGAAACGCAAGAGGATGGTTGGAGTGGAAACTAACAGCAAGGTATGTATCAAATATTTCAAAACATAATTCCCACAATGTGTTTAGTTGAACAATACATTTACTATTACATCCTTATCGTCTAGTGATACATTGAGTGTCATCTGGTTCTTGACCTGTTCAATAATAAATAAAAAATTAATAATGTTGTATCAAACAATAATTTGTAAGTTTCCATTTAACCCTTTAAACTCAAAGAGAAGATTTAGAACTGTTCTCACATTAGTTTTTTGTGTAATAAAATTTTAGACAAAGATAATAGCAAAATAACCTTACTTCCACCCACATACAGCTATCAATGGGAGTAAAACCGTAGACAAAAAGAATTAAATATAGACTGTCAGCTGTGCTGCGGTTACCATGGTTACCATACGTTACGGCGTTAGTGTGTAGTGTAACTACACGGCGCTCTGCGGTCTACGCCAGAACCTATGGTAACCGCAGCACAGCTGACTATATTTAAATCTTTTTGTCTATGGTAAAACTAAACAAAAACAGTTGAAAGATACCTAACATACACTGCAATCTGGGACTCGTTTAGAACTATTACTCAGGCTTTTGGTTGATCAAAGTTTTTAGAGCAGTTGTCATACAGAAGATAGCACTGTGTTCACCTGTCTGTGAGAGAGCTGGGTGGAAGTTGATAAGAAGGGTGGATTCATCAGGCACAATCACACTTTCTGCTACTTTTCGTTATCCTTTATGCATGTCCATCGAGAACTTGTGTTAAAATAATTTTGACCATTGTCATCATGAGATGACGGTAAATGGTGATAAAAATAGGTAAAATTTACACCAGGATTATTGCATTGAGTTAAACCTACAGCCCCATGTTTAGCAAGGACATGTATTACTTATTGTTTTGGATATTGACTTATCTGTTGTTAGGCTGGCAAGATCAAGTCAGAGTCAGGCACATGGATACCGGCCTCTTACAAGAGTGGCCGCTACAAGGCCTGGGTAGAGAAGAACAAGGCTGGAGAGGAGCAGAGCGATGATGACGACAATGACAAGGACAAGGCTGCCAGTGAGTGTTTTGTGGACTATTTTTGTAACTTATATTTCTGTGCAGATGGCCAAAGGATTAATCTAGCCAAGATTTTTTTATTTTAAGGATGCATATAGATTAGGTTTTCTACGACACCGACACACCTGGGAATGAGTGTTAAATGAATTTAATGAAAGCTTTATTACTGACTGATCAGCTGGTTCCTTGGCCAGGATCATTTGTTGGAAGCATAACGGTCAATGACATATCTGGGTCCAGTGTCAAACCATTAAAAAGATTTGGATCTTTCTCAGGATCAATTTAGCAACCTTGAATTGTAGAACCATAGACAGTACCTGTCTGATTTTCTTAAAAATTGTATATGTAGGTATAGGCCTAAACAATATTTCTAGAAGTTTTTTTACATTTTGAAATATAACTTATAAAGGCCGTTAACACCACTAAGCCATGGATATTTATAGGCCTATCAAAAACATCTAAATTAGAATAAATTTTGAAGGATTTACCCCAAACAAAATGGCACCCTTTCTCCCTCTAAATCTCTGTAAAAATAGCAGATCAGAATTTATCGGTCGAAACATGACAAATGTTTTACAAAACTAATAAAAATGCAAATTAACTAATAAAAATTGCCGAACAATTGAATATTATCATAGGCAAAGGAGTAGTGTATAGTTTTATAAAAGTAGTTAATGAAAGTGTGATTAAAAATGGTGTTGTTACCTTTTCTGTTATGTTTTTAGAATTGAAAACTACCCCCAACACCCGCTGGGGCAGACACAACATCAAAGCACAGCAGAAAGAAAAGTTTAAATTGAAAAACGCTGACCAGATCCTCAAGCAGAGAATGATAGCTGAGAAGAACAGAAAAAGGAATTCAAAAAAGAAGTCTAAGAAAAGAAAGTAAAATAAAAACGTTTTAATTTTGCATTTAATTGTGTTGTTTTATTGAATAAACCTACCGAGGAATGAATCAGCGGCCTAATTATATTTAAAATATCAACTTACAATAACATTGAATAAAAAGATACATATTTTTCTCAGGTTTATACCGGTATACTTCTGATAATTGAGAGCAAAATCTGAGATCAAGATTTCCCAGTCTGGAGAAAACCTAATAGTTATTTGAGCAACTAGTGAGCAAAGGGAGCAATTGACTCACTCGAGAGAAATACTTACTCACGAGCCGTAGGCGAGTGAGGAATGGTTTCTCTCGAGTGAGTCAATTGCACTTTGCACTCGAGTTGCACATTATATTTTTCCTACAGTTACCATAAAACAAATAAATTGGTAAAGAAACTTAACATATTTTTACACAGAAGTGAACTTTTAATATGCCATTTAATGATCGTCTGCAAGATGGTGGATTTGCTGGGTTGTTAGTTTCTGTGCTCCGAGTGATAAACTTACCTGTATGTCATTTCCAAGAAGTGGTTCCTTAATACTTCGTTTCTGGTGAGCGGTCTAACCTCAAAGTCAAATTGATAATATCTATTGCTGTTTTATTCTACTAATTTATCTACTGAATAAGAATTATATGGGCTGTAATTCAACTCTTCTACAAGTTTATGCACGATAATATTACTTTCAACTTTCAACATTTATGGAACATTTAGTTTTATATTTTTTTTGTAGCAAATACTAGAACAAACAACCTGACAGTTGCAGATGACTCCAAGCTTCTTCTGTCAGTGTCCACTGCCTTCATTATCGCTTCGCCACTGAGTAACCTGATCAATGCCCACTATGGTTCAGCCGTACTATATCTAATGTAATAACCAAATGTAGTCAAGAATCTTAGCAAAGCACTTAAACTGCTACGTAGTGGAAATTTTTATCAATAAAAACCATAGCTTAATAATATTGCATCACCAGGGATTAAAATCAATACGAATTTATATTATACACAATGTCTTCTCCTGAAGTTTGCCCAGTCTGTGTGATTATTGTTTCTAAGGATGAGAAGGGAATCCAATGTGATGGACCGTGCGACAGATGGTTTCACGCCTCATGCACTAGTCTGTCGCAAGCTGAATATACAAAGCTTTCAAAGGATAGTAGTCGCAAATGGTCTTGTGGGCGTGATGACTGTGTTAACAGCTCTAAACAGCCTTTAAATTTGTTGATTAATCAGTTGTCTCAGTTATCAAAAGTAATAGGAGACTTAGTGACAAAGGTTGATCAGCTTACACCTTTACCTGCAAAAGTAGACCAGATTCTGGAACAGGTAGATGGCCTCAACAAAAATCTAGTGTCTTTAGAACAACGTGTAAATGTTAATGAGGCTAAAATAGCTAGTCTAGAAAAGTCAGTAAATGACTCTGCGAGAAGTAACTTTGATATGGAGATGGTAGTGTCTGAAGTCAATGAGAGAAATCGTCGAGCTTCTAACATAATGGTTTATGGACTCCCTGAATCTACCAGCAATGACACTCAGACAAGAATTAATCATGATCTTGATCAAATTTCGAAACTGATTAACTCTGCTCTGCCTGAACTAAGCGTCACAGCTGTTAAGGCCTACAGGGTTGGGAAGAAATCTGCAGACAAAGCCAGACCTTTGAAAGTGTTGCTAAAGAGTGAGCAAGATGCTCGCTCTGTCTTGTCCAAATTCTCGTCAGAAGTGGCCAAAAATGTTGATCCAGATTTCTCGTCCGTCAAACTTGGAAGAGATCGCACTCCCAATGAACAAAACTACTATAAATCGATTGCCGCGGAACTTGAAGAGAGAAAGAAACAAGGAGAGCTCAACCTCACAATAAAATATAAGAACAATATACCATCAATAGTTCAGAGTTCAAAAAACGATTAAAATCCAACGGTCTCCCATCTGCTGTTTCTCCTTTAAACCTTTATTTTCAGAATGTAAATGGATTAAGAAGTAAAATCAACCTGTTGGCCAAATCAGCACCTACATCTCTCTATGATGTGATTTCATTGGCGGAAACTAACCTATCTCCTGATGTTAGTAATAGCGAACTCGGCCTTACGGACTTTACAGTCTTTAGATGCGATAGGTCAGAGCACACCAGTGACAAAAGAAGTGGAGGAGGAGTACTCATCACAATCAGAAAAAGTATATCCTGCACTCAGATCTTTCCTTCAAATAGGTCAGTCGAGTGCCTCTTTATCCTATGCAAAATTGGATCATCTTTTACTATGATTGGAAACGTGTATATACCTCCAGGACAACCCTCCTCAACATATTCTGCCTTCTCTGATATTGTTGATGAGGTTATGAACCTAACAAAGGATCTTACTAACATTTTCCTAATGGGTGACTTCAACCAGCCCGATACAGACTGGATCAACCACGAATCTTCCAAGATTATATCTCCTTCTTCCCATTTTCTTCTAGAGGCTGCGTCTTCTTATGATCTGAAACAAGTCAACCGAGTTCCAAATTTTCGAGGTGTGTTGCTGGATTTGATTTTCTCATCGATTCACGGGCTGCAAGTTGAAAATGCTGAGGATGTCCTTTTAGAGGAGGATAGACATCACCCTGCCTTGTTCTTTACTTTTGATGCCACTCTGTCTACTTCCTCTGATGGTCCTAGGGAATACATCAACTATCGCAGATGCAATGTTGACTTAGTGTTGAAAGACCTGTATAACCTCAACTACCCTGTGTTTGATGAGCTTCATGATGCTGAAACGATATTTAACTGGTTTTCGGATTTTCTTGGAAAGAGTATCAGACTACATTCTCCCCTAAAGAAGACTGCAAATTGTAACTTCCCATGCTGGTTTACCAAGGATCTGAAGAGACTAATTATTTCTAAGAAAATACTTCATAAGAAATATAAGTCATCTCTATCACCCTCTGATTATGAAGATTTTAAATGTGCCAGAAGAGACTGCAAGGTTTTAACCAGTATCTGCTACTCAAATTACATCAGTAGAGTGGAGGAAGGCATCCCTCACAATATAAAGTCATTCTGGTCACATGTGAAAAACCTAAAGAGCTCTTCTACTTTTCCCTCAAGAATGATCTTCGAATCTGCAAACGCTACCGAAGCTGACGGAAAATGTAATCTCTTTGCAGAGTATTTCTCATCGGTGTTTGGTGACATGGACGTCAACGTGCCTATCTTCAACTTTGGTCTGAACAAAACCATCAACGGCTGCGTTTTTTCGGCGATTGATGTTCAAAAGAAACTTGAGTGTCTTGACACTAACAAGGGAGCTGGACCTGATGGAATTCCACCTGCAATTCTCAAACATTGTGCCCAAGTCCTTGCCCCACACCTTGCAATCTACTTTAAAAAACTGCTTGATGAGGGGATTTTTCCTTCCACGCTAAAGCAAAGTTATGTTGTGCCCATCTTCAAGTCTGGTAGTAGCAACGATGTAAAGAATTACAGGCCAATTGCCATTCAACCATGCTTAGCTAAAGTATATGAAAGTCTTGTCCTGGATAATTTACTCTTCCAACTTAACAGTTTTATCATCCCTGAACAACATGGCTTTCTACGTGGTCGTTCGTCCTCTACAAACCTTCTAGTCTTCCAAAACTACATTATGTCAGCATTTAATAAGTCTTCACAAGTGGACTGCATATATCTTGACTTCAGCAAAGCCTTCGATAAGGTTAACCATCGTCTACTTTTAGCAAAGCTGGAAGGCTACGGTATATGTGGATCCCTACTGCGGTGGCTAAGAAGTTATTTGAGTGATCGAGAGCTCATTGTCAAGTGTGATGGAGGCTTTTCTTATCCGTTCCCTGTTCCGTCTGGGGTACCCCAGGGGTCTCACCTGGGTCCTCTGCTGTTTGATATTTTCATAAATGACATAAGCAAGGTAATATCATCCAATTTTCTTCTTTTTGCTGATGATATCAAGGTATTTGCGGAGGTAACATGCTCAGACTCCCAAGACCAACTCCAGTCATCTCTGGATAAAATCAGTAAATGGTGTGATGATAACGCTATGGAGTTGAATGTTGCCAAGTGCCTCACGATGTTCTTCAGTCGCAGTACTGTAGTGCACCCTTACAACTACAGCATAAACGGTGCCATCCTGAAAGTGGTTGATATGGTCAAAGATTTGGGCGTCATCACTACTCCTACCCTCAGTCCCTATGAGCATATCAGCCAAATAGCAAAAAGGGCTTCATCACTTCTTGGCTTCATTTTTCGAACAACAAAAGACCTCAAGAACCCTCTCACACTTATAATCCTCTACAAGACTTTGGTACGTCCCGTGATGGAATACTGCTCTGTTGTCTGGTCTCCTTATCAGTCTTTGCACATCGATATACTAGATAAGATACAAAGAAGATTTATTAGACTGATTGGTCTTAGACTGGGGTACCACTTTCAGGATGTTCCTATTATCACCCTGGAGAAATACTATGATCTGCAACCACTCAGTCTGAGAAGGAAATGTTACGACCTGCAGTTTCTCTTCAAACTCGTGAATGGTATCATCGACTGCACATCTTTGCTGAATAATATAGAATTCTCTGCCCCTAAAGGAACCAGATCCAAAACGTTATTTGCCAGAGGATTCCAAGCAAGGAATTACTCCTACCATCATGGGTTGTCAAGGTTGCTGAGGATGGGTGGAGAGGCTTCGACTCACATTGACTTCTTCGGGATTTCTTCTTCCTCATTCAAGAGAGACGCCTCAAGATATTTACAAGGGAGAACATCTTAGAAGCATTTTCCTGCCCTCCTGTGGGAACAAGTGATGTGTAGTTCTTGTTTAGGTGGTGCCTTTAAAGGGCCACACCTTAGTTCTGTTTTGAGGCTGGTGTTACCTCAGCAAGGTGCAGTGCAATATAGGTGGTGCCTTTAAAGGGCCACAAATGAAAGTTGGTGCTTTTTAGCATGGTGTTTGGTGTTTGACACAGTGTTCTTCCCATGTCATGCATGCATACACACACACATACTCCCACAAATTATACTTTTGTTAATACTTTTGTAATATTTTACTGTCTTTTGTTATTATTTTCACAGTTTATAATTTGTTATCTTTGTTGCCATAGTCTATTTTGTTGGTCTTATTTAATCGTTGTTGTTATTGCCTGTTGTAAAGTTACCGTCATTACTGCTTGCTACTTGTTACCATTATTACTAGGCATAGTCTTCTTGTTGTTATTTATTGTAGTTTTCAGGTCCCACTCATGTATTTATTGCCAGCTTCCTTATTTATTATTATTGCACGATTTTTGCACATACACACACACTCCCACAAATTACACTTTTTTAGTACTTCTGTAATATTTTGCTGTCTTTTGTTATTATTTTTACAGTTTATAATTTGTTATCTTTGTTGCCATAGTCTATTTTGTTGGTCTTATTTAATCGTTGTTGTTATTGCCTGTTGTAAAGTCACCGTCATTACTGCTTGTTACTTGTTACCATTATTACTAGGCATAGTCTTCTTGTTGTTATTTATTGTAGTTTTTAGGTCTCACTCATGTATTTATTGCCAGCTTCCTTATTTATTATTATTGCACGATTTTTGTAACCACTGTTATTAACTTATTATTTGCTACTTATGTATAGTTCATAGTTTGACAAAATTGTATTAATGGAGAAACCGTTGGAATAAATAAATAAATAAATAAATAAATGATACAACAGCTGACCAGCTGATTTACAGCCAGTGCTGCCAACGTATTACGCGCGCATACGACCTTGTCTGCATGTTACACGCTCACTATTTCGTGCCTTCACGTTGCTAATCTGGAGCGAGTGAGACAAAGTAATTAGAGTGAGACTATGTTAACATTGTCTCACTGATGAGAGAATTGGCCACTTTGCTTTCTCAAATCAGTGAGAGAACATGTACGTACATTGTTAGGTAACTGTAGGAAAAAGTATTTACCTACGACCGTTTTTTAAAGTAGCCATTTCAGTCCAGTTCTTAGAATTGAAAAGTTTCACTTTACAGCTGTTTACTTTCATATCAGCATAGTTTCATTTCATATCAGCATAGTTTTTCTCATATCCACACAGGTAACGGACCAATGAGGTTCAAGTATTGAGAGAAAAGAATTAAAATTGTAATGCTTCGAACGTCAACTAATCAGCTGATCAGTTGACCAATTTAATTGTTGATCCGACTTGTTCATGTTGATACTCGTATATTCTTAATTAAGTTGGTGGAAGTCCAAAAATAAATGAAATATTTGCCGAATTGTACCTGATACAATATTATTTATGGCAAGAATGCTGCTAGCAATGTAATATTTAACGAAGTTTAACAAACACGTAATTACAGGAAATCAGCTGATTATACAACAAGTCGTTGCATCATTTTCAGTGGCAATGACAATACACGAAAACATAACCTCTCTAAAAAGTTATCAGTAGTGATTGTTAGTAATTAAATCCAGATTGATAGTAATTAAAAAACGGTCGTAGGTAAAGTAGTGTACGCAACTCGCGTTAATAGTCTTTACGACACTCGTAGAAGTTTTTAAGGCACTTGCCAAGGCTCGTGCCTTAAATTTTCTACTCGTGTCGTAAAGACTCACTTAACGCAATTGTTGCGTAAACTACTATTACCCTTAGAAAAGGAGATTACAAAGGGAGGAAATATAAAAGGTTGTACAAATACACTTTATTTACAAAAATCCTATCAATGAATGTTCTATCTACTGTGACTAAACTGGAGGAGAGCTTTTTCCACTTTTTTCCGTTTCCTCTCACTACGCACCTGCTCCATGTGGTGGAAGTATTTTTCTCTGAAGCTGGTGACGACAGTGCACTGGTTGGCTGCAGGTACTAGTTCCATCTCCTGGTATACAAGAAAAGTATTAACTAAATAATTTTGGATTTGATTCACTTTTCTGTTAGAATATATTCTAGTAGATGACTAAAATAGTATATTTCATAACAAGAGTAGAAAGTGAGACATTACATATTTGAGACTATGTTTGAAGTGCAAGATTTATCGAGCACTTTAAATAATCGGGAATATGTATAGACCTACTTTCACTCGTGTTTTGAACGTTACTTTTTGCTACACTACAAAGAATAATTATTTTCTTCATTACAAAACTTGTAGAATCTTTTAGTTTATGCCTTCAATTTAAAGTTTATGTTGACTTAAGTTGTTGAAAATTGAAACAGTTGTTAAAACAATAACAAATACTTGTTTGTTTACGTCGGCAAAATAAAAAAAAGATAGTAAACATTCTTTTGCCGTAGTAAACATTAAACAATGTAATTATAGATTTTCGCTGGTGATAAACATGCAACAGAAACATAACGTTTCACAGTAGTGTAGCAAAAATGCTCTTACGAAAGTTCCAACAGCAACAGCTGTAATAGCTATGGTAATCTACCTAAATATTAAACATTTTCACATGATTTAACCTAGTCATATGAGCCAATTCTATCACCAGGCCTATACTGTTTTCTGATTAGGACAGTTGAATTAGTCAGTCAAGTTGTCTAATTAACAATGAACAAAACAAGGTTAAATATATTTAAGAAGTCTCCTTTTTTCTCTCAGATAAATCCAAGTCTTGCCTTAAAAAATGTGTTCTGCGGACCAATCGATCATCTAGGAAAATCAGTAAGTCAACATTTATTGACTAAGCGCCTCATAGCTAGAGAGTGCCTATTCCCATTTTTTACCTTCTCATATTTTTTACACAATACAAACCATTAACAAATAATAATATTGAAAATCCCTACTTCCACCGATTGTTTGTCCTACCAACTTTTGCATGGGTGATTGAATGGTGATGTATTAGTATAGTTTTTGTATAAACTCAACTTTAAATATAATCAATGCTCTAGAAGACTGCTGAGTCAATTAGTCTGGTTTTATGGTTATGAAAGGTGATATAAAAACTTTATATTGATCTTTACAAACCTTATTACATTCAACATTCCCGGCCTTTTTTTGTTTTCCCCTTCGCCTTCTACCACCATATCAAACACAAGATTATGTTGGTTCTTAACATTCACCTATAAAATAAGATTGGGAAAATAAGCTGACTCTTAATGTAAAAATATAACTTACTCATTGTTGGGGTTTGCCCCTGAACCATTAAGATAGTGGATTATTTATATTTTATTTTATTCCCAGCTCAAAAATAGTTGTATCTACAACTAAGTTTTTTTTTTCGTCCTCGAGAACTATTAGTCTTTTTGCAACAATGTACGAGTGCGTGTTATCATAACAATTTGATATTTCTCAACATGGTACCGATGTGATCATGACGCAACTAGCGCCAAAACCTTGGTTGTAGATACAAATATTTTTGAGCTGGGACAATTTTTTTTATATAAACCACTATACAGTGTGTAAATTAAGTATGGAAACAATTCTGTATTTTTTAAACCTAAACCGATAGAAGAAATGTTCCAATTTTTTTAATACCCGCCATTTTCACTGGGGGTGGGATGCCCACCTCAAGTTTGCGGCATTGTGTTTCTTTTTGACAAACCCTTCAAAATGAAGGGTCATTCAATAGGGCTTTTTGAAAAAAAATAAGGCACCCCCTACTCTGTTAGGGATTTTAAAATATTTCTGATGTAAAATATTGCAAAACCTTTGTTAACAATCAATGCCACAAACAGAATATTTCTATCTAGGCCTATTTCAGTTTAAAGAATACAGATTTGTTTCCATACCTAATCGTGGCAGCCTGCTGATTTTATTCTAAATTGTGCCTACTTGAACTAGTACTTAAAAGAAAGAATAACTCCTGCTGCTTTAAGCAGTACAGGTTTACAGGATTTAGAGAAAATTTTCGGAACCTTGCTAGGTCTATATAACTTTATTATTGTAGTGGCGCTGACAAACCTTGTACGGTATTTGTACCTTATGTTCATGTATTATTGTTTTTGTCTATAGAATAAATTGATTTTAATTGTTTAAAGATGTATTGTAATTTTAGCAATCAATCACTTAAATGAATATTATAATTTACTACTAACATTTAGTTAGGGTTATTCATTATCAACTAAATATTAGGTCTATTATCTATAGCTTAAAACGTGATCCTTAATCATTATGCAAAACTATAGAAGGTATCTCAATCTTTAGAGTTTTGCTCTAAAGTCACACTAACCGTTGGTTCCCGATGCTTGTGGTAGGTGAGCAGCCTTCGAGACGCGAAAGTAGACAGGATCTGTTCACAGTTGGCCACCAGTTGTAGGCAGGGATGTTCAGGGAGGGCGTTTTCATCATAGTCGTCTCGGAATATCGGAATCCACGTCACCAGTCGTCCCCCCACCCTCAGATGTTTGGCCGCAAAGCACAACAGGTCAGAGACGAGTTGCTCCATACTGTAGCTGGTCTTGGAGGGGATGTGGGACTCTCGGTTCTCCTCTGCTACAGTCAGTGTCTCTCTGGACGAACCGACCCTCTCTATTGACTCGCGGATGCCGTAGGGCGCTAGGATCAGATTAGTTATTTTAACAATTGAATATAAAATTGATCTAAAGGAGAAACATTATCACTACGTCTAAGACCAAATATGAACCTGATAGAGGTTGAAAACCAGGGAGACGGTGTTGTTTGTTGCAAAAAAGTCCTAAGCTGCATGTGTCCCTAAAGGAACGGAATTTAAGCAGTTAATATTTGAACATTTAAAAGACTTGACTAAGGGAAAGGTTTTAGTAACTGTAGAGTAATTAAAACAACCCCACAACAGAAAACCTGCAGACTAAGCGAATTTCCATTTACCTGGCTGGATTTCTACTAAAATATTCCCTGAAAATTGTCAGATTTATTTCCTATTTAAAAAACATTAATTTTAATTAGTACCTAGGTTTGTTGCTACAGGTAAAGTATTGAGGTGTGTTTTTGATTGAAATGTTGATAGCTTAGTATGAAATAAACAAAATTTCTAAACTTGATTCAAATATGTGCATAAACAAGCAAACTAAAACAGTTTATTAATTCTCCATAAGAATATCATGGGAATTTTAAATTTAAAGTTTTTTTTTATTACCTCCATAACCGTTAGGCATACAACAAGGCTTCAACATACAAAATTATTAATTTTTTTAAGCTCTACAAATTGTTTTAGAAAGAAATTGTAAAATTTTATGATTTTAGAGTAAAAAATAAGAAAAACCAATTTTTACCCCATTAAACCCTCGTTCCCATAGTCCGATCATGTTGGTTTGCAAACTCGTTCAAATAAACGTAGGTTTTTCAAGTTTGTACCAAATTTCATCAAAATCAGATCATCTTTGCTCGACTTATCGCGCTAACGGACACATATAAATATACATATATATGAATTTGAACGGAGGGTGTTTTTGGCCTCTGGGACTTCAAAATGAAAAAGTAAATCGGTCCCGGGTCTAAGTCTTACCATGAGACCTACGGTAATAGCTTATTCCTTATATGGGAAATTCACTAAAAACTCCATTTTTTTTAGTTTTAGTTTTACATTCATGGTTTTAGTTTTGACCTAAGTTGTCCTGAAAATAGTCTTTAACTGAGGTATGTTTGCAAAGACGTTTTTATTTATTGTTTGTGGTTTTGAATTTTGACATTCAAAGTAGTGGAAATGTCCCTTTAACCTAGCAAAGAGTATTAAAAGAAAATCCAAATTTTATATATTTAGGTAGCTGCAAAATACAACTAGATAATTCTTTTGTGGCGGTTCTATCTTAAAATGTAAGTATAAACAAACTTTAAATAATAAATAATCACTAGCTCTTACCATGCACAGTCTTAAGGCCTGTGCATCTTCTGGTGTCCATGAGATAATTTGGTTTATTGCTACACTTAGGTAAAATAAATTGCAATTTTAAATGATCATACATTTTAACTTGATTAAGATACAGCCCAACTCGACCTGCTTTCGGGTAATCCACACTTTGTTCAGATTTTAAAACCAGGATATAAAAGGAGCATTCTTATCAAAAGCATAACAAGTACAAACTCACGATCTGTAATGATAGCGTCCACCACCAGCTCATCCCTCCATAGAGGTACCGAGGCGTCCGCTACGACGACATCCAAGTATTGACTGGTCAGCTGGTATTGGTCAAAGTTGGCCATGACACTCTCGTCGTCCTGCCTGCCCCTGAACTGATACAAACACAAGATGGAGATGCTACTGAGTATACTTCAACCCAATTATGAAGGAAGAGTAGCCTTTTGTAACCTTTTTACTCAGTAAGACCAACTGTCTCTTAAGCAAGGACCATTTATTACAAGCTTAATAACCGCAGACAACTGGGTCCAGCTCCATCCATCACAAAAACTACAGACTGCTGAATAGTTTTGTGGGAAAATTTGGGAAGATTCTTGGACAAAAAAAATAACTGTAGGTTGACATCGCAGGTGGAGACGTTACCGCTAAAACAATTAACGTACAATGTTCTTATATGGAAGAGAAAAATGTAAACAGTAGCAATAATTTTTTTTCTCTTCTGTAATAATAGCTATTTACCTTACAAGTGTAGTAAGAGCCTTTTTACATCACGCAGGTGAATGATGTGCAACGTGCGGAAGCGATTTGCATAGTTCACCTAAGTGATGTAAACACGCTCTTGCGTAACGTGTAACGTACAAGATTTTACCTGACCCGACAATATACAGGGGGTATTGTACGTAGGTACAATATTTTTCATTATCCATTTCACTCATCTTCTAACAGTAACGTTCTTTTACAAACAAAAGCTAGGTTTGGAAAATTCTTTAAAGCATAACAATAAAATTCAAGCTGATTTCTAGCGCTGAACGTCGTTAGCTCCATAGAGGTATATATTTTTAAGTTGAGCACTGCAATACGATCATCAATGTTATTTAAATGGGTTTCATTACTTCACTAGTGAGGTAAAGAAGTTGTTTACATCACACTTGGGATAGGGAAGTTTAACATGGCGGGTTGGGTAAATATTATTATTATAGTTGGTTGTATAAACCAAACTACAAAATTCAACATAGAAAATGTTATGACCATTTTAAGCGAGAAAATCATAAAATCTTACTTACCCTATCCTGTTTCCTGGTAGGTTTTGTCTTTGCATGTAGCATCATGAAGTCTATATCTGTGCCAAACACAAAACCTCCAAAACTTGCAGCAGCAATCAGCAAAGATCCTAAAATTACAACCATTTAGAAAAATGTCTGGCAATTAGATACTAGACATAGACATTCCTTATTGCACAAAACATTCCTTTACATAACATAACATTTAGAATAGGTGCATTGCAAAAAATTAAAACTATACATAAAACATTAAACATTTAAACCAAACTTTAAACAGTATAAAAAATATTCTAAATTTAGGTTCTGTAAAAATTTGCAATTAAATAAGTAGCCTAATTAAATTATTTGTCTCTCTTAATTTTTTTTTTTTCAATAACTTGTAGCATGATGGAAGCACATTGTACAATCTCAGCCCAGCATATACAATGGACTTTTTCATTTAGGGTCAATTGGTGTCTGGGTAGTCAAAACTAATTGATTGGCATAAAGAACACCAATATCGGCCCAATAATATCAAAATGGTGCCTAAAACGTATCAAATCCAAATAACCATGAGGGTGGCTGAAAATTAACATGCACACCCCCTTATCTTTTTAACTATTTGAGATATTTAAAATCGGTTTGCGGCAACCTGTTTAGATATGAGGGGCTACAATGACGGTTAGTTTTAAAAAAATTGGAGGGAAATTTTTAACATGGGAACGGGGTTTTACGGGGTAAAAATAGGGTTTTCTCGTTTTTCACCCTCAAAACATAACATTTCCCAATTTATCTATAGACCATTTTGAAGAGCTTAAAAAAAAACAAATAATTTAGTATATTAAAGTGTTTTTGTAGGGTTATTGGTTACGTAAAAACGCAAAAAATTGTAATTTTAAAATTCCCTTGTTATTTTTATGGATAATAAGTAAACTACTGATATAGCTTGCTTGTTGAGCGGAGCGAAGCGAAGCTCTTTGGGATCAAAAACAATGCAATCCTTATAACACTTAATCTCAATAACGGCTGAACATATTTTAGCCAAACTTACCATGGTTTTTTGTCAAATGTTTGGATGGTTTAAAGTTTAGACGTAACCAATTTCAATTTTTGAAATGCCTATATAATTTTTGAGTAACTCAAAGTTCTAAATTTTAACATTGGTCTTATGGGTTGCCATGATGGTTACAAAATAACGACGTAAATGTAAATAAAACAAAGAATCATAGCATATGTTAAAATCAAGCCACGACCTAAACACGGTACAAAGGAAAAAAATTTGGATGATGACAACTAATCAAATGCCACAGAGAAAGTCTTAAGTTAACATTTGAGTCCCAATTTGGAAACAACCACTGATCGAATAGGTACAGTCATGGATAAAAATGCGTTTTTAGGTAGAGTATTTAACAGTTTTTATTTACGTAGCTAAATAAGGTTATAACAAACAATAATATTTTATCTTTAACAATTCGTCGGTGAATCAAATTCATGGATCCATCTCATAAATTGCAAACTTAAACAGGTCTACGACGTAGGAAGTGGTGAATGAAGTTGTAAAGGCTAGCAGTGCAGATTGTGGGAGTTCTGCATTTTGTATTATATCTATAAAAATTTTTTCATTTATTACTTTATAAAAAACCATGAAACATGATTGCTTCGCTCAACTGGCTTTCATTGCTATGAAATCAATCCTAGTTTTTGTAGGTATATGTTTTGATCAAACTTGGCAAATCTATATCTTTTATGCTAAGCTATTAATGTTTTACTAAAAACACACTTAAATACCCTCCCTGTAGCAGCAAACCTAGGTTATTAAATCTAATGTTATTGAAACAGATTGAATCGAAAATCAAATCAGGCAAATGGAAATTTGCTTAGTCTAAAGGTTTGGTGCGGCGAGTGTATTTTTCATTTGCTACAACAATTATAAGAACTGATGAACTACTGTGTCCTTTAGTGTGATAGACATTGTAAATGACTAGTTAGTATTGTCTCAAGGTAGACTAACCGCTGCCCACAAAAGGATCCAAGACAAGGTCCCCTGGGCGGACCTGGGCTATGTTGGCCATGATCAGACTTAGCTGAGCGTCCATACTGGTGTTGCCGATAAACTTGCGCTTCTTGAGGTTCAGCTTGGTCATCAGGTCCCGCCTACCTTTCCCTACCTAGAAACAAGAACAGCAAAATGTATGTGTTTAGTATTACTGAGAAATAATATTACTCTGGAACCAAAATAATTGATAGGTTCATGTTATATATAACATTTTTTGTCTCAAGCAGATGGTAAAAATGGTAAAACTATTTGTAAAATGTTTTTAACTTTGACGAATAAACACCAAAACATCAAAAAACTTGGGGTTGATAACACATCTATAGGCTACCCTAAATGTTAACACGGCTCCAATTCATAAATCAGCTAGTAAGCTAAATCAGAAAAAATTTAGAAGCAAATAATAAACAACTTACTATTCTTCCAAAGAATACTCTGTTGGGCTCATTTGGAATGTTGTTAGGATCCATACCGTAGTGTTCAAAATACTGCAATGCTAGGTCCGGACTGTTCAATTTCACCGAGCCTTGAATAGGCAGGTATGAGAAAGACTGAAACAGGATCAACACGTTGAATTAATAATCCTTACTTACTTACTTACTTACTCCTGTGGACACACAAATCTCAAGTGATTTTTGGCCTCGCCAACAATGCTCCTCCACTGCTGTCTGTCTTCTTTCCAATCCTTACTTACTACAAAAAAAAAAAAAAAAAAACACTGCTAGGAAAAAATTAACTGAACAATTTTTAATACATCAAACACATTAACTTAAAGCTAATAACACCCATGTGTATCACACAGCATATGCTCTACTTTGAGTTCAAAAACAATTGTTGCTATTGGTATAGCAATTCTATTTGTTGGACACAACAAGTAATACAAGAGGGACTTAACATCTCATTATATTATATTATAGACTGGGACGGTGGTGTCGTCCTGTAATCCAGCTCCTGGGAGGTCACCAATTGTGGATATTTATAGGCATGCGCTGTGGATGCGATAGCTAGTCGTACTTGTGAGTACTATGACTATCGGCAGTACTACCGTATCCTGATAATTAGACCAATTCGTTAATTACAAGGAACAAATGTGGTTCGTATTCCGCTATAAACAGTAGGTCCCTTAGTTGCCTTTGGCTGTAAGGGCTATCAATTAACAGCTGTGTCTAAGGAATATGTTGGCCTTAGTCACTAACAAGAGTACAAGATCAAGCCACTCATCTCCTTTCATACTTGGGTTAAAATACCTACATTCGTATGGTCACCATTTCAAAGTAAAGAATTAAAAGTAAAGTATAAGTATTTTTTTTAATTAATTTTTTTTCCTAGGACACTAGGCACGAGCCTGAAATTGAAAGTATAAGTATTAAAGTAAAATCTGGAGCCTGTTTTGATTCGTTCCTGTTTAGATTTGCGCCTGTTTTAAATCTCAGACATTACTTAAGAAATCAAACAACATCCACTTTCATCTAACCTCAATCTTTTCCAACTTCTCTCTCTGCGTCTGATGATTGCAGAAAGTGTCCACCTTTATTTTGAAGGTAGAGAGAGGAGAGAAATATGGCCGTATAAGGGTTTCCTGTTCTCTCAGCTGACTGTGCAGATCAGCTGTGTTGGTAGCACTGGCCCACAAGTGGACAATGCGTCTGATACATACTGACCGAGATGCAATCAAGCGAGCTGAATCTTCTGATGGTAACTCTACCAACCAGAATGGCTGAAAATTTAACAACAATCTTTTAGCACAAAGTGATCAGTAAACATTTTTAAATCAAACAAGTTTAAAAACAAAGGACATGACAATGAAATTAACAACTGCAAATTGCAAACACAATTATTCAGTAAACTTTTGGCTTGACTGTTTTTTTTTTTGTTTTTTTTTTTACCAAATTCAAGATTTGTAGGTTTGGCTTGATTAATAGGTTTTGATGACATGATTGTCCACGTAAAGATTGTTTATAACAAACTTAAAAATAAAAAATTGAAAGAGAAAAAACTGCAGCACTCATTTGATTTTGAGAAGCTCGCAGTGACTTCTCAACTGATTGGCATACCTGTATCATTACTGACGGGTTGGCAGCTAGATAACCAAACACTCAAACGGGGAGCTAAATGGTGGCGTCAATGGCAAAGCGACATTGCTAAACACAACTCCTAGAATGTGCATTACTGTTAGGCCAAAAGTTTTATCATCGATTTCCTCTGAAATTGTATGTACAAGAATATTTCTAAAAAATGGGTTTTGAAAGTGCCAACTTACCTCATTGCTAGGCTCTTCAATCCACTTTAATGGGATCTTGAACAATTTTGCAATAGCTGTGATTTCCTGAAAGAAAACAAATTAGTAGGCCTCGTGGAGAATTGATTAATTTAATTGAGATGGGAACGCCATCTAGGTGTGTATTTTAACCCAAATATGAGTGACGGATGAAGTATAGGTAATGATCTATGTATAAGACTAACTGTGTCAATAGCCAGGACCATTTATTTGAAGCCCAATGATTAGGAACAGCTGAGCCCAGTATCGAACCATAAAAAATCTACTGTCTTTTCTCAGGATCAATCAGGCAACATTTTTGATTGTTAGTTTGAGGTTTACAAGTTTGTACCAAATTGGCAAATTTCAACAAAATCGGATGATTTTTGCTTGAGTTATCGTGCTAATGGACATGTTTTTGACATCTGGGGACATCAAAACCAAAAAATAAATCAGTCTTGGGTCCAGGTATTACCATGAGGCTACAGTAATTACTTATTCCCTAACTTATGGGAAATTCACTAAAAGGTTTTCAAATCAGAGAGGAAGATTGATGGATTACTTTAAGGAATTAGACAATTAGATCACTTTAGATCACTTAAGACCACTTTCAACAATCAGCATGTGTTCCTGAGCACAATCTATAACCTCAGCAGCCTCGTCTTTGGTTAGTGAAGTTATGGATGCATTATAAAAGGTTGACATAGGCCTAACACTTTGTGACCTAAGTAAAATATTTAACTAGGTATCCTAAAATTAAAATAATTAGAGGAATTAATACAGTAGAATCTTGATATCAAGTATATCTCATGGTCATGGAGATGATCTAATAAGACTTGTTATCAAGGTTGACTTCTCATCGAGGTATGCAATAACATGTAATTAAGGGTCGTTTGAAGATATTAAAACAGAAGGAATACGGATTGTGAAGTAAAACCAAAATATCTATACCCTAGGCTATATCGGAAAAAATTATAGATAATAATGAATGTTCATTTTAACATGAAAGTACCGAAGTATGTTTATGCAACTACCTTTAAAATATAGGTAGCCTGTAGGTATATAGGTAATTGTTTAAATCTATGTGATGTGCGATAAAGTAGCTTTAAATACTGAACATTACTGATACTGAACAATATTTATTCATCCTTATCCAAATTGTCAGCTGAAATGTTTCAATTTATTGTTTGGTTGTAAAAATAAAATATCAATATTCGAAAATAAATCATCAATAATAATGAATGTTCCTTTTAACAGGAAAGTAGGCCCTACCCATACTTAGAGAATAGGGCCTTTATGGACAAGTTATCAAGTTGGTGAATTAATTAATTAATTCACTGCTAAATGCCTGCATGCTAAGAATTGTATGATTTTCAGAAACAAGATTTTAGAGCCTTGACACAAACCTGTGTTTAATGGTTATATTCGACAGTTTCTGATTCTGACAAATGTATTTAAAATAAAATGCACTTACCGGTAGTCGAAATGAATTATGTTCATTGGCAAAATACAAGAGGTATCGTTTAAGTCCTAGGCACATTGTACGTGCTAGCTTAGTCTCCTGTCAATAATTTGATAAACTATAACCAATTTTATTCTAAAAGCTTACATTAGAAAACGATTCCACATTGTAAATACAAATTCATAATAATTATGTTACAATTTGAAAAATCTAACCTAAAACTTCTCGTCTTATGTTTTCTATTCTATCCTCTATTCTAAGCTGTCTGCTGGCTGAGTTGAGTACTGGACTGGAACTGGACAGTGGACACAGCATTTTTTTCATCAGATGGTTTTTTTCTTGTTCTTATTAGTGAAAACAATAACCAGTAGAACCAACAGCACAACAACTAACAATGTTTAATCATAGATAAAACCATATAAAACATAATCCCATACGTTTAGGTGCATGTTTTATCTATGGTTTAATGTTTGTGTATTTTCCTTCCACCATGGTTTGTGTGTTAGTTTAGTGTTATGGCGTTATGGTGTTACTGTTACTAAACAAAATATGTAGAGTGGCTGGTTTTAGGGAACATCAAATATGAATTTCATAAACTTAGTTTTTGTGGATTGATGATTCGGCTTTTAGCTAAAGTTTGAACCGCTTGAAAAGGCAAATAAAAATATTACTCTTGGCCTAAAGCATAGATAAAACATACTCCTCCTTGAGGAGTTTATCTATGCCTAAAGTTACTATAGTATCCGACTGTGTCGCTGATGGGTTTAGTTCAAAGGAGCCTATCTTGATCTAGTTTGCTATATTAGTCAAATAAAGTAGTTAGAGTTATTGCATGGTGGAAGGAAAAAACGTTTTTTCCTTCCACCATGGAGTTATTGAGTTATAAAAGAAAAGGTTTTATAAAAATCACATATTGATTTAGTTAACATATAAGTTAGCTAAGCGCAACTTCAGATTTTTGTGATATAAGGTTGACAGCAGTTTGTTTACAGAAGAAGAAGAAGTGCAGTAAATTAAATTTAATAAATTTCAATTCCCAAATAAATACTCATAGATTACTAGATTAGTAGCCTAATAATAATTTAATTTGTATACAAACAATATTAGAAAAGAAATAAATTTCTTAAAAGAGTTGGTTGTAATTTTGAAATTATAATATGGAAAGTTTTTCTAAAAGTGAAATTGTTTCAAATTATCACGAGGAACCCCAAATTACTTCTCCTGACCCTGATGAGCGTATTGTTGCAAGGAGACTCAGAATACAGAAAAGAAATGCGGCGGCTCGCAAAAGGTTTGTAAGCAATAATTAGCCTACTCAAATCAAACAAATCTCTTAAAGGCTGTTTATCAACTATTTAAAATTAGTGAGAGTCAAGTGTTAGGTACCAAACTAATTACAAACATATAAACAAGGACTGTTCTAGAAGGTATAGACCATATTTTTGCCAGATTCTCTACAAGTTAGTCCTCGCAATCCTAACTGGGGGCAGCCCAAACTGACCTGCTGCAGGTCAATTGCCAGGTTGGTTCTGCACGACCCTTTTACAATCCTATTAGGTAGCAACGTTTTCTGTGAACTTAGTTCAATATTTTATTAGGCTATTTAACATTAAAAAATTACCTGTAATCGGATGTATTTATTTACTTGTTTACGTTAATGACATCGATTTAACAAACGTTTTCGTCCCATTTCAAACAGACAATGTTTACGATTTATACTTATGTTGTATGTACTTATTTTATTTATAAGTTAATGTAATCTAGCTTAAAACCTGTAAAACTTATCCGTAAAAACAGAAATGTTTGTAAGCTAACTTAATTAAATTGATGTATTTTTACTTAGTTAAAGTAAACCAGTGGCGGATCCAGAGGGGGGGGGGGCGAAGGGGGCGACCCCTCCTCCTCGGGCAGTAGCCTAGTGCATACTTACACATTGCGTAAAATAATAAGTTGTCACACTACTTAACTTTGGACAAAGAAATGGGTATAAAACTGCCATTTTGGAGACTTTCACACAAATTTTCAGGGGGGTTACTCCCAAACCCTCCAGACCCCCTGGTTTGCCCCTCTCCCTTGTGCCTCATATTTAGATCCACCACTGATGTAAACAAGTAAATTAAAACATCCTATTATAATTTTTTTATTTTAATATTGAATTAGGTAGGGCATTCACGGAAGCGTCTCTAATAAGTTTGGAAAAGGGTCGTGAGGGACCAACCTGGTAACTTAGGTAATTGACCCTGCAGGTCAGTTTGGGCTGCCTCAAGTTAGGGTGGCGAAGAACGAAGACTATTATAGTAAATTACTTAAGGGTTGGGGAGTCAGTATTTCTAACTTTGATATGCTAGCCTACAGTGATTTCAACTTATTTATGTTCAACGGTTCCACCATTTTACGATAAAAAAAGTTAATGATATAAGACAGCAAGATTTCAAAATAAATAACAACACTAAGCAATAAATAAATAGGCCTAACATTAAGTTAATTACTAACTATAACTGAAGCTTAATCTATTTAACAATCTTTTCTCTAGCATTTAGTTTAAAAACTAATTTGTAAACTGTAATTATTTCCCCTAAAAGTTTTGCAGAGTGTGCTGTCGCGAAACACAGAAGTTTTGTGGTTCATATTGAATACTATTATTTTAGGTAGGCTTGTACATATAAACATTATTTTAAAACTAGTAATTTAAATATGCTTACTGTACATTTTTAATCCAGACTGCAAGCTGTGGAGGATAAAGAAGAAGGTCTTGATGACGAAAGTAAAGAGGAAACTGTTTTGGAAAAACAGGTGGAGAAAAGCACAGTTGAACTGTTGACTTTGGCTCATGAAGGAAGAGAATTGGTAAGTGTCAGACTTTAGCTTGCACACAATACTTTCTTTGACTATTGATGGAAGGAGCAGACTTCCCATTTTCATGTTAATACTGTAACTTAGCCAGTTTTAGAATCAAATTTGACGGATTTGGATTTAAGCTACAGTAGACTCTCGCTCATCCGAATCGGCCTTGTCCGGACCCCGCTAGTCCGGATCAGCAATCGTGATTTTTTTTTAGCGGCACAGTAGGTACAGTAGTTAGTCAAAATCCGAGATAAACAGGACCAAGACTACCTCGGATAATCAAAAACTCAAATAACACCGCGGTAAAAATTATTACAAGGTGAATTGCATTTGCCCGGCTATCAATAAGTACTGTGGACCTGGAACAAAATTGAAAAAAACTGCTATAACATTTGCTCGACTCTCGATAGTCCGGATTTTTCGTAATCCGGACCGGGCGTCCACCACATTAGTCTGGATGAGCGAGAGTCTTACTGTATTAAGTATCGATTTCTGTTGAATACGCAAACTTTTATAGTTTGCCAAGCAAAATTAGTAAATAGTTATTTAGTAAATAGGCCTACTATAAGCAAAACAGTACCAAGCCGAAACAAAAAGAAAACTTATTGTGAACTAAAGCTTCCTTTATGTCACATCGGGTAAAAAAAAAGAAATAAGAAAATCTAATTTTTTCAGCCTCAAACCTGCGAGCAGCTTATGTTTAGTTTGGATAAATGGAAAAAATTTGGTCATGCTAGTGAGAATGTCCAATGTGTTGATGATTTGTTGAAAACTATTTTAACAAAAGACTAAGTTATATGGGAGAAAGTTGAATTAGCAAACAATATCAGAGGAGCTCTAATACCAACCAGTTTAAATAAGATAGGCTATATTTATAAAACTAGGTGGCGTTTGCAGACGCGTCCACAAAATTAAGCAGAGACATCATGTCATATATTGCCATTGATCCTCACCATCAAGCTTCAAAATTATTTTTACTTACAATATGAAATTGAGAAGTTTTGTGTGGGGATTCAATTTTAGGGTGATCAAAATAGCTACATTTTATTTCCCAGTGAAGAGAAGCATTTTTTTTTTTTTTAACACAGATGTTATAATAAATGGCTTTTTGAGACCTACATTTACATTTTAGGCTTAAAACGTCTGGGATGGTATATTTACTTTTTCTCAAAGAGGGCGGTACAGCTCAGATAGTGATAATATTCAACCCAAACAGTTTCGGCTTATACAATATTGGTTACTGATAACTGTCTGACAGTTAAACTTCATGCGATGATAAGTATAGAATTAAAACACAAAACATTCTCTCATATCCCAAGACCTCCAAAACAAAAAAATCAATTAGAGCAATATATTTAGTTAAACAATTGAACATGAATACATGAATTTTATTGGATAGACAATATTAATCTCAACAAATGTGAACTTTTCAAACTAAAAGCATAGACAAATAGAATTAAATATAGACCGACAGCAGTGCTGCGGTCAGTGTAGGCCTATAAAAATCGTTATATATCAGTGATACTAAAGGTGATCTTCGAGTAATACTGGTATCTTTCTCCAGACCAAGCTTTTGTTAATGCTCATCAAACGTTCTTTTGGAAATACTGGGTCGAAAGCAGCCCTTCTATTATTTGGATGCGGCTCACAGCAACATACGTCAATCCAGCACTGAATTACGAGTATGGTCCAATATCAATAAATATATGGTTCAGGGCCAGGTCTTGTGATTTGTGAATAATTGTAAGAGAGAAGGCAGGTGTCAATGGAAATTGTTTTCAGGTACACTTAATGCCACGTTTTACAAATTTAGTTACAATAATGAACATAACATGGGACAATCGGTACCACATAATTGTATAATATTGGTCCTCTATAGTTATTAATTCAACTAATACACACAAAGGCTGCATGTCCAAATGTGATAAGAATTCTTCATATTTGTAATCTGAGGATGTGTTCAAGCAGATATTGGCATCTAATCGGAACACATTGTTGCTGCTATTGAAGGTTTGTTAATGGCACAAATTAATGCCACAGGACTTTGTAGTTTATAAGTTTGTAAGTAGTCAGGTCAACACATCTTCTTTTCTTGCCGTGATACGAACAGCGTTGCAAAGTTCTGATTTTGTTCATATTTTTTATATGAATCGTAAAGAAAAGAATCTATAATCGTCCTCTGTTATCGTTCTATGAGCAATATAATTAAAACATTACACAAATACTTTCTAAATAACTGGTGTAAATACCTGCATTTATGTGATCAATATGTTGCTAAATTGTAACCGGTTTCGACTCACAAAGGACTCATCGTCGGGCCAGTACAGATGTCTTCTTGTTTTATTCGAAGGTCGTCAATTCATAATAAATAAATACATTTAGCACGTATTTTGAACATAGAAACGAACATTCATTGTCGAATGAACATATATCGTCGCTTAGAATTATTTGGATGGAACGCGAACAACAATATATCGTTCCATAGCACTTTTTGGGAAAATGACGCACAACAATATATTGTCACATAGCACTAAAAGGGTTAAATGGTAGGACTATTAGGTATGTACTCAAGTAGATTCATGCTTCATAGCCTATAGCTTATGATACTTATTAGCTTTAATTTCAGATAACAAATGTTAGAGTAGCTGCTGACTCCCATGAAGTCTCGCGTAGATCGGAGCAAGCTGAGGCAAAGGCAGCGAGACTCAAGAAACTTGAAGATGAAGCTAATATTGCTCAGGAAAAGTTTAACAATATTAATGAGAAATGGGAAGGAATTGCCATACTTAATGATCCTCTGGACTTGCATCAAGAAACAGAGATGCAGAGAGGTTAGTGGAAAAATCCAAAACATCATGAAAAAAATGACATCTAGATATAATTTGTACATATTTAAGTACCGGTAGTTGAACACCTGCAAGCATGACTATTAACCTTTTTTGATTTTAAAATTTCACACAAAGTTGGAAAAGATGAACTTTTTATTAATTATTAATTATATTATATCATAGGCCCAGTCTCCTTTTTGTTATATGGACAAGTTTGGCATTTTTATACTAGTTTGACAAAACTGAGTCTACTTTAACTAAAAATTACAAACATTACATCATTGGACAATAGATTTTGTTATGTACTTAACACTTGAACATGCTATGAAAGTAGGTCAACTACAAAAATGTATAAGTCGAGAAAATAAATTGAAGATTAAGAAGAATTAAAAAAATAATCTCTTCCTCTTGCATTTTGTTAAGTCATTCTAAATTGATTTTTAATTTTTTTTTTGTACTCAAACTTTTTTGCCTGTGGTGTATTTAAACTCATAATTGAAACTAAACTTCATTCTAAAACTTAACTTCAAACTAAACTAAAATAAAAAATTAAAAAACTTAAACTAAAAACTTGTGAAAATTGTAAGAGATTTTGCCTGCATCTTAGACACCTATATTTTGTTGTTGTTGTTAACTTAAATGGGTCAAGATATCATCATCACTAATATCCAAAGGCAAATTTGCATGGTCTGAACATGGGCCTCCAGAACATAATTATTTTGCTCTAAATTTTTATTTATATAGATAGTACAACCATTATCACAATGTATGAATTTAGTTTTTGCGGATCCTCTCGCTCAGCCATCGCCTAAAGACTATAATTATTAATGGTCAAGTCAGTTTTTATTTTGTTGTGTCACATTTGTGTGCAGATGCTTGCTAAAACATGCGATGTCAACCATTCAAGGCAAACAACTATTTTGTTCCAGAGAAGTGCAAGGATCTGATATCACAGAAGGATCAGCTGATTGCAGAGTTAAAGGCGGAGTTGAAGTCAGGAGATGTCAGGTTTATTAAGGATCAGCAGAAACAAGCGGAAGATATCTCGTTGCTGGTAGAACGGATTGACAGTCAGATTGCTATCATGAGGCGTGCCTACCGACGTGAACTCATATTAATTGAGGTGTGGTGATGTTAAAACTATGTTTCCATTCCAATATTTTGTAAAACATAGTATTCTGAATTAGTGTTTTAATAGCTATTTACCTTACAAGTGTAGTAAGAGCGTTTTTACATCACGCAGGTGAATGTTGTGCAACGAGCGGAAGCAAGTTGCATAATTTACCTAAGTGATGTAAACACGCTCTTGCGTAACGTGTATCGTACAAGATTTTACCTGACCCGACAATATACAGGAGGTTACAAGCAATATTTTTAATTATCCATTTCACTCATCTTCTAACAGTAACGTTCATTTACAAACAAAATCTAGGTTATGAAAATTCTTCAAAACATTACAATAAAATTCAAGCGCACAGCTGATTTCTAGCGTTGAACGTCGTTGACTCCATAGAGGTATATTTTTTAAGTTAAGCACTCAATGTTATTTAAATGGGTTTCATTACCTCACCGAGTGAGTTTTGTTCAACTTTACCTCACTCGAGAAGTAATGATGTTGTATACATCACGCTTGGGATAGGGAAGTTTAACATGGCGGGTTAGGTAAAATACTTTTATAAAAGGTCCTTTAAAGTGTGCAGTATTACAGAATGCACGCGTGTGTGTAATGCCAGTTTCCTGTTGCTGATTATTTCAATAGCATAAATCCACATACCTTCCCAAGGCTCGTTTTTTTTTATCTGACGTGCAGTATTGTCCTTTTGCATATATGTTTGAATATCTTTTCCTATTATTAGGCCTATTTAGATTAAAAGTTTCAGTTCATCATGATAATTGAATCTCGGATTTACATTACCTCGTCATCACATATGTAGTAATTTATCTATTAGAATTATAATAGTGATAACACAAAAGTAATATTGTAACAGCAATATATTTATGTCAAAATTGAATGTAAGTGATATATCCATGTATTTGATATTGTATACGGTAGTATTTTCACTTGATGTTTGCGACTCGGTTCCTGCACTCAAGCTTTGCTTCGCAGGGACCTAATTTCAGAGTATTTTGTGTAAAATATGTACTGTATATGTAATGTTTATTTTTCTGAATAAATTGAATTAGAAACCATTGCCGACAGGCCGCCACCGCCCTCCACCACCCACCACCGCTCGAGCGAACACCATTACCGCAACGATACGTTGTACAGCCATCGGTCTCGGTGGTGTAGTAGATAGTGTATCGGGCTGATGATATCGAAGATACCCGGTCCGAAACCCACCGGAGGCATTAACTTTTTGATTAGATTTTTGTAGTTAAATTAATATAAATTTAACCTACAAACGATACGTTTTGACAGCGACAGTGATAGAGATGACAATTTCCCACGAACACTTCGGCTATGCACGGTATGATGCGTTCTGCACGGCGTGCTGGTGGGCGGTGGCGGTCTGTCGGTAACGTCTCGTATTGAATTGAATTGAATTGAGTAATATATACCATATATCAAACCATATATATACCATATATATATTGATGGCATATATCAATTGAAGACAGCTGTACACACTACATACCACATCCAATCAATGTTTCAGCTGAATTTCCGAAACAAAGATAACTAAATACAGTATCTTACAGGGGTCGTATGTCTAAAGCCAAGTGAGCAAAATCAACATCTAACTTTCTCACATCTTTGTTAAAGGGTGGGTTTAATCAGGAAACATAAATTCTCTTAAAGCATTAAATGTGTCTACAAACCATACCGTTAGCAAAGTTATGGTAATCTTTCAGAATGATTAAGAATGATGGCTAATAATGCAAGGGAAGTAGTGTTTCCAAATTCCTCATCTAAAATGTTGTAACTTAAAGAGGGATAGAAGTTTTTTGGATGTTTCAGCAAGCAATTGACATTGAACGCAAAGAAACGATGGAGCTGAACAACAAGCGATGGGAATCGCTTTACAAGCAGCGAGAGGAGGACGAGATAAACAACCTGGAGCAGAGGTTTGTGGCTCTCTCGGAACATAATCAGCTGATGCAAGATATCCTCATACACCACCAGGAGAAGTACCGAGCCACCAAGATATCATTGGAGAAAGACATTCAGGTGAGTCTGTTTAGCTATTTGGTGCTAACTCCGCAGTAGCATTGACTCTAAATGTTGAATACTAAGTAGACATCCCATCTATATGGCAGTTATCACCAGTTTTTATAACGTACTTATGAGCTTGCTTTCTTGTCTGTTTGGTACAAATTATTATCAATTATCAATTATCTATTATTATCAATTATCAATCATTGAGATGGGGACACCACCTAGGTGCATATTTTAACCCAAATATGAGTGAAGGATGAGTGTAGAATGGTTTGTGATGACCTGTGTAGCTTTGTTACTGACCAAGATCAGCGGTTTCATTAGTTAGGATCATTTATTTAAAGCCCAATGCCCAAATAATTTAGTATATTGAAGCGTTATTATGCGCCTAATGGTTACGAAGAAAATTCCAAAAAAACTGTAAATTTAAAATTCCTATGTTTTTCTTATGGAGAATAAGTAAATTGTTGTAGTTTGCTTGTTTATGATCATATTTTGATCAAATTTGGAAAATGCATTCATTTCATACTAAACTATTAATTTTAAACTTTTTTTTACTAACATTTTACAAAAAAAAACACCTTTTTGCCCTCCCTGTTGCAGCAAACCTAAGTATTCGCTAAACTAATGTTATTTAAATAGGGAATAAACGTGATATTTTTAAGGAGACATTTTAGTGTAGATCCAATCAGGCAAATGGAAATTTGCTTAGTCTGCAGGTTTGCTGTGGCGGAGGTATTTTTCCTTTGTACTGTGTTTAGATTGTGGCTTGATTTTAACATATGCTATGATTATTTGTTTTGCCGTTATTTTGTAACCATCATGGCATCCATAAGGCCAATGTTAAAATTTAAAATCTTTGAGTTACTTTTAAATTATTAAGTTATCAAAAATTTACATTGGTTTTGTCTAAGCCTTCCAAACATTTGACAAAACAACCTTGGCAAGTTTGGCTAAAACATGTTCAGCCGTTATTGAGTTAATTGTTAGAAAGTTTGCATTGAAGACGATCCCAGAGAAACTTCGCTTCGCTCCGCTCAACTATTAAATAACATTCCGACACATTATAGCAGATGGTGAAAATTAGAAGATTGAGGTAGTTAGAGGATGTGTAAGGAACAGAAATAGACCTGATGTTGAAAAAAGTGTGAAGAGGGCAACCAATAGAACAATGGCTGAAGAGAACATCTTGACTTAGATGGACTGAGAAAGTGAGGAAAAATCTAAAGTAGTTAGAAACAACATTTTAAGATGACACGGGAGAGGCGGATATTGGAGAATATTGTTGGCCAGGCGAAGAATCTCTTGTAATTTGTGTGACAACAAGATTGAGGGTAAAATAAATTATTGTTGTCATTTAAAATAAACAAAAATATAGCTCTAAAAGTCCCTTATATTTTCTTTGTTGTAATTGTGGCAGGTTCTTCAACAACAACTTGAACAAGTTAAGGCCATATGTCTTCTGAACAAGGAAAAGATGGAGTACAACTATCAGGTGCTGAAGAAACGGGACGAGGAGAGTCTGCTGATACGATCTCAGCAGAAGCGGCGGATTAACAAGTAATCAAACTATAGTTATTAACTCATTCAACCAATTGAATTAAATTCAATAAATTTAATTTTGAGTGTATGAAAAAAGCTAATAAGTCTGATAACTATATATATATCATGCAGTTTTAACCACTAATTTGATGTCTAATATTTAGTCAACAGGTTCCGATGTTGTTTACAAAGCCAAACAACATTTAACCAGGGGTGGCTCCAGAATATATTTTTGGGGACGGTGGGGGGGGGGGGGGGGTCATTGTTTAGCATTTGGAGATTCAGTAACTCCCTCCACTCAAAATTTATTTCAGTAACGTTAATCATAAATGTTGTACATTATAGGCTTTGAGTATTTATTTATATTATTATTTAATAATACATTAGAACTCCAATTATCCGAATCAGTTGGGACCGGACCCCATTAGGATAATCAAAAATTCGGATAGTTGGAGTATTAAAAAAAAAATAGACTGAGTCATGCCGAGCTTTTACTATTGCCATCGCAGAACGGAAAATTTACAATTTTGCCGCGATTGTAGAGTACGATTATGATTTTCTGTGACCCCGGGAGACGATGATGGTTTCAACACGACCGTGACATATATTTAACATTTTGCCGTGATCCCGAAAAACGATGATATTTCTGTGATCGCGGGAGACGATGATGGTTTCAACACAAACGCGAGACAGGTTTTGGATTTTGCTGCTATCACAGCTTCTGCCTTCTTTATAACGATTCTTACTGTGTTCTTAAATTATTTTTGTAAGCAATTTGGATAAAAGGCAATTCGGATAGTTGGAGTTAGGATAATTTGAGTTCTACTGTAATAACAAATTATTAATTAGGCCTACCAGTACCAAATTTAAAATCTTATTGTTATGTGAATATCGTTTTTAGACTTTTCCTCCGCTCTGTGAGCCACTACTGCATTCAACCCAATGATATCTTCATTTTACCTTTGAAAACACTACACATTTTCAGTTATTTATTTTTAATAATTGAATTAAGAACGCTTTTGGCTTTACTGTAGCAATAATGATAATAGTTAGATAGTGATATTTTTTTGGGAATCCTGATATTAATCATGATGTACGTTGGATTAAGGGCCTTTATATAGGCTTCACAGTAAAAGTTTTCTCAAAAGAAAAATGTTTATTATACTTGGAAATTTGGTATAAAATCTTTTCAAATTTGGTTTGATTTTTTAACATATAGTGGTAGAGAGGACTGCTAGTACTAACTTTGCCTCACAAATAAAAGCATGATTCCTTTTTTGATTACATGTTTAAATATTGCATTACTTAACTCAATACTACAGATTACAGGACATAGTAACAACTCTTCGCCGTAAGATTCAAGCGATGGAGCAGAGTACACAAGTAGAAGTGAAGAGATTGACATCGGAAGTTATAAAACTGCATAGAAACATCAAAGATATTTTAATGAAGGCTGAACATTTCTCTTCTGTAAATGAAGCCAAATACTTTCAGCTGTGGAAGTTCAACCATGATTCAGCTAAAAAGCTGTTAAATAAGGTTTGTGGTTGCTAGTTATAGTTTTAGATCATCTTGTTTTTTTACCATTACAAAATGGTATGATTATTTCTAAAATGACATTTGTACTTTTTCTGCCATTGGCAGTTTTTTAATGTTAATTAATGGTACGGTAGAAAAACCTCAGTCTTGTTCCCAACTAACTTCGATCTTTTGATAGAATAGCGTCATTGGTTGATGACAAATATTCTCAAGGTCTAGAATTCTGTAACCAGAACCAGATTTTTAGCCGAGCATTTTAACCACTCAACTGGTCAGACAAATATTTGTATCTATTTACAACCATCATAACTTTATAAACAAACACTAATGTTATAATGCATTTTATGGTTACAGGTCCTCTCAATCGACAGACTTATTTATGAGCAACAACTGGGCATTGAGTGGCAACCACCTCCAACAACGTTTGTGGCCAAGAAAGATCTTCCATCCTATAAATCGGCCGTGATGAAGGATTCAACTGATAAAATTGAAGGTATTTGAGAATATTACAGGAGCACTCTTGATGTGTACCATGGTCTCTCGCTCGTCCTTAGCAAAACGCAGATCGTGATCCTGACCAAGTAGCGGATTGACACCATTGAGCCTTTGCAGTTCGCGGCAGTAGAAATCCAAAACATTTGAGCTGCCAACTACCTTGTTATGGTCATGGTGGGCAATAAGCTAAGCTTGCAGGACCAGATCATCTGTACAGTGGCCTCTGAGTTGATTTTTTCCTAAGTCAAAGGACCAGGAAGAACAAAGGAGTGAACCCATACATACCAGTTCTGATAGGAGAGCTGGGAATAGGAGACACGGGTAGCTAGACCAAGCGACTGATTGAGCAAGTAGCACAACTTCTTCTGCTGCCCACATATGGCTGCCTAGAAGCTAAACCATGTAGGGCTGTTGTTGGTGGATGATGACAGAGGGTGAGGATAATTGGACCTGTGTGACACAGTTTGTCCAGAGCGTTCTCTGCCAAGAAGATTGACCTTGACCGGGATGCGGTCTAGATCATATAAGAATTGAATGCCAGAAACCTGAGAGCTTGGGTCACACATTGAACTGACCTGTAGTAATGTGACAAACAATCTGTGTCCAACAGAGTAGAGGGGGTTTTCAGTGAGTAGTCCGATAAATTCAGGAGTTTCACACTACAGGTGCAACTGTGTGCGTAAAAGCATTTTTACCTCTTCTTCCTAAAATAATCACACAATAGGAGTTTTTGTTTGATTATTAGAGTTATAACTTCAGAAGAAAGGAAATGCATAAATTAGAATCAGAATAAGGAGAAAGGAAGGATACACAACTAACTCACCTGAATAAAGAGTCCCAGGAGGTCTATAGAACACATAAAAAGTACACATTAAACTGATATTTCGCCCTTTTTTTTTCTACCTAGAAAATTTTCTACCTCTGAAGAAGCCCCTGAAAGGGGCGAAATGTCAGTTTAATGTGTACTTTTTATGTGTTCTATTGACCTCCTCTGACTCTTTATTCAGGTGAGTTAGTTGTGTATCCTTCCTTTCTCCTTAATAATTATTCCAAAGCCAAGTTGCTTTTTTCCTTTAAAAAAACTAACCCACTTATTAGGATTTTGGGCAGTAAAACTGCTGTAAAACAAGACAACAACTTTTTGTATGGGTGAAAAGAAATAGCCTTCAATTTGAAAAATAATCAAAATTCCAAGTCTGCCTGATTTTAGAAAAGGCATTCTTTTGGAGATTGAACTGTGTGTACTAGTGATGTGTCAAAACCAAATCTCAAATCTCAAAACCATCAACACTTTGGAAAAGTTTCGGTTTTGAGATTCGATTACCGAGTTTTGAAGTTCAAAAGTTTTGAAATAGGGAGTTTTGGCACTTATATTTTAGAAAATGATGACATTTTTGTGTCATTATTATTAACATTGTTTACACACAAGCTAGTAGCAATCGAGCAAACACATCTCCATTAACACTAATGAAACAAGTAAATTGTATTCTGAACTGCAAAAGGCATCTTAAATACTGGAACAGCTTAGAATTCAGTTTCATATCGATATTCGATATTTATTAAAAACAAAGAAATATTGATCACTAAATGTTCTAATTAATGTAATATTTATGTTTATTTCAATGTCAAGAGTTTCATTTATTTTAATGTTAGTTGTTTATAAAAAAATATGTTATTTTGGGTTTGAAGTTTATGTGTCACATTTATGTTATTACCTATATCTGGATTAGGAGTCTCTTTCAGTTTTGATCGCATAATCTCATAATCATAATGAAAATGTTATCATTACCTGTATTTTTTATTTTTTAGCAACCTTGACCAAGTTTTGCGTTCAAGTTTTGAGATTCGAGATTCGGGATTAGATTTTTTTAGTTTTGTTTTGGTTTCAAGATTCGAAATTTTTGGTTTTGACTATCGCTAGTGTGTACATCTTAGTTTAAGGGAGCGCACAACAAAATATAAAATATAACATTACATTATAGGCCTAAATATAACAAGAGAGGGAACTCGCTGAGATCGGCACAGAAAGTATGGCAGGACTAGCTGTGTTACTCACTTTTACCCATAACTGACTCCAAATTCAAATTCCTCACTATTATTATTTTAACACCACTGAAATCTGACACTATGTTTAATCTCAATAATTTTAAATAAAGATGATTCTGAATATGTATTAGATTTGGAAAAATCTAGCTACTAAAATATGGGTCCAAACAATAATTTTAAAAATTTCAAACATTAAATTTAACTAGTTTACATGTTGCTCAAATTCGAGCAATTGCAAAATATTACCTAGAAGTTATTTTAAAACGAATAACAGTCATATTTACAATGAGTTTAAAAGAGTCAACTCAAAGATTACCGGTGTGTAACTCAGACCATGTTAACTTCGTTATTGATAAACCTAAAGCATTCCGGCCGGTTTTCTCCTTCTCAAAATGCCTCGCTCTACAGGCAACACAGGTCATTGATAGAGGGTCAATTGAGAACGAAAAGTCGTTTTGGGGTAGTGTTAGGGCGCATTTGTAATATAATAGTTGAGATTGTCCAGGGTCAGGTGCTGACTGTGATGAGTTGAGCCATAGATAAAACATACTCCCTTGGTAGTCTATTAGTCTAGGTTGGTTAGTCTATGGTTAAGCCTATTTCGCACCACCTGTAGCTGCGGTCGTTATCACGATTGTCGATTACGCCTCTTGTCTATGTTTCGTTGTCGTCGCGTCGGAGGCATTTAAAAGAAAAATAAAACGACAAATAAACAAATTATAGCTACACAAAACAACTATAAATGCACAAATTTCAGTTACAATCGTGCTAACTCGATCCGTCATAGCGACATAAAACAACGATAAATACAAATTTAATATAAATTTAAGATACAACCATACTAACACAATCCGTCTTGGGGGTTATGTTTACACAAACTCAAACAGTAAATATAAATGTACTCAGTGCGTTTCATTGAATTGAAAAATAAATAACAGCAATTAAATTATACAGCTGATCAAAATGTAAACAATTATGTTCTTCATAAGGATAACATGGGAACTTTCAAAGCCACTGGGGCAGAGCCCAAGGGGCTTTTTCGAAAATGTAAGGCCAGTTTGCAAATCTACGCGACACGCTCTTTCCAATGAGACGTCAATTGATAAAATCGGTTAAGAAATGGAGAAGGAGTTCAACCGACAAAGTTTCATGTAGCGTATTAATTATATAGATTGTCCTTTGCACTCAAAAATACATTACAATAGGCTGCCTTTTGTTTGGACACCTTTGGACCTTTACTGCACGTAAAGGAAAATATTACAATGTATAACAATTTTATCTGTTCAGGAGAACAGCTGAGGGAGGAAGGCAGCAGGGGTGAAGAAGAACAACTGTTGAAGCACATCTTGGAGTCTGTGGCTGATCGGTCGGGCTTCTTGGTGGAAGAGCGACTGAATGTGTTACTAGCTCCGTACACTAGAGAACAGAACACACTGGTCCGCATAGACAACGTGTTCAGTGTCAGTAAATATGTTTTTATTGATTTTTTGTTCTTGTCTTAAAACGGCTATCACATCATGTACAGTGATTGCAAGTGAAATCCTTTACACTTACTGATTAATTACATTAAGGGTAAAATAACATTTTTCATAAGGAAAGATAGTCACATGTTCTGTTATGGTTAGCTTGTTTAGAGTCTTGTTGTTTGCACAGGCCTTGGGAGTGTCCAGACAAGAAGACATTGAGTTGCTTAGGAAGACAATGAAGCCTTACATAGTCTGTGTGACGTGTCATCCCATCTTGAAGGCTGTAAACCCTGTCTTCCACCCCTCCACTCCACCAGCGTGAGTATTTTCAAAAGGTTTATTTTTTGAAGATGTAATAATTGTCGGTTAAAATAGTATTGAAGTCGGTGAAACATCAGTGAATATGTACTGGAAAGAAACATACTATAAATTGTCTCCAGCTGTTCTAAGGTGGAAAATCTCTAAGTGTGTTTAATGTATGTTTCCTCCAATCCCTCCGAAGTTTTTCTTCCTTTACCATGTGCCATTTCATTCTTCTTTTCTTCACAAACCTCTTCATCACATTCATCTGCCTTTATTTATGTATCTATTTCTCCGAGGCAAAACGCCAATTAACAATCATATTCTTACAAATAAATACATAAGTCCTTCTTCTAGAATCTCCTCTTGGCCTTCTTTCCTCTATCACCATCAATTTCATTTTTGTGGGATTCTCCCTCTTTTAAGTGTGTTATTTCACTCCTCTCAAATATAATAACCATCTTATTTAAGCCTTTTTTAAATTTTTCTCAAAAGATGTCTTCAAACTCGCCGTCTTAAGATCTCTTCATTACTAACTCAATACCACTTTTTTTCATTCAACCTCTACTAACTAAATTTCTTCAGCTAGTAATCTCTTCATCTCTTTTCCCTTTTCCCCCCACTTTCCATACTTCTGGTCCATAACTACCTTTTGGTCTGTAGTATAGGTATCTTATAAATGGATTTTGATGCTTTCATATGTACTTTATCTATAGTAAGTGCTTCATATTTTGAATGAACTCTTGAATGAAGCTTCTTTCTCAGGCTAGTCATGATGTCACACCTCATCTTCCCATCACTTATCAACATTGTACCCAAGTACGTAAAACTAACTTTAGTAGGTCCTCTTCCTCCATAAAAAATTACTCCATCTCTCAACATCACCATTACCTCTTTCTGGTCTTAACTGATTCTCAACCCTCTTCATGGTGCAACCATGCCATTCTTGACACCCTCAAAACATCACGTGTCCTTATCATTTACCATAAATAATTTCATAGTCAACATGTAAAACATTTATCACAGTACATTAAGATATTGCTTTTATTTTTGACCGTGATATATTTTTTCCAGACCTTTAATCTCTGAGGATAAGCTGAAGGTTCACGTCTTTGAAAAAGTTAAAGAAGTTCATGATGAAGAAAAGAAAACAACCACCAAAGAGAGGTAATTTCAACAGGCTTCTTCCATGTAATAAAATATTTCAAATGCCGTCAATGGTAGTTCAGGCATATTTGTCCCTTTTGTTGAAAAATTAAAAGAGACACACTCATATTCTTTAAGTAATATACATCTTTTTTGTGAAGACTGTAAGTTAATCTTGCATAGCTTAAACATCGCCGTATTTATTGCATAACAACCAATTAACTGAAAGCAACAACTTCAATCAATTCTTGGTTTTGGGTTTTTGTTAAAATAAAAACCAGTAAAACAGACATCTCTGACTCTAAAACCAACTGATCCCTAATTTAATTTGACCATTTTGTATAAAAACATTAGGTAACAACTTTTAAAGTTCATTAGCACAGTAAATAGTTCTACATGTTTAGTAGTTTATGGTAGACAGTAAAATAAAAAAAATTCAAATGTTTTTTTAAACGGTAGCTGAGTGGTTATAGTGTTCGCCTAGTAATAAAAAAATCGCCTGTTCAATCCTGAGGAAAGTTGGTAGCTTTTTGATGGTTCGAAACTGGACCCAGCTGTTCCTGATCATTGGGCTTTAAATAAATGATCCTAACTAATGAAACCGCTGATCTTGGTCAGTAACAAAGCTACACAGGTCATCACACACCATTCTACACTCATCCTTCACTCATATTTGGGTTGAAATACGCACCTAGGTGGCGTCCCCATCTCAATAATTGATAATTGATAATTGAAACATTATAGTGTTCGCCTAGTAATAAAAAAATCGCCTGTTCAATCCTGAGGAAAGTTGGTAGCTTTTTGATGGCTCGAAACTGGACCCAGCTGTTCCTGATCATTGGGCTTTAAATAAATGATCCTAACTAATGAAACCGCTGATCTTGGTCAGTAACAAAGCTACACAGGTCATCACACACCATTCTACACTCATCCTTCACTCATATTTGGGTTGAAATACGCACCTAGGTGGCGTCCCCATCTCAATAATTGATAATTGATAATTGAAACATTAAATTTATGAACAATATCTACGTTGTAGGCCTGCATGACACTATGTACCATTGATGTTTCACAGCTATTATCTAAAATATATATACCTTTATTATTATAAAGCAATTACTTATGTCAGTACATTTAGATTTTTTAGTGTGCTGCCAAATACTTTGTTTCAAGTTAAAGTGCCTGCCACAAACCACCGTAGAAATAGTTTTTTTTGGGAATCTTTGTTCTAAAAAAAAAGTAAACTTTTTGTTTGTTAGCCTTATGCATCAATTGGACCTCGCCGACAAGTTTTTTTTTTTTAACTTGGTGAGGCCAAGCTGTTGTAATTCATATAGTAAATATATTTGAATTTGAATTACTATTAGGCCTGCACTTTGTTTGAATCTATTAATTTTTTATGTTGTCATATTTCGCTATTAATAGGACACCTAATTAATAAGCTGATTAATATGTGTACCTTGTGACATATGGCCAGACCAACAGTTAAGCACGGAACAGTATTTCCGGGGGTCAGTGACGACATCTTAAGCAGGGATTTTAGCCAGGAAGATTCCTTCTTGGAAGATCTGTCAGAACAAACATCTAGCAGCAGATCTGGGACCCACACAAGCAACAGTAAGTTTATTGAACTAATTCTGAATTTGGTGTTTTGAAATATAAATTTGAAATATCTCAGTGCACACTATGTTAAAGAGCAAATGACCTGAAAGTAAAAAACATACGTTAAAATAACACTTATACATATATTTACACTTATACTGTTTTCTCGCAAGACGGTAAATACATATAAAAGATGGTAAGTGGTGATCAATTTCGATCATCAGATAGAAAAAGTTACACAGCAGGACAACGTCGGAAGAAATAAAAATAGAAAACACCAGATATGCTACATTTAGTTACACAAAGGATCGCTAACAAATTCAAGAAATATGGAGTATCGATAACCTTCAGGATTCAGAACACCTTGTATTGCGTCCACTCATCAATGCATGGCTCATGGACTAATTGGTTCTGATGATGATTGGAGTGTCCAATCAAAATCAATCACCACTTTCCATCTTTTATATGTATTTACCGTCTTGTGAGTAAACAGTATAAGTGTAAATAATAAATATATAATTACAATTGTTATTTGACGTATTTTTTATGGTTTCAGGTAATTTAATAACACGTAGGATGCTGATCAAGAAGTCATTTAAAGGGCAAATGCAATATGAATATATGTATTGTTTTTGTGCTATGAGATATATTATTTCTGCAAAGTATTTTACTGTAAACATTACCACACTAAAATAATTTTTATAAGAATCATTTTTAAGTATTGTGGAAATTCAAGAGTTAAATTGTACTTTATATATTATTTAATCTATTTTACTATTTCGTATTCTGTCGTAGAAGCAGCTGACCCCTCAGAGTTTACATTTTTCTCTGAGAAAACAGTCCAATCTCCTGTTCCTTCCCCGTCCGAAATCTCCTGTGAAATCCCTCTCCTTGACAATGGTAATTAAGCCTTAGCACAAGATACATTAAAAATAAAATAGCTCAATAACTAGGTACATTTAAAATTAGTTTTCAATTTTAGATACTACATAGAATTTAGGATCGTTAATTTTTGATAGTCCATATGTAGAATTCTCAAATTATTGTCTGTTCCATCTAGTTTGTTTATGTTTGCTAATCTTAAAAAAATAGTTCTCAAATTGTAGGGCAAATTTTACACAATGTTCTCTACTTTGGCTCATATCAGAGAACAAGAGGTAGGATACAAATATATTTTTGATTTAGAAATTAGTCTGGTGGCTGATTAAAAAGCAAGAAAAAGCTATGTCAGAACACAGGGTTTTAAACTAAGCATGTCACTTTAGTCTTTGAACAAGAAAACAAACCTAACATATATCTTTTAAGAGTTCCCGAGGGCTTGTATCTGAATGGAAAGAGTCCAATTTCGTTTAAGATACACACAACTTCACACTATACACACAAAAAATGGAATATTTCACTGTCACTGAAAGCTAAATTAAGGAGCCTATGTTACATTCTTAATAAATATCTCGTTATTGTTTTTACTTTCTCCCCCTATACCATAGTATATGGAGAAAGTATTGTTTTCGTCAAAATTTTCGAGTTTGAGTTTTGAGTGGATATATCCGTTTTGGGTCCCCCTGGACCCAAAAAAGTGGTTTTCAAAGTGATGTCTGTGTGTCTGGATGTGTACAGAGCTAGGGACTACACCTGTGGTCCGATTTCGATGAAATTTGGTATGTAGGTTCTAATCCATGGTATCTCCAGGCGTTTTTTTCATTTTTTTGAAATTTTGATTTTTAATGGGGATTTTCCCATAAAAACCCATAAAAAACCGGAAAAATCGGATTTTCTCGAAAATGGCCCGAACGATTTTGATAAAAATGTAGTATGTTGTAGCCCTTTAAATTCTGAACAAAATGGTACAAATACCATTTCTGTAAAAATTACGGTTCAAAAGTTATGGTAAATTATGTTATTTTCCCATAAAAAACCCATAACATAACGAAAAATAGGATTTTAGAAAAAAATCCGGTTTTATTTTAACATAGTATGTTATGGTCCTTAAAATTTTGATAGTTTTTTCATTTTTAAATTTTTTTTATTTTTAATGGGAATTTTCCCATAAAACCCCATAAAATAACGGAAAAATAGGATTTTCCCAAAAACGGCCCGAACGATTTTGATAAAGTGTTGTATGTTATAGTCCTTTATATTCTGAACAAAATGGTACAAATCCCATTTCTGTAAAAATTATGGTTCAAAAGTTATTGTAAATTATGCTATTTTCCCATAAAACCCCATAAAATAACGGAAAAATCCGATTTTCACAAAAATGGCCCGAAAGATTTTGATAAAAATTTAGTATGTAGTCCTTTTAATTGTGAACAAAATTGTATAAATCCCATTTCCGTATATTTACTCTCACCGCTTACACATGATAAAGGTTGTTGACAAACTTATGGGAGAAAGTATGTGTCAGAATGCTGATACCGTTTATTTTTTTATCAGTTAGGTGTAACCAAAGCGGGCATTCATTATCTGCTAATGATTTAACCAAACCCTTTTAAATAATATTAATCGATTTCAATGATTTCAGTGGAGGAAATGGAACATGACCCTTCCCATGAACAGTCTATCAACCCAGTGTTTGTGCTCAAGGCATTGAGAGAATTTGTTGAGAAGTTTCAAGCATCCAACCAAAGGTTAATGTCTAAAATATGTTAAGATGAGGTTTGTCTTGGAAATAAAGTGAACTATCCATTTAGCTGTTTAAGTACAGCAGTTATTAGAGTGCTCGTTGTCTGCAACGAGGTAGGTCAATTTCCCATGGAGAATAAGCTAAGTGAAAATCCAGTCAGGCAAACAGAAATTTGCTTAGTCTGCTGGTTTGCTGCGGTGGGGGTATTTGCAGCTTTTGCTGGAATATCAGTTTATTTGTTTTGTACCGGATTTCACATTACAAGTTTCTATGGACATATTTTGTTCTTGTACTTACATAGTTTTGCAATTAGCAAATGAAAACATTAACCGACAAGGCAAATGAGGACTTATTTTATATTTAATAAAATATTTCATAATCCTATGTGGGAATTTACAGGTTAAGCAAGGATTTAGTCGATAAGATGACAATGATGAGTTCTGATCAAAATCCTTAAAGATTAACAATAATTTATTGTATCGGATTGTACATTCAAATTTATTTTCCAAAATTTACTGCATGAATGTAATCTTTTACAAATGTTTAGCAAGAAAAAAACAACTACGATAGGGCAAAGGAAAAATGAGAGAAAGTCCATTTCACAACAGTTAACAGAAGATGATGTGAAGATGTATTGGGAACAGTTTCGTTCGGCTTTTCCCCCAGACAGAGAGAGGCTGTGGGATTGTCTACATCTAGGAATGCAGCAATACCACTCCGTGCTTCAAGGTGGGCTTTTGTTACATCCCTAAATGTATTCCTTTAATTATTTCTTATTGCCTGTTTATTTTATAGTTGTAAGTGTCTCAATTTCTGCCCATTTGCTGTAGGCATCCACAATTAGGAGAAAATGATGACCATAAATTGGTCCAGAAAAATCAACATGAACTCTTTGCATAGGCCTTGAAGGATATTTCCAGTGGTGAACTGGTGCTAGGGTGATTCATGCTGTTCTCGTTGACATCCCGAACAATTTAAGGCCAAATTTTCAATGTCTGCATCAGTTTTACCAAACATATGAACGAGCTAGTCCCTTCATGCACACTATGACTATACCCACATGAGATGAAGTTCTTGCACGAAGTTGTTTGAGAATCACAATACGATTCCGTTTTAATAAACATCCAAGCTGAATTAACCATTCTTGTTCAGAAGACATCGGGTGATGGATTGGTTCCCCTCTGATTAGTGATTGATAAATATCTCTAAGACATCTGAATCTGATTGTGTATTTTTAGCTATTTCTTCACCTGTGACAGGTACCTTAAATGTCTAACTTTACTTATTGCCTGTTTATTTTATAACCATTATCAGCTGGTTTACTTGTTGTGTGTTTACTTGTTTCCTTTGTTTTTAATTTGTGTTGAATAAAGTTGGTTGGTAATTACTTTGATAAACACATTGAATTGGTTCTAATAACATACATAACATATTTGTATGTTCTTCCTGAACTGTGGCAACACATCCAATCATGTCCTGTCACATCCAGGTGTGTCCAGTTTTTTTTTTCAGACACATTCATCCTAATTAAGTTACATCATAGATAAAACATACTCCCTTAGTAGATTTGTCATCCTTATGAAACAGCTGAAACCAATTTTATTGTTAGTTCTGTACGTCCAACTGTAGAGGTTGTGTTTTGTTTACAATTTGTTTCTTGTTATTTCAGTCATTTAAAACCTCATTTAAGATTTTTAGAAGAAGATGTTTCAATTTCAGAATTAGAATTTCCATTTAGCAGGATATTAGAATCATCAGCATACAGACTCATGGATCCGTCACTCCCAGCAATAGCCCCAGGCAATCCTCTACTATAACAAAGAAAGAGTAGAGGGCCCAGGATTGACCCTGGGGGACTCCATATCGTAGTGTCTTGTGCTGTGATTGATTTTTTTTTCAATGTAGTTTATTTTATAATGTTCTATGATGTCATCCACTTCAACAAACTGGTGTCTATTTTTAATATAGGATTCAAACCATACAAGTTCTTTATCGCGGACTCCAAGCTCATTTAAAACCTTAATTAATTTATTGTGCGACACACTTTCAAAGGCTTTAATGAGGTCTGAGAATATTCCTACAACCTTTTTCCCTTTATCAATTGCATTTACTCTATAAATTTTACACCTGCTGTTACTGTGGATTTTCCTTTTCGAAAGCCATGTTGCTCTTTGTCTAGTAACTGATTGATTTCCAGATATCTAGACAGCTGAATATAAACTATGAGGACTTACTGAATTTCACTTGTGTTGCTTAGTCTATGGTCACATTTAGTAAGGAAAAACTATGGAAAGAATTTCAGATACAGATAACCTCTGAACTGGTCCATAGAATTCTAGTCCATTGACAACATTTAGGTGGTTTAATGGGAAGGTTTCCTGGGTTTCGGACCATTTTCTTTTATCTCAATCTGATTAGCTGTTGTTTCAAAGTTTGGGTGAGGTGGAAGCGTTTCTCTCAAACCTCCTAAATCTTTTAAATGGAGTATAGTTGTGGTTTTTTTTCGAAAAAAGTATTTGTTTCTATCTCCCAGTTATGATGAATCAAAGACCCATTTCTGTCTCAAGAGCAACTTTATTCCGCCAATCATATACCATAGTATAATGGAAAGCATTGCTAGACGTAAGTTGAAAATTCCCTCTTTTATCATTTTTTAAATGTATACTCACAAATTTTGTAAATAATATATTTGCTTTAGCCTTACACTTGTTATATCTTCAGAAAGACACAAAATGAGTTCAGAAATTGAGCAGTTGAGAGTGCAAAACGCAGACCTCCGACGCCTTCTACAGAAGTATGCTTTGCCCAACAATGTAAGTAAGCACTGGACTTCTCATGGGTCAGTTTGTTATTTGAAGTTTTAATAATGTTGATAAAGTTAAATCAATCTAAACATCTAGTTATAAAAAGGAAAACATTTGATTCAGTAATACATGTGCAAACTGCCAGACTACTGACTACTTTTGTTCTTTGGTTGTAATTTTTTAAATACAGTTGAGCAAAAATTAATGAATCACCTTGTAATCAATAGCTCAGAATGAAAATAATTATTTTGTTAACAAGATCCGATCTTTTTCTATTGATGGCCAGTAATCAAGCTGATCTGGTATTTCACTACATTCTACTCTTATCCTACATCCTTCACTAAAATTCATATTAACTCGGTTGCTACAGACGTTAGAAAAATCCAAACCTAAACCTTTGTTGACACATGGCATTGGCGTGTATCCTAGCTAATATGGCACATTGTTGAAACTTCTCCCGCTCTTGGGTTTTTCTGATATTTTGACACTCGTAGTTTTAAGTTTTTCCACCTGAGAGAGGGTGTTGCCAAGCAAATGTGCATATCAATTATTATCAATTATCTAAGATGGGGACGTCACTATGTGCGTATTTTAACCCAAATATGAGTGAAGGATGAGTGTAGGTGTAGGATGAGTGGCGCGATCTTGTAGTCTTGTTAGTGACTAAGGCCGACATGTTCCTTAGACACAGCTGTTAATTAATAGCCCATACAGCTAATGGCAACTAAGGGACCTACAGTTTATTGTGGAATCCGAACCACATTTTTTCCTCGTAATTAACGAATTGGTCTAATTATTAGGAAAGTACTGCGGATAGTCGTATTACTCACTAGTGCGGACGTTAATCCACACCAGGGAGCATCGCATCCACAGTGCATCCCTATAATTATCCACAATTCGTGACCTCCTAGTAGCTGGATTACAGGACGACGCCACCCGTCCCAGTCAAAAATTTTAATTGAACTATATGGTTTAACCCAACTGTATCCATATAAAATTTCCAAGGGTAAAATTTAGTGTTTTAAGGTAATAAAAACAACTTGTTTACATTTAAAAATAATTTTTCTGTTCCTTAATGTGACATGTAACTGCTAAACCAAGATCCATGTATATACATTATCACATTCAAAGGAGCTTGTCATAAAGTAATAAGCTTGAAAGTGAACTCGGGTTTAAGCTTAATATTGTGAGGAAGTTTTGGTACAATTAAATAACAATTGAACTTGGATTTGTAATTATCTTCAAATAAGTTTTTTTATTTTTTATTTTAATAACTAACCATTCCGATTGATAAAATCAATCCTCCAAACAAATTCAAATTTATTCTTGGATTATCTGTTAAATTTGCATAAAACTGCTGAGATAAAAGTTTTTTGGTGTTTCACAGATGAAACCGATCAAGGGTCCTCGTCAGAGTTTGCCTCCGTTGTCAGCCAAGACCCCGCCTGCCCCTGCCACCACACCTGCTCATCTCGTACTCACCTTCGACAACAGTTCTCGGCTGTGAGATAAAACAATGTAAGACGGTTCATGAGAAAATCTATTTATATTTAGTAACAGACATTTGTGTACCAAATCTGCTTCTACATCCAGCAAGATTGAACGAAAGTCAATGTAAGAGTGTCTCAATGTCTGTTCAGTAATATAGATGGCGTACTTGAGTTTTAAATAAATTCAAAGTGTAAAAGTGCATAGCTTACTCTAAACCGTCAGCATTACAAAAATACTCCTTTAAAGATTCATCATCCTTATGGAATAGCTACAGAACAAGTTCATTAGTTCCGTCATTGAATACAAAACCCATAAGAAGTGCAATACCTTTGTTAAAAATTCAGTCTGGGAATATTTGAATTTCGGATAGTTCCTGTGGCAGCCACCAGGTAGACGGTCAAGCCAGCTGACTAAGTGAGAGAGAGTGAGACAAAGAATCGGCTTAGAGAGAGAGAGAGAGAAATAGAGTATCCCTGCCACCGCACGAGCAATCCTAACGGAGGCCAAGCGAAGGTCATTTTGGTGGCACGATCCCAGTCTGACTATTCTCCATAATCATTTTGCTTCTTAAAAGGGATTGTATTCATTGGTTCTGTCCAGGTTATAATGTCAGTCTGTTTACATTTTGATTTATATTTAATGTACTACAATAATAATAACGCATGGAAACAGGCTTCATATTTTTCAATAGAATGAGAAGTCTACTACTTGCACTATTCATTGTCTATTTCAACAGTTACCTTTCAACTTTTTAAGAATGAATTATATTCACTGGCCTGTCGAGGTTGTGTTGTAATACAGTTTGTATAGAGCTGATCTTGCAGAGAACAATGCAAAGTAGAAGCAGGTAGTCCAATATTTACTGAAAAGAAAATGTTTTAATACTAATCAGAACACACTCTAAATATACAGAATAGAACACGCTTTAAATTGTCTTAATTCTATAAGGTCGTATGTTTCATCCATGATGTTATCTGTTGGTATAGCGTTATTGGTCTATCTATGTTAATCTAAATTTTAAAATATTAAATTTGGCTTTCAATATCATGTGATTTCACCTCTACAGACCTTATGTTAGCTTTATTTAGCTACAATTAATTATACAATTAACAATTAATTATAATTAATTATACAATTAATTAATTGTACAAGGTATTTTAAGCTAACATTACCAAAGCCAACAACCAAAGTTATTCGTTGGTTTATTGGATTTAAATAAGAAATTTTCTTTCCAGATAACATTATATATATTTCCCATCTCTTTACAAATCTTTTTACAGTACACAAAATAATAAAAACAAAACTGTACAAAATACTTTGAAACATGTATATACATTATCACATTCAAGGCAGCTTGTCATATAGCAGGCTTGCAAGTGAACAAAAAATTTAAGCATAATACGGTAAAAAAGTATTCTGAGGATCGAAAAAGCATTATGAATGGATAAAATGGCTTTAGAAGATGTCTTTAGGCTTCTCTAAGTCATAACACAGACTATTCTAAATTGTCCCTTTGTTGTCAAAAGTAATATTGTGCAATCTTACCACTTTGTTTGGGGCTCCATTATGCACAAATTCCTATGTTCAGACATTGTTTGACCTTTGAACTCTGTACAACTCAATTCTAAACTATGCTACAACACATAATAAATAATACTAGTGCACCTGTTGCTCGAACTTGAGCAATTGCAAATCATTACATGCGTTATTTCAAAACAAATAACAGTCATAAATTCCGATGACTTAAAAAATGTCAACTCAAAGATAATTTAATCAATCAAAGATCACTCCAGTTATCGAAACTGAAAACGAACGCTCTTGTGTGTATCATGTGTTTACTATGAACAGCTGTAATGAATACAAATTATTCATCTCCTGTTTAAGTAAACAAAATCTTTTCTTCATAAGAAATACATTGGGATTTTGATGACCTGTGGGGCAAAGCCCAAGGACTTTAATTACAGGAATCGGCAAAAGGGGGCGTATACACAAAAAATACTTAATTTTGACACATTGTTTGTAAAAATCCGTCCATTATTAACGGAGGAGTACTGTTTTGTAGAAATCACCTTCTAAGGATATCAACACAGAGGGAAATGTTTACCCCTTTGAGGTGTTTGTTTGTTTTTTTAAAACGAGGTATACCAAGCTTGTAATAGTGTTTTTTTTAGTATTCTACAATAGATTTAGTAAACAACATAGTCAATAAAGGATATCTTACACTTCCATTTTACTGTATTAGTCCAATATATCACAACAAGATGCAGTAGACTCCCTTTTATTCAGATCCGTTTGGTTGGTTCCAAGTTTAAATGTTTCAGACCTGTCTAATCACACACACACACACACACCGCTTGGTCCAAAACAACTTGAAAATAAACAAGTCACAAATGGTTTGCCTTGCGCTTTTTGAAATGTACAGATTTTTACTGGTGTATTCCTTTATTGTGTATAATACTCAATGATTTTTCTTTTTTGTATTAAGCTTGATGGTTTGTACTACGGTTACTAGTTTTGGATTACGGTCCAGACCTTAGTTAGGTGTCCGAACATGAGGAGTCTAATTGTTATAATAAAAAAAAAAATTATACAGTGTTTTAGGTTTTATAATTGCTATCTCAACTATTTACTGTAAAACCTAAAAAGTCTAATTTATTTACAACAAAGCAACATGAAATGTATGCTTTATAACAGCAACAGTAAAACTTGCAACATTTGATAAAGTGTTTAAGCATATAGTAACTGTAAAATTTGTTTGGTTGTAAACTCCGTCAGAATTTTTATACTTTCACTAATCCTAGTGGTCATCATCAATCTTCATAAATAAACAGTAGTTAAATATCACCAATGTCAATTTTTCTTATAACTCTATGGCCTTGAAAGAAGAATACCCTTGGATTCAAAATATATGCAATGTAATTTTATCTAAGCTTTCATCCTAGGCCCAACTAGAAAAACAGCCCATGCTGCAGCGCGAGCAGCGCAACACTTCTGTACTAAAATCTTACGATTAAAATCTGACAAACAGCCAACATTTACCAAAAACATATGGGATATTGTAGTGAATATATCCACTAGTGTGACGTCATGGATCCTGCAGCATGGCCTGTTTTTCTAGTGGGGCCTTGCTTCATCTCTCCACTTATTCATCTAATGCAATTCAAAATGCTCTTGTCTTTTTACAATCTTCATAAGACTAAAGTTCATTATCTTCACTTTAAACAGATACAAACAAAATTACAATAACAAATTGTAAACATATTTGTATCATGTAATCAGTTTGTATACTTATGATATAACTTATCCTTAGAGTTTATGTTTACATGAATTAAATTATTTTATTTGGCAATTGGCATCCTCTTCAGCATTTAATAAAAAAATATTCAAATTTGTATACATATTTTAATCTAAGTGGCATTTTTTGTATTTTTTGTAAGGGAATAATCCATTCATCAAGCTACATTATTGATATTATCATACAAATATCAATATTTAAGGGCAGCTGGATCTCAGAATCAATCCTTTCGGAATCAATCCAGCAGCCTTTGGATTTGAATAGGAGGTTTTTAACCATAGCATCCCATTTTATTAAAAAATTAAAATAGATTGATAAAATCTAAACTATTCAATTGTTTTACTCATGGTTAATGTTACTGAAAATGTTTAAATATTATTTTGTTAGACCTTGGTTAGGCGTTGGTTTTGGTGGTAGGTAATGTTGAAGGGGTTGTAGTCAATTGAGTGGTAAGTGCTAGCGTTGTTGGAGTTGTCATTGTTGAAGTTGATGGTGTGGTGGTTTGTACTGTTGTGTTGGTAACTTGTGTTGTTGCAGTCCCAGCCGTGGTCGGTTGATTGGTTGTCACAGTATCAGCTGATTTTGATCTTGAGTTATAGTCCGAGTAGCAGTCCGAGTTTATTTCAAGTTTGAACGACTCATCTGCTGGCAATGATGCAGATTCTTTTGCAGCCTAAAAATATGTTATGTTATAATAATTTTATTTAGTAACAAGTTTGACTTGTACTTTGCACTCTCTCTTTCCATCTTGTCCACTAAAACAGAACCTTAGTTAACATATAACACTATATCCAATGCAAAACTGATTCTGTTATCACTCTCCAAGCCAAAAACTACCGAGGAATATTAACCCAGGCAATTTAGCCCAAATTTGTAATACTGAGGAATATTAACAAGTATGTGGCCAATATGTTTAGGATACCTTTTTAGTTTATAATTGTTGTAGTAACTACTCAGCAGGAATGTATTAATTACAACATCAGGAAAAAATCTAAAACCATACCAACCCATCACAAACTTGATTTTTTTTTAAAGAACCATCACATGCACGACCTAAATTCTTTAAAACATTAAGTTTAAATTTAATTAAAGTTGTATCTTTTTCTATTTATAGAACTACTAGACATTCCATCCCCTTCTTAAAGCTGCAATCAATTTTAGAATAAGTGTGGAAGTAATGAATTGAATCATTGACAAGGTTACCCTGATATAAATTACTGATTTCTGTTAAATACGCCAACATTTTGACCGAGTGAAATTAAAAGTACGTATTGCGTGCTACAGCATCTTTGTGACACATTAACTGATTATCTCATAGTAACAAAAACCAAGGGAGGTTTAAATAGAATTTTAGATTAGGGGTCTCCAAAACGGCCATGGGCCTCATTCATCCTGTAAACAAATTCTCTCTGGCTTGCAAACCGCTTGATACTGGAAAAAACAATTTGTTTGTAAAGATACACCATACTGTCTCTTGCGATAGCAGCAATGCCTTTTAGTATATTTTGCTTATAGATAAATAACAGCCATGGATACTATCTTTTTCATCGAAAGATATTCATTGCAATTGCAAGAGAGGAAAATTTATTGTGGAGAGCTTAAGGAATACAGTCAAAGACTCTACACGCTCCTCTAGTGAATCTTTGATGCTATACTATTTTCCTATAACTGCTCATATTACTGATGCTAATAGAACTACTGTTTTAAACAACAAACCTTCTCCACTGCTTGGAGCACTCGAAGAAAGTTCTGCCCAGCCAACTTTTTCAGATCGTTCTCGCTCCATTTTTCATCTCCGAGACGATCAAACAAAGTAGGAAATGTAGAAACATCATGTAAATGGGCAGGGTATCTAGAAATCAACCAGAAAAGATTACACAAATGTTCACTTTCCCCTTTATTCAATATCTACAGTGGCTGCCAATGCCGCCTTTTATAAATCCCCTCAGCTAATTGTGATAAAATATTTTGATTCATTCAATCTTACTCTACATTAGAATGTTCAAGTCCAAATGTTTCTGTACTATGTTTCTGAGTTGCCAAATTTAGTTCAACAAGACTCTGATAGATGGCAAGTATTCATCTTATTTTTATTAAAACAGGGGGGAAGTAGGAATTTAAAAGGTTTTGTAACAGCAGAAATTTCACTGCAATTTCTTGTCTAACCTAGTTCAATTTTACACATAAGCTGAAAGAGTCTTTGAGCCAGAAAGCATATTACAAAATTCAGACTTTTTTTAAAGATACATTTTAATGGTTTTTTTAATTCTTGTTAGGGCATAATTAGATTACGGAACCTAGATATAAATGAGATATAAATTGACGATGTACCAGCTTGGGAATTACTTTTGTAATCATTGTATCAGGCGTTATGTACAATAAAGCTTTGTCTATTGTCTATTGTCTAACCATTCCAAAATCATGTGCTTATCTCTGCAAAAATACTGAAAGCAGGACTCATTCCTTGCAAAGCCCTTCTGTAGCACCAGATTACAGAAAATGAAAGTTTTTTGTGACAATTACAGGAACACTTATTAAATAGTTCAAAGGGTTTCTCAAATTACATTTTATTGTGCGCAAATTCGGGCAAATAACTAAACGACAGTTGCATAAAACTGATGAAAAGTCAGCATTCCCAAGTGATTACATAAGAACTGGAGAACTAACTTCCCTCCAACCATTTACAACTGTTGCAGGTGCTATGTGTCTTTTACAAATGATTTACCTAATTTACAAAAACTACTCACACTTCATCCTGAGCATCATACTCTGCTCCTATACCAAGTTTGTCAACTCCAGTTATGTTCTTCATGTAGTTTAGGTGCTCTGGAAAATGAAGAGTATGATGAAGACATAATATAAATTTATTGGTGTCAAAAAATAACCATGGAAAGTTATATTTGAAAGACAGATAGTGTTTAAATAAATTTATGATCATGTAGAATAATTTTTTAGGTAAACTAGAGGACCCATGCTGCTCCGCAGCGTTAAAATAATTATTATATCCGAGAAATAATCAAATTTATAATTTTTGATTGAGTAATACAGTATCTTGAGCTTAACTAATTCAAACGATCAATATCTCAAATTAAATCCTATAATTTACTGATTATTTTGTGTCTAAAACATATAGAAATACATGAACAATACTGGAGCTATTGATTTTTAACCATACTAAAACCTTATGAAAAATACTTTTTATATTAGTTTTTCACCTTGCGTTTGCTTGAAACTCGTCCAATTTGAATAACTAATAGCTTAAATGAAAGCCAGTATTTAACTGAAGGTTCTTAGACTAAAATATATAGGATTATAAATTTAAAACTGGTAAAGGTACATCTCAAATTGAAGTAAGAATCATAAAATAAATCAAATTATGTGTTCTAGTCGTGTAATACTGTAGATAAATATTTGTAGATAATTGATGGCAAATTTGTGATTGCATACCTTCAATTCGAGACCTCAATCATGAAAATCGGTCGGGTAGAAAAGCCAAACGAACCCGGCAAAGAAAAGCCAATTTAACTTCCATAAGAAAAACATGGGAAGCGAATTTCGTTTGTGTATACACCGAGTGGGATTATAGATAAATATATGCCAATGCTATATGGCAAATCTGTGCGTGCATACCTTCAATTTGAGACCTCAATCATCAAAATCGGTCGGGCAGAAGAGGCAAACGAACTCGGCAAAGAAAAGCCAAATTTAACTTCCATAAGAAATACATGGGGAGCAAATTTTATTTGGGTATACACCGAGTGGGATTATAGATAAATATATGCCAATGCTTGATGGCAAATCTGTGCGTGCATACCTTCAATTTGAGACCTCAATCATTAAAATCGGTCTTGTAGAAGAGCCCAAAGAACTTGGCAAAGAAAAGCCAAACTTAACTCCCATAAGAAATACATGGGGAGCAAATTTCGTTTACATATAAGCCGAGTGGGATTATAGATAAATATATTCCGATGCTTGATGGCAAATCTGTGCGTGCATACCTTCAATTTGAGACCTCAATCATGAAAATCGGTCGGGTAGAAGAGCCAAACGAACTCGGCAAAGAAAACCCAAATTTAACTCCCATAAAAAATATATGGGGAGCAAATTTCGTTTACGTAAAAGCCGAGTAATACTATAGATAATTATATGCCGATGCTTGATGGCAAATCTGTGCGTGAATACCTTCAATTTGAGACCTCAATCATGAAAATCGGTCGGGTAGAAGAGCCAAACGAACTCGGCAAAGAAAACCCAAATTTAACTCCCATAAGAAATACATGGGGAGCAAATTTCGTTTACGTAAAAGCCGAGTAATACTATAGATAATTATATGCCGATGCTTGATGGCAAATCTGTGCGTGAATACCTTCAATTTGAGACCTCAATCATGAAAATCGGTCGGGTAGAAGAGCCAAACGAACTCGGCAAAGAAAACCCAAATTTAACTCCCTTAAGAAATACATGGGGAGCAAATTTCGTTTACGTATAAGCCGAGTAATACTATAGATAATTATATGCCGATGCTTGATGGCAAATCTGTGCGTGAATACCTTCAATTTGAGACCTCAATCATGAAAATCGGTCGGGTAGAAGAGCCAAACGAACTCGGCAAAGAAAACCCAAATTTAACTCCCATAAGAAATACATGGGGAGCAAATTTCGTTTACGTATAAGCCGAGTAATACTATAGATAATTATATACCGATGCTTGATGGCAAATCTGTGCGTGAATACCTTCAATTTGAGACCTCAATCATGAAAATCGGTCGGGTAGAAGAGCCAAACGAACTCGGAAAAGAAAAACCAAATTTTTTTAATATATAAGATTATCGATTAACTCTTGAGTAATTTACTCAAAGCTCTTGAGTGGCTTTTATTATTTGAGTTAGCAAGTTTAAGCGTGTTAAAAAGTATTTGCATGTCATTAAAATAGTGTATGTTCAAAAGTGTCCCTTTATTTCCAATCAATAGCTGCCAAAACATTTACAATGTAGGAAAATATTTTAAAAAAAATATCACTGCATTTTAGCTCTATCTCTGAAATAAATACACTTGAACTATTAGTTTCTAATTAAAGTAAAGTCTTAAATACATACTTATAACATCACTTATGGAGATATTGGTTATGTTGTTGTTGAGGTACTGTGCCGCAAATGTGACCATCACAATACCACCATTTTCTTTCTGAAAAAAAAAACATTGGAACATTATTTGTTGTTTGATAAAAATAATTTATGATATAAATAAAGTATAATGCTGAGAAAAGGCTAGTAACTTTTGGAGTAAATTACTCAGGAATGTCTTTGGGCTGACAAAATTGAGAATAAAAATATAACTTTAGGGAACCATGGGATCTGTCTCACTCAAGCATTAAACAAGATTACTGGAATAACACACGCATTTGACATGGACTGTGTATATGATAAACCTGCATAAGAGAAACCCCTAGGCCCAACCCAAGGGAAAGGTATGATATGTGTAATGTATGTTGGAGGAGATGAAGAAGAATAAACAGGATATTGGAAGAAGAATGCACAAATTAGTTGGTATGTCCAAATATACTTACAGTATCTTCTTGAATATAAATTCAGATTGTCCCAGGAGTAAGTAAACAAGGAATAAGGCCACAAAAATATTTAATTGAGCATTTTTCATTGATTTATTTTTATTATTTTCCGCCTCATCTTATGACACATATAGCCTATTGATGATTGAAAACAATTTTTTGGTGGGCACACACACAGTGGCCTCTTAAAATAGAGTGACCTATTAAGTGATATTCACAATCAAAAAATAAAATATAAATATAAAATCCAGATTTTTTGTGCCACTGTTTTATTTTTATTTTTTTGGTCTGTTTTTTGTCTAGGGAAACAAAAGTATTCCGTTAATGGTTATTTTAAAAGGTTACACATAAGATACTGCAATTTCTCTTAAGAATACATTAACATGTTTAGATTAATCATATTCTCACCAGTTTCTGCAGAACGTCGTCCTTGATGTTACGAGAGTTGTTGACAACTCCGTAAGCGGCTGCACGCGTGAACACAACCGGAGCTTTGGTTATGCTGAGAACGTCCAGTTGTGTTTTGTGAGAAGCCTCTGATAAGTCAATCAGCATGCCCAGGCGGTTCATCTCTTTCACAACTGCCTAAAATGAACAGTAATAACAAAGACTAGAAGTAAAGGCATTCACAATGAATAACTATGATGGTCTTCGGCATGGAGCAGTGTGACATCATGTTTCTGCTTGGTTGCATCAGAGCAGTAATGTGATCACTGCTACTAAAGATGTTCCCCTGATAGTGTCAAGAAATAACTAACATAAATCAGGAAGTTTTACTGAATTCCATCATGTGAGACAATATAGAATATCATAGTCTGCAAAAAACTGATAGCAAAAACAAGCATCACTAATGGAATTTCTGAGAACGTCAGTGTAAAAAATAAGATAAAAAAGTCATAGCACACAATGTGTAGAGTGGTGTCTACAAATCCTTTTGTTCAAAGATGGAACGGATTATTAAACATATAGATAGATTTACAGTAAATTGAATAGAAATCTGTATGACTAGAAAAATTGGCTAAAACCTTAAAAGAGGAATTTATGGAAAGAGAATAGTGGTAGGCCACAAACAATTCTAAGAAACCGTAGGCTATAAAGGTGGGCATAATACTGAACAATTAATGGAAAAGGAGGAGCACACATTGCCAACATACATTGGTGTGTGGCCTTTAGGGACAAAGATAAAAGAAGTCTTATCAGCTTCTAAATCAATGATGATGATCCTTTAATCCAGCAGTTTAATCCAGTTAATGTTAATGTTTTCCCCATGTAAAATCAATACATACAATAATAATCTCAAAATATTAATGTTGTTGCAATGTGACAGTCTAAAAATGTTATAACTTCCTAAAGCACTACACATAATACAACTCAATAGGCCCAAGTAAATAGTTTGACTTACCGCCCCAAAACTAGTAAGTCCAATTGAATCATTTGGGTCACTGTACGATGAAGCCCTGAAAAATAACACAATATAAGTCCACTTCACAATATAACAAAATAATAGTTTTTTATAGTGTTTTTAAGTTAAAAACCTATCTGTTGATAGGTACCGTTTTCAACCACCTGAAAAGTATGCGGCATGTGTATTTTTTATCACTACAGTCCGTAGTACAATTACTTCTTTGCGACACTCACAAATTTTTTTCTACTTTCGGCTACTGTTGCAGGAATTGAATGAAATGTCTTGGTGAATAAAACTTCCCAGAAAAATATTAGTTCTTCAATAAACACTCTTTTAAGGGCACAAATCTTAATTAAAAGGTTAAAATTCATCAGCTGTTTCAATTGTTTGTTTCCTTTTTCCTGAGTTATCCTTTTGAGTCTGACTATAGTTTTTCTATATTAAACAATGAAAAGGAACGGTATGTTTTTCTGTGGCATTGGATGGTATTACCTTTTAAGTTTTGTTTCTGTACTTTTAACACATTAATCAATGTATCAAAAAAATATTTTGTTTATTTTTGTGGGAAATGAACCATATAGGCAGTTTGGAAGGAAACGTATATTATGTGGAAGAGGAAAAAATGCTCATCTATAAGAGTACTAGCTGTACCCGCGGGCTTTGCCCCGCTTAACTTCATAAGTATTCGCATGGCTCAATCGCGTCCTGGTTGAAGTTCGTTCGCTGCGCTCACTTGTTTTCAGGTTAGCTCGTTCGCTACGCTTACTCGCCTCCAGGTTGATGTTCGTTCGCTACGCTCACTCACCTTTTGGTTGCAAATTAGCTGTTGTCATAAATTTAAAAAAGTCATCCCTTTTATTGTTTATAATACTTTGATAAAGGTTTTTTATGTTTTAATATTTAACATTGGAGAATTTAAACGTTGTTAAGTGCACAGGTGTGCTGCAATTGGGGTTTAATACATTTGGACTTATTCAAAAGTAAAATATTTTTCTGTGCTGCACTGTGTAGAAACACTGTGGCACTATTTCAAATCATGACTATTGCTAATACAGAATGTTGTTATTATTCAAACGTACAAAACAGTTGGTGAAAGTCTGCTTTTGAATTATATTTATTTGTAAACATTGATCAAAAAGTCTGACATTGGCCCACTTAAAACCTTCTGGGGCAGAGCCCTTTTGACAGATCTGCACCAAACTTTACTCGAAACATCCTTGAAAGATGCTTAATAATGCCTGAAAGTTTCATTACAATCTGTCAAGCGGTTTCGGAGTCCTTAACGTATATACATATATATATATATACACACATACATAGTTCCTCTTTTATAGATATAGATTCTCCCTTATGACATGACATTCCTTATCATCTCACTCCATTACACACTTACCGTACATTCATATTCAACATAAAATGCACCTAAGTGTCTTCAATGATACTTGATGTTGATGAAACTGATTTACATCAAAAACAAGCTCCTACTCAAAATATGGGTTGGACAAAGCAGGCCACCTCTTACGAAATAAGATAAATAGTGCTAAATTAAGTAAGATAAAGAGTGTTTGATTGTAACTACTGACCAAGCCGTGGAGCAGTTGGACGTGAGGGACAAGACTCGGACACCGAGGTTGTGAAGTGTTCGCAACACAGACATGCGGCCGTCGAAGGAATGTCCACTAGTAACAGCTAGCAGCCCTCCCAGCCTGTCTGTCCTGAACCCGTCTGTTACATCTGTAATGCAAATGCATGAGGAAAATAGTTTTGAAATTGTAAAAATCCACAGGTAGTTAGAAAAGTTAGTACTTATTTAATTTATTCTAAAATTGCAAGCAGCTTGATTGAAAAAAACTATATGACTTTATTGATCCTTGGGGAATCAATTAATGATGTATTCTAACGAAATGTTGATGTTAGGTAGCAAAAAGACCAGAGTTTTAATATTATTTTTACATACCTTTTTAAAATGCCAATTATAAAGAGAAACACCAAATAAAAGGTTTGTTTATCTTTGCAATATAGATGGAAATGCATAATTAAAATCCATCTTTTTCCTTATTTATAGTAGAATATACCCAATCTTCTTCAGATACCTGAGAACCAAGCCATAGTCCGAACTAAAAAATATCTGAATTCCCATATTCCTTTGGAGGCAGTTTCGAAAAATCAAAAAGCTTCTGACTTTTTTTGGATGAAACTGTCAATCTCTTGATTACTAAGTTTTACCTCTCAGATATGACCAATGTTTGAACTAATCCAAGTAAGGTAATGAATGAGTGAGTCACAACAGTGTTAAGATATTGGTGATTAGTGTGTAAAGTCAAGAAAAATTCTGCCAAACACAAACAAAATTAGTTTAATTTTAATTTAGTCTACTCACCGCTGCTTTCTTTCACAATTGTTACGTTGCCAGAGTAGTGGGACAGCAGACGAGACATGGCATCTACTTGTTCTAGAGTGAGAGCAACAGCATCCTTGTACTCAGCTTCGCATGGAACCCGCAAACTCCAAATCTGCATAGATAAATAGAGCAACGGAGGAAGTTAAAAAAAACTACAGCACTGACTTTGAATAGTGTGAGTAAACCTCATATCCTATTGTGAAACTTGAAACCTATTTTGATGTGTGTTTTATGAAGTCAATCAATCAGTTTAGTAATAACCCATGTAGCACAGATGGTTGGGCCAACGTTGGTAAATGGTGGAGCCACACAGTTGGCCAACGGTAGAAATGTCACCTCTTTAAACTGTTTTCCAGCCAACCTTTGTCCAACAATGGCCCAACCAAAATTATTTCACACAAAATAATAAAGATTTAGTACGAAAAGCATAATTATTAGTTGAGTAAATTGATTAAATAGTTCATAAAAACAAATTTTGAAAAAAAGCTGGAACAAAATTTTTTTGCCCAGACGGGTCTCGAACCCGGGTCCTTCGACTTATGAGCCTCTTACCTTACCACTGAGCTATCTGTGATTGTTGATACAGAGAGTTTTCAAGTGGTGAAAGAGTAGCCGACAGTTGCAATGGTCGCAATACTTCAAACATTTTTGATACTACACAGTATAATATGATTCTGTTAATCTGTTAAGGCATCATAAGTAGTTATTTTTTTTTGGAGTTAGAGAGGATACTGGTGTTTGAATATAGATTAATTAATTACCGTTAGATTATTAATGCTATTATAATTGACTGTTATATGATTAATTACTCTTTCCCCTGAAATTGTTGCAAATAAGTTAAAGAATATTAATTAAAAAAATATTTGCATTATTATAATTATTAAAATTCATTGTTGTAGCCCCGGAACTGTAATATATAAAATATCTGGTTTTACAATACCTTTATCAGTTCCAAAAACTTTTGGAAACTTTTGGAACTGATAAAGGTAACTTATTGTAAAACAAGATATTTTATTATAATTATGTTGTGAAAGCTAGACCCAGAGAATGAAAGTCGTGTAAACTCAACTATGGACCATCGTTGGTCCAACAAAAGTATCTTTTGTTGGTCCAACGGAGTGAAAAACGGTTGGACAACGGTTGGCTTGATGTATGATACCCAACAATGCATATTAATGTATTTCATTAACAATGAACCGATGTTGGTCCACAGTTGTAAATATTGGTTGGCCCAACTACGAGATATACAGTTGGACAACGGTTGGTTGGTTGTGGAAGCTCCAACCAACCATCGACCAACTGTCCCACAGTTGGCCAACGTTGGCCCAACCATCTGTGCTACATGGGAAACTTGTCATCTCAAGCGACAAACTCTTAACACAAAGGGTGTACATTTTTAGCGAATATCCCTATAGGGAAGTAGCTATTTTCGTAGGTGGCACGGTTAGACCTAGACCCCGGACCGATTTATTTTTTCATTTTCATGTCCCTAGAGGCCAAACACATTCATTCATTTTTATATGTGTCCTTGAACGCAATAACTCGAGTAATTTTAGTCCGATTTTGATTAAATTTGGCTTGAAGGTGTAGGTGGTATAAACTTGAATCTGAATGAGTTCGCAATTAGTATATCAGGTCATAAAAACGGGGTGTTATGGGGTATTGAATTTTCCAAAAAATATTTTTACTCTTAAAACATAAAAATGCCCGATTTTTTATTACAACCATCATATAGAGCTTAAAGAAACAAATAATATTGTATATTAAAGCAATGTAAAACTAAACGTTATGGAAAAAATTCAAAATACTGTTTAATATTCCCTTGTAATTCTTATGGAGAAAAAGAAAACTGTTTATGAATGAATGTATGTTGATTAAATTTTAATTTATTTACTTCATCCTATAATATTAACTTTTGGTAAAAAAATGCTTTTTACCTTCCTCGTAGCAGCAAACTTAGGTACTCCTTAAATCCATTGCTATTTAAATGGGGAATGAAATACGTCTTTTTTAATTTATGGAAATCTTATTGTAAAAATCCAATCAGACTAATTGAAAACGCTTAGTCTGCAGGTTTGCTGCGGCGGGGTATTTTCTTAGTAGGAAAGTCCTAATAAGCAGAAAGTGTAAATAGTGTGTTAGACTTAGAAGATAATCACACACATTATTTTGTGTATAGATTTTGTTTAATTTCAATAGTGCTGTAGGGCCTGTACTTCAAAAATAGCCTTGCTAAAGAATTACCTGGTCTTCTTCAGCAAATTTATTGCCAATACCTTCATTTTTGGCGATGTTTATTTTATGTTGTATATTCACCAAAAATAGATTGTTATTGTCATTTAAAAAAATTATTACTCGGTACATTTCATCACTGTTTAGTATTGTTTATATTTGCACATATTTGCCCCAAAAATTTGTTCAGGTTCAGATCTCAGAATTTCGTAAATAATATGTTTTCCAAATCGGCGGTGGGCAATCTAATCTAATCTAATCCCTTGTATTTTGTGAGAAAATGGATAAGTTGAGAAATAAATTCTTTTCCAGCCTGTTATTTACCTGAGATCCGACAAATCCGCTTTGAAGTCTTGGAATATCCGTCTGACAGCTTTTACAAGCTGTGTTCCCAAACACTGTGTCATTGCTGAGATTGTGGTCAAAGTTTACTTTGGAAATGTTGTTCTGTACCAGATTCCTCAGATTTACCGCAAAGAAATTAGACCTGGATGTGGGAAATATACATTCATTACTAAAAGTCATCACTGTACCTATTGAGTATAATGAATCTAAAGACTGATTGCAAAGAAATACTTTGTTAAGGTGTAAAAAGAATTGAAAAAATCCATCATTACAGTATAACAATACAGGATAGCAATATCATGAAAACAGAAGAAGGGTATTTAGATTCTATTTTTGAAAGACATGTTTTTAGGCGAGGTTTATTATACTGTATTGATCAGCTTGTGGGCTTCACTCACCTGAATTTGTTTTTCAACTCCTGTACGCGAGAAACATAAAGTTTTAATTCCCTGAGGAAGCGGAACGTTGTTTTTGGTCGTGAAACGTCGGAGCAAATCCAAGGACGATTTTTTATTTGCATGTATGTGTGTTGTGTGTCTTCATTGTATTACATTTTGACGAGTCCTGGATTAACAAATTAAGGTGAGTGAAGCCCACAAGCTGATCAATACGGTATTTAGATTACAAACTACAATAAATACCTAAAGTAAAAACAAAAACACTCCCCATATCTTCTTATCTGTAGTAAACCTAGCAAGTTAATTAAAACTCAATTGTCATATTATTTAAATTTATGAGTGGAACTGTTTTGAAATAGTTCAATATGGTAAAACCTTTTTCCTTATCTCACAAGTTTACAAAAACACAAGAAAACTTCCTTAAATACAGGCTTAAAGCTATACAAATTTGCAAAATTTAAAAATTGGCAATACAGTAAACTTTTTAAGTTTAAATCAAGAAGATTTTATTGAATAAGGTTTATTATTCTAACTCAGATTATTTAGCTGACACCCTTTGTGGTTGACAATTAATATTATTTTTTGTATGCAATAAATAATCATGTAAGATACCGTACTGTTTAAATTCATCTATAATGGTCCTCATAATTCTAAACAAAAGAGAGATATCCTGTAAAAATCACGGTTCAAAAGTTAATGCAAATTTTGTGAATTTTACCTATTAAATATCATAGTTACTCTCATCGCTTACCCATAATAAATTTTGCTAACAAGCTAATGGGAGAAAGTATGTGTCAGATTGCTGATACCGTTTTTTTTACAGCTATGTTTATGTTAATATTAATAGAAAATTATTTAAAGTGTATCTACACAGCAGCTAGGGAACATAATATTGTTCTCTTTAGCGTTCTCAAGCTGCTTGCCATTATTTGCAAGGAACCAAGATTATGTCTCTTCTGCATCTTGACCCCGTTGCAAGGCGATGGTATAGCACTAAAGTATAGCGACTAGTTTAGTATATTTTCTCTGTACCACAATTTTACCCACCCCACAACTAGTGGAGACTCTTGTAGGACTTTGCCACCTTTGAAAGGCTGAACAAAAGAGCTACTGTTGGGCGATGAGAGTCCTGACCAGATCACTGCTATCAGTATTATACCCACTACAGCGCCACCAGCATAGAGCAGTTTGCGTGTGTCTAGTGGGTACACGTACACTGAAACACATATTTCAATCAAGCAAACAATAAATGACCCGAAAATAATAATGCTTATTGTATTATTATTTCAATACAACTGTCAAAAAACGTTAAAACACAAGTAGAGATTATTAGTATTAGATCCATCCAAATATGTCATTTTTTATGTTTTTGATCCATGCTTTACAAAATATAAATTGTTGTAAAGACAGAAGCGCAATTTATTTTCACTAAGGAAAATGAATTGCTTACTCCCTACAAGGAGTGGATTAAATCTTATTTAATTTATGGCAATGAGTGCCACTTTTGTTAAGTGGGGATGATTTCCTACTATGATAAACAAACAAGATTAAGTTATTAAAAGGATAATCAATCATCTCATTGTGATGTATCATATTGATATGTACTGCATCTTGATGATGAAACAAATAAGGCCCTTTTTTATACACTACTTAACACTTGTATATGGGTAAATTCCCAAGTTCTGTTAATAAATTACCAAAATGTCCTTAGCTAGTTGTGTAATTTTTTTTACGCCACACTACATTATTTTGACGAACTTCCCACGCAAGTATTTAGTCCAGAAAACAGCTGTTTGCCGCCAGCTTATTCAAATGGTGTTTCATTGCGTACTACTGTGCTGCAATGAGTTTTACCGGACACCAATCAGCTGATTGTACTGTATTTAGTATTTAGGTGGCAATGAGTGGTTATAAACAAAAACATAACCTCTCGATGACTAGTGATTTTTAGTCCTTTAGTTGGTGGAAATATATAAGGATTTGTACAGATTTAGTAGTATGGCGTAAACTATCGTACATCACTCGTCCAAAATGTGTGTACCGGACTCGTATGGTAATCCCGTACTCGACTTCGTCTCGCACGGGAACGACCACACTCGTCCGGTAAACACTTATTTTCAGGACTAGTAACGTAATATACTATTACGCCACACTACATTATTTTGATTAACTTCCCACGCAAGGATTTAGTCCAGAAAACAGCTGTTTGCCGCCAGCTTATTCAAATGGGGTTTCATTGCGTAATACTGTTCTGCAATGAGTTTTACCGAACACCAATCAGCTGATAATACTGTATTTGCGTGGCAATGATTGGTTATAAACAAAAACATAACCTTTCTTAGAGGTTATGATTAGTGATTTTTAGTCCTTTAGATGGTGGAAATATTATAAGGATTTGTACGGATTTAGTAGTATGGCGTAAAATATCGTACGTCACTCGTCCAAAATGTGTTTACCGTACTCGTATGGTAATCCCGTACTCGACTTCGTCTCGCACGGGAACGACCACACTCGTCCGGCAAACACCTATTTTCAGGACTAGTAACGTAATATACTATTACATACAGATAAAATTCGGATCTGAAATTGTTTGCCAGTAGAAAAACTGACTACTAAAACTTTATTCAGTAATCTGAACATGCAACTCAATGAATTTGGAAGTGACCTCTACAAGGGATTTTATCAAGGTTTGTTTTATTGCGAAGTTATCTTATCCTACAGATTGATTTAAGTTTAACAGTGTTATATCATGATCTTAAGCAATACAGGGGAAAATTTTTAGGAACAAAAACTTCTTTTAAATAATGTTATATAATATAGAGTGAACTTTTCAAGTTGGTCCTAAATTTTATAAAATAAACTATTTAAAACGTTTTTTCACAATCTAGTTTACTGGCACACAATGTTTGCAGACTTAAACCAGTGTGAATATCCACTGTAAATATGCTAGGTATTGTTCTGTAGTTTACCAGTTATATTGGTTTTAAAACCGGCCGAGTCATATTTGGTCGTTTTAAGTATCAGGCCTTCAAATTGAACTGTTTTATGAAGTAACCTGAGGTATAAAAAAACATGTTGGAATGTAAATGTAAATCCAAATTTGGTTATATTTTGGTTTTATAATTTCTATAACTAATCGTTAATTGTTGATTTTTTTACCTCTATTCTCCATTATTAGTTACTAGTGTACCTGTTGCTAGAATTCGAGCAATTGCGAAGTGTTACAGGCGTTATTTTAAAACAAATAACAGCCATAATTTCCGATGACTTTAAAAGAGTCGACTCAAAGATTACGGAAATACTCACAATGTACATAACAATTCGATATAATCAACATTTCTTGTAAATATATTTTAACTAGCTGTACCCGTGGGCTTTGCCCCGTTTAACTTCATAAGTATTCGCATGGCTCATTCACGTACTGGTTGAAGTTTGTTCGCTGCGCTCACTTGCCTTCAGGTTAGCTCGTTCGCTACGCTAACTCGCCTCCAGGTTGAAGTTCGTTCGCTACGCTCACTCACCTTTTGGTTGGAAATTAGCTGTTGTCATAAATGTAAAAGAAATAATAGTGCTGCACCCTGTTGGTAATCCTTGTAACTTTTATGCTATTGAACATCATAGAACAGAACCAACTTGTTTAATTGAAACAGCTGTCAAGATTCATTAATTCCTTTTAAATGTGAAAAATCATAAGGTTAACATGGGGAACTACAGAGCCACTGGGGCGGAGCCCGAAAGGATTTTTGGGATAATAATATGCTTTAATGTTAATCGAGAATGTGAGCTATCATCATGCCAAATTTTAGCCCAATCCGTCCAGTAGTTTGTGCGTGATTGAGCAACACACACACAAACTCACAAACTTTCAGATTTATAATATTAGTAAGATATTTCAAAAGCTGATCTTGCTTTTTGGTGTTTTCTACAAATGTTTCCCATTCAAAGCTGCATTAGGTTGTCTAAAGATTATAAAATAAAAAAACAAACATTATTTCAATTTCTTCTACTTAGTGGTGTTCTATGACTTTCCTTTGTTTCCATTGATTGTAGGCCCACTTTTATAAACTAGCAGACTGGGTATATACCCAGGGGCGCCGAAGGTTTGGGGGCGCCCCCTCAACTGCGCCCCCTCAACTAGGAAAAAAAGGGTGCACTGCTTTTGGCTTTGCCCATCAGGGCACCACTGACCCTTAACGCGGCCCTGATAGATTGCAAATCCGCTCTTTTAATGATTGGTAAAGAAATGCAGCACATTGTTAATTCAGTTTTCTTTAGTATATCAAATTGTCGAGACTTTTTCTTGCTGTTTTCCATTTTTTTATTTACGCCAACCCAAATTCAAATAGTACATATTTCATTTCAACCATGTCAGTAAATGTTTTTAGCATATGTTTCCTTCAATTGCAACTAAAATATTAACAGCAATTAAATTATCCACCTGATCATAATCAACGTAAATAAATATGTTCTTTATAAGGATAACATGGGAACTTTAAAAGCCACTGGGGCAGAGCCCAAGGGACTTTAAAAATATGATATGTGGGTTTAAATCTTAAAACAAAAAAGCCTTATTGTTCACAAAGTTTCATGTAGCGTATTAATAATATACATTTTGGAAACTACCATTGCTTAAACAATTATGTTATGCAGATTGTTTTAGATTTAGTACCTACCAAGAACTAAACATTAAATTTATTAGATAAGTTATTTAGCTAAATTAAAAATATTTACTACAAAATACTATAATTTTTTATTTTAAATTTACCGGTACTATAAAAATATTTACGTTAATCATAGTGAACAAATTTTAAATTATACAAAAAGAAAACATTTTTTATTAGTACACCTGTATAAATACATAGATTGCTATACAAATTACCCATATCAGCTGTTTTATTAACTGCAGCTACAAAAAGGTATTGACGATAATATGGACAATTAAGGGCTGTAAAGTGGAAACTGAATTTTCCCAGCCTTATGACCAAGTCCAATCGATTTCTTGTGGCCAAATACCCCTTAGTAAAAAAAATTAAAAATCTGCGGACAAAAATAAAAATTTGTAAGTACACACGCTTCTTGATTATCAATTACTTACATGAACTTTATTTACAAGTATAGCTTTCAGGTAGTGATACTCAATTTTACCTACACTAGCTTAAATATACAATTTTAGGATATCAATACAAGGCACTAGCGTATTTGAGGTAAGATTTACAACTTGTTTTACCTTGTCTACAACACCTAGAGATTGACTCCATGCAGCCTTCTCTTCTCTCTGTGGGATAATAACTCATGGCCTCGACTGATAACTGTCTTATCTCACCTGAAACTAGATACTCAAAGAGCTCAATAACTTAATCAGTTCTATGAACAGTATCTGGTCATGCTAAATGTTTATGGCATGTAAACATTGTGTGTAGCTTACGAGTTCCTCTTTGCATCATTAACTGTTATTTTATCAGTTGATTAGCCATGCTTTGAACTTAAAATTAGGAAAATAAGTCTATTACGGAACAAAAAAGTGTTGCCAATGGTTGTAGAATTTTCGTATTTTTTATATTATAAATAAAACATCATGGACTAACTTATACATGTATAGTATCAACTAGTTTTGAAAATCTCGATATATATATTCCTGTGATGGTGTAAAATAGAATGCATTTAAAAATGTAAACAACACAAACATAAACGTTATAATTACCTTGTTGCTCCCATGGAAAACAATAAATGAGTTGTGTGGATACCATTTAAAAAAAATCATGGGTGTCATTTAAGCTTTTTAACTGGGATGGCAAGATCTATAGGGGGGGTCCAAGGGTCTCCTACCCCAGGAAATGTTAAGAAACTGGCTTTAAATTTGTTTAAGCTTTTTCAATTTATTTTCACAACAAGTTTATTGCTAACAGCTAAACAATCATTTTAAAACTAAAACAATAATTTTTAAAGAATTGAGTTGTTAACTAAACCAAACAACTCAAATATGTGCCTAATTTTAATTTATATGTGTCCAGCCTGCTTGGTTTTTATAAAAGGAAAAATCAAGTAAACATTTGTAAACAAATTTCTATTTTACTCAATGTTATCATATTGCATCACAAGTTACTTTTGCACAAAATGAAGCCTTCTCTTCTGGCTTGAATTAGAGTCATCAATAACTTTGGAAATGTTTACTTCATCACTCCTTTCAATAGCCAAAAAGAGCTAACGAAGACAACAGAGTTGCCATTTTCAGACAACTATACATTTCTCATTCACCCTCTTCACACATTTAAAGTTCCTTATTTCATTACATAAATTCTCTACTACCGGTACACCAATATTTCTTTCTAAGTTTATGATTTAAAAGTTTTCAAAAGACATGCTGTGCCAAACATAAGCATGATTAATGGAAAATCAATCAAGTTTGAAAGTTCCTTCTGGCTAGACTTGTATTTTTCAGTTTTAAGTGTTTGTAAATTATTTAGACTTTTACTTTTTACTTCAAAATTGGGTGGCAAAATACTGGGCTCCACAATTCTGGGTGGCAACTGGCACCCCTGAATTAGGCACCAATAGAACAGTAGGAAAACTGGTATTTTAAAAATGTAGATGCAATTTTAATAATTATTTACTCTAAGCATTTTCACTCTAAACTTACTTATTTAGAATGTACACAGCAAGTCATTTTTTCTTAGTTGTAACACGCTGTAACTCCTAAACAAGTAGCTTTAGAGAAAAAAATTCCAAGAATAAAAACGTTTTTAAATTGCAATTAAAATAGAATTGCATTGCAGAACATAAGGTCTTCCCAAAAGAAAATCAAAGTTGGCGGCCATATTGGAAAAATGGCGGCTAAAATTATTTGTTCATCTTGGCCAACATTTTTAAAATAAAAAATCCAAGGCAGTTACAATTAAAAATTTGTTTATGCCTCTTGTAACTTTTGATTTAAACAGGTGACACACTTATATAAATCACCCTTAATATGTTAAATGATCTTTTAGAAATAAATTTAGAACACAAAAAACTAAATGGTGGATATCTCGCCAACAAAGCATTTTTGGAACAAAAATTTATTCTCGATTTTTGTTTGATTTTGACCCAATAAACAACTTATTCCTAAATTCTTTGTAAGTTACTTACTTATATGGGACACCCAGTATAATGTAACGGTGATCTTGAATTTTATTCTGAAGAACTACAAAAATGGATATATGTAGAGATATTATTCCAAGATAAGAATCAGGGTCATCATCAAATCACTCAGAATCTGAAATATTTAGGCAGTGTTTCAAGAGACAATCAATGAGGTTGTGGCGTGACCCACTACAGAACATGCCATGTCCATGTATAGTGTCTCTCCCTCTTGGCTTAGTGAACTGAAACTCTAATGGTTTATCGTGTTTAGGTCAAAATAAAATATATGATTCAAGATCATAATTTGTTTGATTTGAATCTCAGTATTTTCATGTTGACTTGAATCAGATCTTTTTAAACATTATACTTAGCATTTTTTTGCTTTCTCTCCATCTGATGGATAGACATAGCTCGTAGATTTTCAGCTGTTTTGAGATATTATTATTAACTAGAGGTCGCCCCGTGGTCGAGAACTCGACCAAAAATATGTAATGTTCTAACAGACTTCTCTATTTTCACCCCAAACTGTAGAAAATAAAACATGTGATCGGAATTTCTTCAATTTATTTTCATTTTCTGTTGTTTTTGTTTATGCGTCATTATTTCGTCACCCCATTAGACCCTATTAGATTTATTTCGCATGGCAACCCATTAGACCCATGTTAATTTTTAGAAATTTTAAATTCATTAGCTCCAAAATTTATTCATTGGATAATATCATGGACAAAATATTTTGCTACCGGTACTGTATGATTTAATGAAGTGAGTTATCGGAGATGAGAGTCAGTCATATGATCCAGCTGTTGGAGTTGGATAACGGTTACACAACCATCTCATGAAGACAGATACATACAGTCTGTCAGTGATATGATAGACGGCTGTCTGTCTATACCAGTTGAGGCTTCAGCTATCTCCGCCACTCCGCGTCTGTCAATGTTATCAGATCTATAGCTAAGATGGTGACAATTTCGTCATGATTAAAACTATTCATGTGGGCTACCTATTATTTTAGTAAACTTTTTCAAGTCTAATAGTTTTTGTAACATGATTATAGGTTCCTTCCCAACATAAAAGATGGGATCGGATATTATCTCCGGACACGTGAAAACAATGTTTCACTAATCTGAGATGGAAAATTCTCATGTATTTGTAGTTATTCCAGGTAGTAGATTAAATAATTGTCCATGCTCTTAAGTTTCAGATTTTTAATCAGGCAATATGGACTAAACACAGATCAATTGAACAATATTAATTTTTACACAGTAAGCACACTGTACAGTAATTATAATCAGATTAAATTAAAGATTAAACACCGACGATTAGGCCTACTGTTGACTACCGTACTAGAAATTAAATAGCAATGGTTCAACAATTGCAATAACAAATATTTCTAGGGTGGTATTGTATTGCCTGACACTGCTTGAATATAATCATTGGGCGTGTATAAATAATTAGATCACTTGATGTATAGGCCTACTATTAATGATGTACCTAATTATTGTGATACAGTATAACATATACGGCATTGTATTGATACAATTAGAGTGATGCTTGTACTTAAGTAAATTGCTTGGATTTATTTAATGTTCTTTCCCGTCTTTCTTCGTAAGGATACGGTAAATGACTTCTGTCTGTCTGTCCATGATCATGAAGCAAAAAAGTGCCCTCATTTTCGCGTTTCATGGGGAAAACGAGAGCACCTTTATCGAAGGAACTGTTTAGGTGTTTTCTACATGTGGTATGGAAAGTGTATGTTAGCATAGATGAAGTAATAATATATAGGCTCTTTAAAATAGTCTTGGAACGAAATTTATAGACGTTTACCAACCTTCTTTAGTAAATGTTGAACATATTTTATCGTGATTTGCGGAATACGCATTTGCTGATAGTGACACAAATATATTTTCACTGTTTTAAAACAGGCAGGCATGGAAAAGATTAAGATATTTCAATTTCCCGTATCCAAATTTAACTTTTATGTTACGCTTATATTTTATGGTATGTATCAACTTTAATTTTAGCTCAAGTCAATGCCTTCAACACGAGGGGAAGTGCCAGAAAGTAGTTAAAGAACATAGCAAGAAACAGGAAATATCCGAATTTTGTTTACATGTCACGTTGAGTAACTAAATGGATCGTAAACATAAACAAAATATAGTGTTACTCATCCGAAAACAAACATTAATTAACACGCGTAGAACTGTAGCACCTTTATGTTATATATACCATTTATGTGTTATGGAACTTATGTTATGTTCCCATAAAACCCCATAAAACAAAAAATTGGATTTTAGAAAAAAGGCCGGGTTTGATTAAAATGTGTATGTTATGGTCCTTAAAATTGTGAACAAAATGGTACAGATCCCATTTCCATGAAAAAGTACGGTTCAAACGTTACTTTAAATTATGTTATTTCCCATAAAAACCCCGTAAAATAACAAAATACTATCGGATTTTAGGAAAAACCTGGTTTTGATTAAAATTAATATGTGGTACTTATAATTCTAACCAAAAATAGTACAACCCCTATTGCTGTAACAATTATGGTTCAAAAGGTATTACAACTTTTGTAATTTATCCATATAGAATATCATAATTACTCCCACCGCTTACCCATGATAAAGGTTGTTTTTAAGCTAATGGGAGAAAGTATGTGTCAGTTTGCTGATACCATTTATTAAGTTGGTAATTACTAAAAAAACATCAACTAAACCATCGATAAACGATGCTGGTGATAGCTGGTGACGGCAGCTATTTTAAGAGCTCCTTCCTTTTAACTTTAAGAGTCGCCTGACATGTTCCATAGTAAGGCATTCAGGTTGCAAGTGGAAACAAACAGCTGATTTCCCTTAATTATTTGGATTTTTTAAACACTAAAATTGATTACAATTTGAACCGGTAAACATTGAAACTTTTCTTTTGTTTATGGACGATAGCCTTTCTACCCTTGAAAAACATTTCAGAACAGGCAGTTTTTTGTACTCACCAGGACCAGGCACACTGACAGAACACACCTCTATTTTACATTATGGTTGGAATATTTTTGTCAACACGTTTGGAACGCAATATTACCGTACTATTGTAAAAATGTAGTGATTTGGTAAAAATGGTTTTGTCAATAAGTTCATTGAAATCAATATATCTGAATAGCGATGCAACTATTGCTTGTACGTAAACACCGTTAGGCTATTACACACTGTACAGCTGCTACGAAGCCTTGAAACAAATTCACGCCTGTGTGGGATATACAGAGTGGCCTTCATAGTGTTTTAGACGATTGTTTTTCAATTCCTACAATTTACATAGCTCTGTGACGCTTTGGTTTGGTTTAATCCTTCTTCAAAATCGTATTATTAACTTAATTGGGGATTCGTTTTATTTTTTATCATCGTGAAAAGTTAATTAATTATCACCGAAATTGAGTAGTTAAAATCTAATTTTCGTCAGAGGAAAGTAAAGTTATTCCATTCAGAAATCAGTAAATGCGAAGTTGGATACGGTTTTACAACACCTTACGTAGGTTTACAGCTGCAGCACTTAACAGGTGATAATAAAACCGTTTTGGGAAATTATTGTAACCTACCCATCATAAAGTTCACCTATTATTTTATTAGGTAGGTGGATTTAAACATTGTAGCATTGGCAACATTAAATAACTTTGGAAAAAAAGTCTAAATATTATATCTTATTTAGTTTTTCATTTAAATGGTCTCATTTAAGTGATCTCATCAATTGGAGATCAATGAATGGACTAAATTATTCCCTCCTACGTAAGCAGTAAACAAACCTTACGCCACACTGTCAAAACTTAACTATGTCCAACACTCGTTAACCGTCCTACGACTTACCGGCGAACTTTCTTACAGCGAGATAACAACCTGTGAAAGCACGTGAACTACTCTGTGAAAATGTTAAAGTGAACTACAACTACATCTAGTGTAGGATATTGACGTACGGATGCGCGCGCGGAGCTAACTACTACCACAGCCATGGCAATAACCGCGACGCAAGGGTAAACAAGTGATCGAGTCACCACTGCCATTGCCTGCTAATTAGGTTAGGTCATTCGTGTTAACGATGGATGACAATGCAACAGGATAGATAAGATAATATCTATCTTGAAACCAGATTTCAGGGATAGATATTAGATAGATTATCTATCTAATATCAATATCTATCCCTGAAATCGGATTTCAAATTAGTCACAGAGGGTGTGCCACAAGGCTCAATACTTGGTCCACTACTGTTTTTGGTTTATATCAATGACCTACCTCTGATTTTAAAGTCAACATCAGTAATGTTTGCTGATGGCATTTCCATTATTTTCACTGATCATAGTAAAATTTTCATGCAACAAACAGCTGATCGATCAACAAGATTTCCTTAAGCTAGAAAAATTGTTTGAAATGGTTTGGCGATTGGCGAAATAAAGTAAATAAAGATACATCTCTTCTGATGGAATTCCAAAAAAACTACCAGAAATCTGACTCATCAACAAAATTAGATTTGAATCTTTCTCTAAATTCAGTAAGCTCAGTCTAATTCTTATAGGCATCTTTCATGTTCATTATTTTATCTAAATCTGTTGACATATCCACTCTCATGATGGTTTATTATGGTTATCTCTATAACTTGTTTAATTATGGTGTGATCTTCTGGGGAAATTCAGATAGGAGAAAAAAAGTTAATACATAAGAGAATTATCCGTATTATTTTTGGACTTAAAGGAAAAAATCCTGTAAGAGTATTTTTAAAAATCACAAAATTCTTACTTTTCCCAGTATATACATATATAGTTTGATTTTGTACATAAGACAAAATTTATCAAATTTTCCAAATAACTCTGATTTTCACAACTATAACACAAGACAAAAGAATAGCCTTACATAACACCCCCACCATTGAACATTCTCCATATTACTCTGGTATAAAATTGTATAATAGCCTGCCTAGCACCATAAAGTGTTTGACAGATTTTAAAAGATTTAAAACCAGTTTATTCAAATTGTTGTCAGATAAATGCTGCTACAAGATTGGGGACTTCTTCAATTAGCTCTTAGTAGAATGTAAAATCAATAGTAATGTATATCAATGTATAGTTATGTTTATTCTTGACTTGACAAAATTCATGTATACAAATGTACTGTTTGATAAAGGATTTTTTTATCTGATTTGATTTGAATAGTACAGCTAGCGGTGTGACCCACGATGGATTTGATTTGAATAGACACTTTGGATTGTCTAGGAGATTTCTTCCATCAAATTTAAAGATAACGATTAAGTACTTTCTACACCTGTAGGAGAGGTGGGTAAAATTGAATTGGAACGTTCAACCTTGTGGAATTTTATTAATAAAAGCTAGCAACATCGCAACAATATCGAATCACTTATAATCTGTTAACAATATTTTGAGACGGTATAGGTAGATAGTAATAATTGGTAAGACGTTTGATTAAAGGAAAAGTTACCCCTCCACTTTTACTTTCTCCCCGTATACAGTACATAGTATATGGAGAAAGTATTTTTTCGTCAAAGTTTTTGAGTTTGAGTGGATATATCCATTTTCGGTCCCTCTGAACAAAAAAAAAGTGGTTTTCGAAGTGATGTTTGTGTGTGTAGATGTGTACAGACTACATAGCCACAGACCACACCTGTTGTCCGATTTTCATGAAATTTGCTATGTAGGTACTAATCCATGGTATCTCCAGGTATTTTTTCAATTTTTTTCTTAAATTTACATTTTTAATTGGGATTTTTTCAAAAAAAAAAACATAAAATAACGGAAAAATCTAATTTTCTCGAAAATGGCCAAAACGATTTTGATGAAAATTTAGTGTGTTATGGCCCAAGATTCTGAACAAATTGGTACACATCCATTTCCGTAAAAATTACGGTTCAAAAATTATTGTATCTTACGTTTTTTTCCCATCAAATTTAAAAAAATAAACGGTATCAGCATTCTGACCCATACTTTCTCCCTCAAGTTTGTCAACACCCTTTATCATGTGTAAGTGGTTAGAGTAAATATACGGAAATGGGATTTGTACAATTTTGTTCAGAATTTAAAGGACTACAACATACTAAATTTTTATCAAAATCGTTTGGGCCATTTTTGGGAAAATCCGATTTTTCCGTTATTTTATGGGGTTTTTACAGGAAAATAACATAATTTACAATAACTTTTAAACCGTAATTTTTACAGAAATGGGATTTGTACCATTTTGTTCAGAATTTAAAGGGCAACAACATTAAGGGGATTAAAATATGTTTTGCATTTAAAGTAATGAAATTCAAGTGAAGAGAGTGTACTGGTACCCCTACATTATTATTTAATTATTTGGATAAACAAAATGTTGTAGTCTTTACCTAGCTAAAAAAAAGAAAATACAGTCATGGTGAGCAGTTTTGTTTGTTTCTTACTTTTTATGCACCTGGCATTTTTCTTTTCCTTGCACCTTGAATCAACCTAAGACCTCTTGGGCCCATTTGCCCCAGCAGCCCTGATGGGGAGGCCCTATGAAAAATTCTACCTCCCTGATTAAAAGATCTAATAGGTAGCACAATCACCTGTGAAACACTGTAAACAAGTTTTTTTTTTACCTAGGAATAATTACAACCACAAAATTAAAAATGAAATAAAATTTGATCATCAAACAACTGTAACAGATTTGATTCATGCAACTTCTATGATACAAAGAAATAGTGAGTTGTATAGATATTCTACTTATTCCACTAGAAATTACCCAACACACTATCAACTTTAAGTGTTTGAAAGAAAATTGATAATTTTATTTATCTCTCTAAGAGGAGGTAAATCACTATGTCAATCACTCTCGTAAAATCACAGAGTTGACAGTACAGAGGTTTTGAAAAATGCTATACACGGCAGTTTTAGTAATTTCTGTGTTACTTGTAAACGCAGCATGTGATGTAGTGAGGTAATTATAATAGTCATTTGATTTAATATAAAGATTATGAGTTATTGATTTTTTACTGATTCAGTTAGTTTAATATTGTAGAGTTTTAAGTGGAGGGGATTCTCAAAAACTGAAAGTTATGCTATTTAATTTAGCTCCACTAATTGAAATACAGAAATGTAATTCTGGGAAAAACTATAAAATTTTGTTTTTAAAGGTTTACTAAAAACATTCAAAACACTTTCTCTCTACCAATAATCTTAAGTAATCTCTCCATGAATTAATTAATATAAACAAAGTTACAAATCTGTCGATCTTGGAAAGTAATCCTTTAATGTGTACAAAGCTCAAGACTTAGATTTATTTTCAAAAGATATCTATGTAACCGGATTTACTTTTTAAGATTGCCATTAACTTAAGAAAGACACCATTGAAGAAATTGTAGAAAGTAATAACAAGTGATGTAGCTGTAAATTTACCAGTGCGAGAACACTTGCCATCTTCTCAGAAAAATAGGGGTCACCTTTTAATACATAGATTTTTTGTAAAAATCAGGGTGGGAATGCACCCCACTACACCAATTCATTCCTTGATAGGATCACAGTTAGTTACTGTATTGGAGAAATTTCTGGACTAAATAAAAATCAAATAGAGCTATTGCCTTTCAATATTTGATAGTCATCGGAATCATTTATGCTCAAACCACACTGACACTTGTTGTGGGGGTGGGGAGGGGAATAACTTTTGACTCTAAAGAAAACTCAGCAACCAGAAAATAACAATAATAGCAACAGTAACAACCTAATGTTTACAGGATTCCTTTGAAGCGCAATAACAACAATAAGTTACATGAGGATTTCGAATCATTTAAAGAAAGACATGTGAAACGGCTCAAGAGCAAATTTTCCCTTAATTCTCAAGGCTACCTTCCCCTAACAGATGTTGATGATGTAAGTATTCCATGATTCCAAAAATGTAACTGCATTTCATTTGCAATATTATCGTCTGTTTTGTTTAGTAAATTCTTGATCAGAATGAGACATTTATGGTGCTAACAACACCCAGAGCCGGCCTTAAGCACGAGCGAAAAGTGCGGCCGCACAGGGTCCCGAATCTGAGGGGCCCTGCGTTTTGTGAAAAATAAAAAAATGTAAGAAGTCAGTGAATTTTACATAATTTATGCCAGTTATGAAGAATTAACAAGGGGGGAATATAAATACTAACATTATACATTGGGATTTTTGTTAGTTAGTACCATTGGGATCCTAATTTGTGGTAGTAAACCACAACCATAAAAGCACACTAAACAAAAAATCTTGTTAATAATACAGTAGCCTATGGCTGTGAATATTGAGTAGTATTGTTAGTAAACATCGATTTATCTTTTATAATAAATACCCTTAAAGGTTTAATAATTTTAAAAAACCTTAAATTAAAGTATTTAAACAGATACAATGATACAATAGATGTTAGGCAGGTTTGAGTGCTTTGACTCTGCTTTTTTGTTGCTTAGAGGCTTAACCAGTCTCAATGTGGGAACGCTGACCACTATATAGGTTCTTTTGGAAAAGCAGAGTGAAAACGGTGTGTTCCTGTTTCACTACACCATTGGGACAAACAATGTAGGCTTAACAATGTTAGGCAAGTTACACACCGGTATCTCCGACATAATGTCGCGATATTTATCATGCTGGCAACATGCCCCTCGAAAACCAACCTATGTTAACTTAAAGAGCTATACACACCAGTCGCAGGCCCGTGTCACAAGCGAACCAACCGGTCGGTGTTTGGACAGACATGTCTCTTGTCTGTCTTGGGCCCGCGCATGCGCAGAACACGTTTCTAGTAGTTTCAAAAATGTTGACAGCCTTTCTTCAATGTTAATTGATTTCTGATAGTTATTATCCTTGATTCTAAGTTTATATTTTAACAGACCGCACAGTTTTCCAAAGGTTTCCGGTTTCATCTTTTGAAAGTTTTGAATCTTTTCATGGTGTTGAAACAACTGTTTTGTTGGAGTCAATTGACTGGACCACTGATTGTCTTTCCAATAAGGATGGGTCCAGAATTCTCTTTGAACATGTCTTCTTCGTCGTCGTCTTCTTCTCCTTAACACCAACAGCAACACATCATCTTCTGATGATGATGACATTATTGAAACCGATGAAAAATTGATTCCTTCTCATGTCGCCAGCACGTGCCTCTTCCCATGGTTGTATCTTATTATATGTCGCAGACATCATGCCCACGACATCAGAAATATTAGCGACACTATGTAACCCGCCTTATGTTTTCTACAGGTTGAATATTACGGAGAGATTTCTATTGGTTATCCCGAGCAAACATTTACTGTGTTGTTTGACACTGGCTCAGCTGATCTTTGGGTTCCGTCATCTACTTGTAGATTCTGGGACGTAGGCTGCTGTAAGTACTCAAATCAAATCAAAATATCTTTATCACTGAATAAAAAAAATCATCTTTATTCCTGGCATAGTTTGAATTGTTTACCTTTTATATTTTATACTCCACAATCTGAAAAAAATGTGGTTAATTTGAGCAGAACTCCCAGGCAAATTCATTATTTTTTCCAGATTTACTGACAGAAAATCCTGGTAGTCCCTGTCGTTATTCCTAGTCACCAAGTCTACCTTTTACTAGGGGTCTGCGGGTACCTCTTATAACTCACAAAAATAAAAATAAGTGTTTGTCTGTTATATACATTCTATAAAATTTGACAATACTTACTTACACTGATCAATAAATATTTTATTTCAGGGTTCCATAATAAATACAACAGCAAGAAAAGTTTAACATATGTGAGTGATGGCAGACCGTTTAGCATTCAATACCTCTCTGGATCCGCCTCTGGTATTCTGTCAAGAGAAAATGTCACAGTAAGAATGGATGTTTTATTCAAATTTGTGATTTTTCTTCTATAAATACATAATACATGGATTTTTTGGTTTTATAAAGCTATTGGTATTGTTATAATGTTATAACACATTCAAAATGTTCAATGAGGGGATAAAATATGGTAATAACATGAAATAAGAGTTAAATAATGAGAATCATTTGAAGGAACGAAAAGAGCTTGCAAACGCCTTAATTAAATCTATACTATTATAAAGAAGGGGTGGTGTCTGTGTGTGTTTAATAACACGCACAATAATGATCAAGAAGTCATTTAATAAAATTGCAGAGTAAATAAAAAAAAAATAGTCTAATAATACTTTAACAAAACATGGTATAAATTGTATATAGGTTTCAATTGTTATTAGACGTATTTTTATATACTTTCGGTAAATTTAAAAAAAACTTACAATGCTGATCATGAATTTATTATATTGGTCAACATGTCATTTTTTGGGACAAATCACTCTAAATCTACAACGGTACTGCTGCATTCATTGTACCCACTTGTTATTGGAAGATTGTACTCTTTTAAAACTTAGTCCTTGAGTTTGATGTATTTTCTATGTGAAATAACAAAAAAAAGTGTATGGTAAAGTCAAACTCTCTGTTGAAAATTTTGAAGCAGGATTGAATGAGTTATATGAAAATATAGGTGTGGTTCCCACTTACAGTACATCAATTGGCACTTTGCAGATATCATCATTGTTTTAAAATGCTGTCAATCTAAACTGGTACTTATAAAGACTACTTTGTTTTCATCGGGCTATTAATACGAATTATACATGTTTTATTTATTTTTTCTTCAACTACTTTTTGCCAAAGGAATTATTGGCTTACGGAAGTTAGTTTTTATGTGCGTTTTATCTTGGCAACGTTTACTGTAGACTTCTTGAGGGAATGTCTCTCACTTTTTTGGAGTAGATTTTAAAGCTTTACCGGTACCGTTACCAGATGGCAAATAATTGTTTACTTTTTATCTTGTATGTAGTTTATCTTATAGTAAAGTTTGTCAACGTGTAACTTTGATTTTGAAATCAGCACCAAGAAATTTACATTTATAATAATTATGACTAAGTTTCTGGCTCAGTCGGTCACGGGCTTCAGGCCCAAGGCAGTGATGTTTTGGGTTAGGATCCTGATACTACTGGATCCACTACTTTTTACAGTACCCGCTCACTCCTTGCTTTGGTGAATACTTTCCACAGACAAATCCGTAGTCTATGTGGACGGACAAAAGAAAAATTAAAAGAGGCTACCAACCTCTTAGAAAAAATTAAAATCCTCTACTTAAACTAATCTTAAAATTGTCCTCTGCAATAAGATATGATAAATCATCTATAACAATAACAATGGAAGTTATCCAATTTAAGAGGGTTCTAGCCGGCAGCCTGAATGACAATTCAAGATGGCGGATTATATGGATTGAAATATAGTTAAGGATTGAACATGACTTGTAAAAGCTGTCAACGTTCTAAAACTAATTTTTCAATGATTGTGTGCTTTTTGTGCTCTTAACATATCAGAGCTTGAGATGGGGAAAAAATATTTTTGAGTTAAAATCACATAATGAAAAGATTTATGTACAGATTTTCAAAATTATTTTGTAAATACCTTAAGAAACAATTACGAAGTAGTTCATTTACTGCAATGCGTGGTTGGGATTTTTGTTTAATATTTTACAGTTCATTTCAACTCGATCAACACTTAAATAATGCCACTAGGTTCTTTTTTGTAAGACCGTGTTTACGCTATAACCAGCCGGCGGGTGGAACCCTTTTTAGTGGATTGCCTATTTTAGTAGTTATCAAAATCAAATTTTACTTTCTCCACAAATACCTACTATATCAAGAAAGTATTGACTTCCTCAAAATCATTGAGTTTGAGTGGATATACCCGTTTTGGGTCCTCTGAACCTAAAATAAGTGGTTTTGAAGTGATGTCTCTGTGTGTGTGTCTGTATTAGTGAATGTGTACAGAGCTGCAGCCCCATACATGTAGTCCGATTTTTATGCAATTTGGTATGTAGGCACATTTTGTTGTAAATTTTTATTTTTAATTGTGATTTTCCTGTAAAATAACAAAAAAATAAACATTTTCCAAAAACGGCCCAAACAATTTTGACAACAAAAATCAGATTTTGGAAAAAAAACCTATTTTGATTAAAATAAGTATATTATGGTCCTTTAAATTCTGAACAAAATAGTACAAATTCCCTTTCCATAATAATTAGGCCTAAGGTTAAAAATTTACTGTAACAGATTTTTGGAAAAAACCGTTTTGAATCAAATTAATATGCTATGGTCCTTATAAACAAAAAATAGTGCAACAAAATCTAGTTGTGGAAACAATTACAGCCCACATGTTTTTGCAACTTTTGACATTTTCTCTAGATAAAATATCATAGTTACTCTCACCACTTTAACGTGACAAAGGTTGTTCACAAGCTAATGGGAGAAAGTATGTCAGATAGCTGCAATACCATTTATTAATTTAACATGGTTTAGTCATTACATAATGAACAAAGTAATTCTTAGAAAACTGTAGCATATCACTAAGGGCCAGCGCGCACTATCCCGACCACGACCACGACCAAGACCAAACGCCCGACCGGTCGTTGTCGTTCACCATGCAACCAGAGCATGACCCAACCACGACCTGACCAAGGTAATGAATGTTTTACCAACTTCAGTTCAGTGTCAAGATTGATGTTTAAGAAGTAGCTGCTGTGGTGCATTTGTATCGTAGGTACATTAAGCGGAAGAAGAAACGATGCTGGATACATCCAATTATAACTGAGAATTTTCCTTCCGAGTAGTATCATCACGTCCACCAAACATCAGCGTGATCTCCTCCCAAGCTTCCTTCTTCATCCCTCTGTTGGCAAAATCTACAGCTGATAGATCCCATAAACAGGGCCTTTCTTTAATAGCTATAATAAAACTCTCAGGGTTAAAATCCTTCGACATTTTACAAAAGAATTCACTTCACAAACCACACAAAAAACAACTGCTCACCGTTTGATTGATCCAGGAATACTGGAGGTTGAGTGGTGTACTGGTCGGGTCGGAGACAAGTCGGGGGTAGTGCGCGTCGTCCCATTATATTGTGTGCTATTTTTGGTTGCAACAGCCAGCAAGTCGGGCCCCCACTAAACTGGAAGGACTTTGGTCTTCCATCCAGGGTCCAACCAGTCGACCAGTGCGCGCTGTTCCAATTACGCCTATTAAAAACTGGCCGTATCCGACCAGTCAGCGTCGTGGTTGTGGTCATGGTTGGGATAGTGTGCGCCGGCCCTAACTACATAATATTTTATTTCTCTTACTTGGTCCAGCTTGCTGGAGTTTATGTGACTAATCAAACGTTTGCTGAGATCAACCGACCAAGTCTCCAGTTCGCATTATCCAAGTTTGATGGTATTCTTGGACTGGCCTTTCCAAGTGTTGCAGCCAGCAATGAGACGCCTGTATTTGTTAACATGGTCCATCAAAAAGAAGTTGCCAAACCATTCTTTGCATTTTACCTCAACAAGTAAGTGCATTCACTGTAGTATGAGTAGCCTCCGCAGGGGCGGCTCCAGAGGCCAGGTAGGCCTAGGCCTACCCAAAATTTTGGTAGATATTTTAAAATTATAAATAAATAAAGACAAAGGGAAAGAATTACACCTAATTATTTTGCATTTAAATGTTTTAATTCCCCCCTTTTTGCAGGGGAGCTCACCACTCATACCTCTTGTATCCTGATCAAACTCCTTCTTGTTCCTTGTCAGGCCTACCCAAAAAATTATTCCTTGGAGCTGCCCCTGAGCCTCCGGATTGCAAAGAATCTATATATATAGTACGTAACTAATAATAGTGGTTTAAATACCTGATTCTGACAATCCAAACGTATCCCACAACTAGTTTCAACCTGCCAAGAGGTCATCATCAGGTCATTACTTCATATGAAGGTCATCAGGATTAATAGTTTTTTACTCATACACACACAAACAAACAAATAGCGCGCAGAAGTCTCATGACGCAACTTCTGCATTACAAACACTGGTACGCTCAGTGTTTAGGCCCAGCACACACGGTGTGACTGTTTTACAACTTTCGTTGCAAACTTGTTGCGAGTGCAACTGTTTTGTGACCTTGGCAATATATTGCAGTGGGGAAGCGCACACGACGCAACTGGTTGTATGCGATTTAAAAAAAAACATTAGAAACCAGTTGCATGCAACCGTGGGCCCGACGTTGCAGACTTTAGTTGCACGAGACCACGGGGTGTTTTGTGGTGTTTGGTGGTATTTTGATGGTATTTTGACGGCCGTATAGTGTTATTAGTGTTTATAATTTCCTATCCGACTAGCTCTAGCTGCTACAAACAGCCTAGTACTAACATTCTTGCTCAAATAAGGGTGAACCCAATGCTCTCTCAGTACCCTTCGCTGTCTTCGGTATTGATAATAGCTAATAACGTCTTGTTCGTCTGAGACTGACATAGTAAGCGCACTTAAACAACGTAACAACACTAAATTGACACTCCATTGATTGCACAATAGACGCAACTGTAGTTGTAAAACAGTCACACTGTGTGCAGACAGAAGTTTTGTTTCAGTTGCAAACTGGTTTCAGGTGCAACTTGTTTGCAACAGTTGTTGTAAAACAGTCACACCGTGTGCGCTGGGCCTAAATGTTTAATTTTATCGGCCAGAAGTGTGGGCACCCTATGTATTTGTTCGTATGTATGTGTAAAGAACTGTTAATCCTGACGACCTTCCTTCTTAGTAGGTTGAACTAGTTGTGGAATACAACGTTGGGATTGCCAGAATCGGGTATTTAACCGACTATTATTAAGTGCATTCATTGTATAACAATGGAATATTCTTTTAGTTGTGTAAACTGATTGAAAAGGAAATTAAATTGTATGTTAATATTTATATTTAATCATAGACTCTTCTAAAACAAGGCTGTGGTTGGACTTAAGTGGCAATGCCGCAGTTTTGGCCTACCGGCAATGCCGCAGTTTTGGCCTACCACCGAGACCACTGGCACTAATTCTTGAGCTACGTCTGCGGGTTTTTAACTTGTTTGTCATTACAGATATTACTAAAGCGAGTAGACTGGCGAGCACGGCCTTGTATTACAGGAGACTATGATTCAGCCCATTCCTTTTTGTCATAAAGCTTAGTGGAGAGAGTTACCTAAAGATTGTTTTCGTTTCAATAGGGTAGATGTACTAAACATTAAAATAATAACAGTTAAATTGTAGTTTACAACAATTGTTTTTAAAAGTTAAAACAAAAACAATCAAAAGAATACATATTTTTATATAGTTTTTATGTTTTCAACATTTTTCAGTCCTCCACAAGGTAAAGATTTTTTGAGATAATTGTTAAAATGAAACACCTTGATATGAAATATGTAAATTAACAAAAAAAAAAACATATTCTTAAGGTTAAGTTACTGGTGTCGCGTAATTTTTTTTTCAATTGGAGTTCCGGCATATAGGGCATAATGCAGTCATTTGGAGGCTTCTGACTGGCTATAATGAAGGTTTACTAATCTAAAAAATAGATCTGTTCATAAAATAAAATTATAAATGCCTCAAATTCATTTTTATAACTTTTTAATTATAAAATTAAACTATCATAACCTAACCAAACCAACCAAACTTGCTGATGATGAAAAAATCCAATGAAGGTTTACTAATCGAAAAAAATAGTTATGTTTATAAAATAAAACTATAATAAAATGGCTCTAATTCATTTTTATAATGTTTTAATTATAAATTTAAACTATCATAACCTAACCAAACTAACCAAACCTGCTGATGGTGAAAAAATTTTAGACAAAAAGTTAGTGCCATGACTGGGATTCGAACCTGGTACCTTTAGATTATCAGTTCGGTACGCTATCCACTACGCCACCGAAGCCAATGGCTGCTCCACGTATCGTTGCGGTAATGGTCTTCTCTCAAGCCAATCAATATACTGAATCTCCCTATATACCGCAACTCATATTGAAATAAAAATTACGCTCCCTGGTTGGTGAGGCTAAACAAATGATGACCTTCAATGACTGGACTATCTCATGATCTGTCAGCAATGTCAGCTACCTGTGTTGTTATTCATATGTGTTTGAAAACATATGGTGTTAGAATATTATTTGTTTAGTTGTTGGTAAACATTCTGAATCTGGTTTATTGTAAAAAGCTACCTAATAAAGTATTTGTCTTATTAAAATTATATTTTAATTTAACTTGCGATAACACTACATGGTGGCAGCGGGCTTTTTATTGTTTTAGCAATATACAGTACATGAAGATGAAAAGTTTTAGTGTTCCTACCCCAGAACATTTTGATTTTAAAGGAGAAAACTAGGGATGGACGGGATTGAATTTTTAGTTCGGGACGGGACGGGACGGGATTTTTATTTCCTTCCCAATTTTCGGGACGGGACGGGACGGGATTTTTTTCTGTGCATAAAAAGAAAGTACTGTATTGCAGTTACCAAAAAAGACATACGAAATCAATTTTTACCATTTGTGGTACTGATCTATAAAAACCAAAAAATGGGTAACAATTTACAGGTACCTATAGAAACTTGTGACTCGCGGGTCACGGGGTGATCGTCTGTATGACTCACGGTCACAGCGCGATCGTCGTCATGACTCGCGGTCACAGCACGATCGTCGGTATGACTCGCGGTCACGGCGCGATCGTCGGTATGACTCGCGGTCACGGCGCGATCGTCGGTATGACTCCGCGGTCACGGGGTTATTGTCGGTATGACTCCACGGTCACGGCGCGATCGTCGTCATGACTCGCGGTCACGGCGCGATCGTCAGCATGACTCGCGGTCACGGCGGGATCGTCGTCACGACTCGCGGTCACGGCGCGATCGTCGTCATGACTCGCGGTCACGGCGCGATCGTCGTCATGACTCGCGGTCACGGGGTTATCGTCGTCATGACTCCACGGTCACGGCGCGATCGTCGTCATGACTCGCGGTCACGGCGCGATCGTCGTCATGACTCGCGGTCACGGCGCGATCGTCGTCATGACCATCGATATATAACTACTGGATCGGCAGCTCCGCTCCGCTGCCCGAGCCGCCAGCAGTGGTTGCGTTCAAAGAAATGAAGGGTGAGAGTGGGCAAAAGCGCAACGCAGTGTATTGCTTCTGCATTGTCGCGGCATATGTTAAGATGTTATATACCTAAAAAATGGGTTTTAAGAGACTTCTTTTTCAAATCCTTTATCTTCTTGACATGCTCAATCATAATCAATGTAATGAGTAAACATAACAGTACTATTAACACTTTATCCATATGGGTTTATTCCGTAATTTACAAGATTGTTTGTCAACTAGATTCTGCTTGTTTAAATGGGTTCTGCTGTGTAAACATGGGTTGCAATCACTTATATAATTTTGTATGGTAGTAGGATGAAAAAAAAATTGACTACAAAACAAGTGTTTATTTAATGTAACTGTCTTTATAACGTTTACTAGACGCTCACATGGATCACATGTTACAAAACAAAATGGTCTTTGTCAATTTTTTTCTTTAACCTAAGTTTGACTTTTGTTCTTTCTACCGATTCCCTTTTTGCAAGGTGATCTTGAAAAAAAAATTATTTAGGCCTAATTACATACACACTTGTACCGTACACACATACCGACATACTTGTAGTTATTCCATATGCAACAATTAATTTGTTGTCTCCTTTTAGGAACAAATAAAATCAAATTATCCTTTATTCATTTTGTACATAAATGCATGAATAGTGTCAATACAATAATAGTGACAAAACATATCTTAAAAATACTGTACAAGAGTCAGTTGAAAAAATCATTTACCTTAAAACATCATTTATTGCATTAAAACTCAAATATATGCTTTTTAAACGATTTAAGGGAAGCTGCAGATTTAATCGAATCAGCAGGTTATTATAAAACTTAACACCAGAATAGAGGGAGAAGATTTTAAAGTTGAAGTTTTGTGTTTAGGGTATAAAATGCAGCTTTTGTGTCGGGTATTATAATTACGATTGTCCAAATTAACAGAACATTTAGAAATATTTTGTTTCATAAATATTAACAAACTATAGATGTACAGACTGGGAAAGGTAAGAATATTGTTGCTTTTAAATGTATTTTCACAAGAACCCCAGCTTTGATAGAGTAAATTGTTCTAATGATTCTTTTTTGCAATTTAAAAACTTTTTTCCTTTTGTCGGAATATCCTCAAAATACTATTCCGTAACTAAAAATAGGATAAACATATCCATGTAGTATACCATCATAAGAGTGGAAACATCAGCTGTTCTAGAATGAATGAGAGTTACAAAATATGCTTTATTTAGCTTTATGATGACGTCTTTTATGTGAGTTTTCCAGGTTAATTTATGATCCACTGTTATTTCTAAAAATTTTGTGCAGTTAGCAAGGTTGCAAGATAGAGGAGTGTTTTTGTGCAAAGAATTGTTATTAACGGAATTTTTTTAAAGTTAGGCCTAATTAAAAGAGACTTGGATTGATTTAGTA